GAATGTATTTCACAGAAATTTCTATTTTTAGTAACCATGGCAACACCGTTCATCGAAATCAAAAACCAATACACAGAATTATGTATCTTAGTATAGTCTACTTGTGTGCCAAGTTATATTGAAATCAGATCAAAACTGTAGGAGGAGTAGCATTTTGAATGTTTTTCACAGAAATTTCTATTTTTAGTAACCATGGCAACACTGTTCATCGAAATCAAAAACCGATATACAGAATTATGTATCTTAGTGTGGTCTACTTGTGTGCCAAGTAATATTGAAATCAGACCAAAACTGTAGGAGGAGTAGCATTTTGAAAAATTGTTTACAGACGGACGGACAGACAGACAGATAGACGGACGGACGACGGACACCTTACTATCGCATAAGCTCTTCTGGTCTCTGACCAGTAGAGCTAAAAAACAAGATCTGTTTTATTTCAAGACCAATTCAATAAATAACTTGCTGTAGAGAGACATCACACATAACATGTATTTAAATTTACCAATTGAGAGCTCCCTTAGATTCTCTGGAGTTCTCTGTTAAGTAGGACAGTTGATATACATGTATAACGTTTCTTCTGATGGGTTCATCTAGGGCTGGGACGATATATTGAGAAATCGATAATATCGATTCAATGTGAGGATGATACGCATATCGATACGTATGAAGAAATATCGAAATATTGCAAACAATTCTGACTTATGTTTTTCTTTGTTTACTTCACATTTTGGGTCAAATATATAAATATAAATATGCTAGATATTAATATAAATATTCAATACATAATAATTAACACCACTTGTGTAAAATTATTTTCTTTTACAACAGGTACAACTTCTTTGAATAAATTATTCTTATATGTGAAGAAATGTTTTGTTCATTTCAATACAAACCAGAAGTCTCTGACGAGACTGTAGCTCTACTGGTTGTATTTATAAAGGAAGATAAAAGTAGCACTTGGACTTGAAACTTTGCAACAGCAATAAATAGAATAATGATCCTTGGTTAAGTCTCTTTTGTGGCAAGATTTATTATTATATCAGACTAAAACTGTAGGAGGAGTAGCCTTTTAAAACAATTTTACAAAAATTTTGATTTAAGTTACCATGGCAACATCATTCAACAAAATCAAAAAAAAATAACACCAATTATGTATCTCTGTAATCTACCTGTATGCCACATTATACTGAAATCAGACAAAAAGTATAGGAGGAGTAGCGTTTTGAAAGTATTTCAAGAAAATTTCTATTTTTAGTAACCATGGCAACACTGTTCATCGAAATCCGAAACTGGTACAGAGAATTATGCATCTTAGTGTAGTTTACTTGTGTGCTAAGTAATACTAAAATCAGACCAAAACTGTAGGGGTAGCATTTTGAAGGTATTTCAAAAAAATTTCTATTTTTAGTAACCATGGCAACAATGTTCATCGAAATCAGAAATCAATATAAAGAATTATGTATCTTAGTGTAGTCTACTTGTTTGCCAAGTTATACTGAAATCAGACCAAAACTGTAAGAGGAATAGCATTTTGAAAGTATTTCACAGAAATTTCTATTTTTAGTAACCATGGCAACACCGTTCATCGAAATCAAAAACCGATAAACAGATTTATGCATCTTAGTATAGTCTACTTGTGTGCCAAGTTATATTGAAATCAGATCAAAACTGTAGGAGGAGTAGCATTTTGAAAGTATTTCACAGAAATTTCTATTTTTAGTAACCATGGCAACACCATTCATCGAAATCAAAAACCGATATACAGAATTATGCATCTTAGTATAGTCTACTAGTGTGCCCAGTTATATTGAAATCAGATCAAAACTGTAGGAGGAGTAGCATTTTGAATGTTTTTCACAGAAATTTCTATTTTTAGTAACCATGGCAACACCGTTCATCGAAATCAAAAACCAATACACAGATTTATGCATCTTAGTGTAGTCTACTTGTGTGCCAAGTTATATTGAAATCAGATCAAAACTGTAGGAGGAGTAGCATTTTGAAAGTATTTCACAGAAATTTCTATTTTTAGTAACCATGGCAACACCATTCATCGAAATCAAAAACCGATATATAGAATTATGCATCTTAGTATAGTCTACTTGTGTGCCAAGTTATATTGAAATCAGATCAAAACTGTAGGAGGAGTAGCATTTTGAATGTTTTTCACAGAAATTTCTATTTTTAGTAACCATGGCAACACTGTTCATCGAAATCAAAAACCGATACACAGAATTATGTATCTTAGTGTAGTCTACTTGTGTGCCAAGTTATATTGAAATCAGACCAAAACTGTAGGAGGAGTAGCATTTTGAAAAATTGTTTACAGACGGACGGACAGACAGACAGACGGACACCTTACTATCGCATAAGCTCTTCTGGTCTCTGACAGTTCGAATGTTTATCGGTAGATATCTGTTTATTGCCGCTGATAACAGGTAATCAACAAGGTGTCAACTGTGCAACCAGTCATTACTGTGGTTTTAATTGCTCCCGATTCTCATTAACAGTGTATATTAACCTAGACAATCATGCCAGATGTGGAAATTTTAGAAATACACACGACAGGATACAAACTTATGACGAGATCACACTTTACAGCAAAATTTGACAATATACGTATAAGCTGTTAATAAAAGGTTTTCAAGTTTAGGAAATACGGCATTTCTCACTATAATTACGAACTACGTCATTGATCATGGAAAAGACAATGCCAAAATCCAACTTGAAAAGATACGTCTGCAACATAGGTACTATGGTCTGCAAGTACAAACCGTTAGTTTTTTAAAGCAGAATTCCAGGAGTGGTTCACAAAAAGTTAGAAAGGAGAAGACGTACCATGCCTTTTACAGACTTTGTATGAAAACATATAAAAGTGACTTCTTCTTAGTATTCCCTTTGATTTAAAAAAATTACAAATTATTTATCTGTGACTTAGTAGCTTTATAAAATGTGTAATTTACCAATAGACAAAAACAGTAACTGCATGAACTCTTTTAGTAACTTGCATAATAGCTTATTTGTAACTAAGTTTAACATCCTTATCCATGTAATAATCTGTATGTGTATGACACTGCTTATGGCAGGGGGGTAATGTTTATCTTTATATTAACATATTAAATAATTTTGGGAACACTTCTAGTATACCGGTCCCTATAAATATGGCGCTAAAATAGGTGCCACCGAAGGCGGTGTACAATATAATACGATCGCGTGAGCGATCGACAAAATCGATAAAAAAGGCCACAAATCGCAAAATTGAGCCAAAAATCGTGTTCCTTGTGAAAAATTGGGTTTAAAAAACTGGTTTTTAAACACAGTTTTTTAAATGAGAATTAAAAGGTTTCGTAAAATAACGTACTTGTTTAGTAGATAAAACTCCATTTTGCGTTGTTTAGGAATGTGGTCACATGATCAGTTTTTGACGTAATCTCATAAATATTCATGACGTGCGTCACTTGTGTTTTGACGTAATGAAGACTGATGAAGAAGTAGCTGATAGGACTCAAAGTGAAATGCTACTAAAATTGCGAGATTTTTGTGAGAAATGCAGGGATTTAACAAGTGATAACTAATTACTAGTAATTGGTTGATTGAATTGTGCATCACCATTGATTTGAAAGAAAAAAATATTCTGAATATGGACATTAGGAGGTTAGGATATCGAGCTTAAGTAAACGGTAAGTCGCTTTTACCAATTACTTGCCAAAACTTAGCGCACAATATCGGGCATGTTTCAACATTAGACCAAGGCTAATTCATCCAAGTTTCGCAAAACTTTCCTGTTCTTTGTAAGCAAAAATTGCATGAATAAGCCCAAAGTGGTATAGATGCGAGCATGGGTGAATATAAAACAGTTACAATATCCGAGCTATATATACACTAACCCTAATTCGTAGATCGCATACAATGCCATATTTAATTAACGGTCTGTTTAAGTTTTGCATGTTTCATGCTTTACTCCTATAAGATGGTATATCGGCACGGTTCAACATTAGGCTGATTCATGCAAGTTTTTGGTCACAAAAGGCACTTGGCAGTGCCTTTTGTAAGCAAAAATTACATGAATTAGCCCAAAGTCAGGAAGATTTAAGAGTGGATTTATAAAACAGTTCCAATCTTAAAACAATATACCCTAACCCTAATCACTCGATCGAATGCGTTTTGTTGAAGCGAGGGGAAAATGGCGGTTTGTTTACATTCTGCATAGCAACGGCAAGGGAAATAACTGCTCATGCGCAATCGCGTGATTCTGGGGACCGGCATACTAGAAACTTCCCTAATTTTGATTAAAATTTTCTTTTTTAAATTTCAAATAATATTGTGTTTTTGTTGAAGTTGATAGAGAAGAAAACACTAAGAAGTAGTGGTAATATATGATACAAGGTATTAGACTGATATTTAAAAAAAAACAACAAATACTTATTTTCACAACAAAATGCCGTAAATTTAGAACTTTGAAAAATGTCGTTATGGGCAATCTCCCCCAAGGAAATTTTCAAAAGTTGGCAAGTATGATGATCTTCCTTGTCCAAAAGAAATGTTTTCAGTTTTAGCAAAAAGTATTGTTGGCAATTTAAAAGTTTTATTGACATAAATGCAGGAACTGTCATTTTAGTTTTTTCTTTCCTATTCTACAATACCTTTATTTCAATATCAAGCTCAAAATCACCAAAGAGGTCATAACATTAATATATTACCTAAATGTTATTAAATCATTTGCTGAAAATCAAAATCTGCATTGATTTGAAATTCAGGGAGTAAATACACTTTGGGCAAAAAGAATTATCTGGAGCTCTGTATTAATCTATTCTGAATAGCTTAATAAAGCTAATTCAAGCTATATAGCAAGCAATTCAAGCTATATATCTATGGTTATAGTGTCTAAAAAATCTCATAAGTTGGGTGAGTGGGGTTACACCATTCATACGTCAAGTGTAGGATATGGTCATGTGCCTGTGGTAAGTATTCATGAACTTTAATTAAGCCTACCAGCCTACCTGTTGGTGCTGGGGAGTAAGTCCACTCCCATAGGAAGCAAAGTTCTGTCCTGATCCGTCCATTTTTGTTTACGCAGGTAATTGTCGCGTCCAAGAAAGAAATTTCTCGTCAGTGAACCAAAGACAGGAAGATGACAAACAATTTAACTAATTGCATGACAAACGGAAAGGTGTTGTCAATACTAGATGTTTTACATCTTGTTCTACTTCGTTTTCTTATGATGGTCAAATTTTCTGTGCTCTGGTCAAGAAAAAACAGATAAAACTCGGCCTTGCATTTTCAGTCGCGGGTTCCTTAAGAAAGGAAGTAAATGTAAGAAGTTAAAGTGAAAAGTCTCTCAAAACACACATTTAAAATCCGGATTGCTCGTCTTCTTCAAGAAAGACCGTAGTACGGGGAGGGGGGGGGGGGGAGGGGGGCACCTCTCATTTTTCGAAGATAAAACTTTACTGTTAATTTAATATTAAGATTGTAAGCCCCCCCCCCACTTTTTTTTGCACCTCCTATGTTAATTGTATTCAAGATTTTTCTTGTTGAAAAAAGTTGGAACAAACCCCTCGATCTAACCAACGAAATTGAATATTCTCGAGTATGGACAATTTTCCTTTTTTTTTTTTATTTTGCTTGTGAACGATTTAGTCTCCCCCTTTCAACTGAGAACGGTGAGTACTACTTGCCTGATTAGCACGATATATACATTTATCAAATTATTAACACAGGAATTCCATGTCTATAGAACACGGGTTGCGGAAATGTAAACGAATCAAAGATCTCTCTTTTTTTTAAAAATAATTTTACCGAATTTAAAATTTTACCGAAAGTGCATAGATATGTCGACCAAGGAATAAATAAGTAAACAAATAATAAAATAAAATAGATAAATAAATAAAATCTACCTTATCTTTGTAATCGATTGTGTTTATCGATACCTTCAAAGTTTAAATCAGCGGATGACTTTTATGTGTAGGTAAAAGGTAAGAATTCGGGTCCGTAGAACGGGGGGGGGGGGGGGGGGGCTCCACTTTTTTCTGACTATACGGTATTTTGCTATAGTAAATATTCAATTAGATGCTGGTTGCCCCCCCCCCCATCCCCCGCGAACACACACACACTTTTTGTTGCTGTAAGGTTAAGTTGAGCAGTGTTTTTCTTTCTTGTCACATTGTTTTGGGAAGTTGTCCCTCTCATTTCTCATTTATGGAAAGTCTAATTTTTTTCCTACTTGTAAGATTTTTTAAAGTCCTCCCTTTTTGAAACCGTTGCTACGAGCCTGAAATTAGTTGGACGCACTGTGATCGTTAGTCCTTGCTGAAGACACTCGCAGATTTAGAAGGGGGCAGCCCCATCCCTCTAAAATTAAATAAAATAGAATTAAATAATACATTTTTTAAAATACTCACCGACGCTGATGAAATGATTTTTTTTTAATGCAAGTATACTAGAGCGAAGTGACAAATCAGAAGTGAAATGACTTCAGAATTTTTCAGTAAAAAAAAAGAATTCGATAGCCCGTTTTATGAAGAAAAAAAAAAGCGAAATAAGTCCAACAAAAGAAATTGCAAGCTTTTTTTTAAATACAAGACATACATGTGTACAAGAAGTTCTCTGGTTTGTCAGCCTTTTTTTTAAGGACAGGTATATCTGATGGACATGTACATGTATATATATATATGTCAAAATGCAGTTTATAAGGTAAGTTTCCGTATATTGATAAAATATCATATTTAAAATGAAAATATTTGAATATAAGTCGTCCAACTAAAAGATGATACACATTATAAAAAAACTTCTTTCAACGATAGTTTCATTTTTTATGTCCCCGTTTTCGAAGATTCGGGGGCATATAGTTTTTGCCTTGTCCGTTTGTCTGCCTGTTTAACATTGCCCATAACTTTTGATTGGTTGGAGCTATGGCTTTCATATTCCACATGTGTATTTCTTGTGACAAGACCTTTCTTTTGGGTACCATCATGACAGCTTTGTCTGTCCGAATTTTCTCAAACAGAGAGCTACAATTCTGCAGCTACCATTATATTTGACCTTGGAGTTTGATCCACTCTTGCAAAATTTTATCAGACTTTTATCTTGGTCTTTACTTTTGAACAGTTGGTGCTAGAGCTTTCAAACTTCACAGGTGTACTTCCTGTGACTATACCTTACTTTAGATACCAACAACTTTGACTTTTTGACCTTGACCTAGGAGTTTTACCTACTTTTGAAAAAAACTTTAACCTTGACCATGACTTTTAATTGGTTGGAGTTATGGTTTTCATATTTCACATGTGTATTCCTTATGACAAGACCTTAGTTCCTTTGTTATACCAACATATTTGACCTCTTGACTTTGAACTTGGATTTTGACCCACTTTTGCAAAAACTTACCAAACTTTAACCTTGGTCTTAACTTTAGAACAGTTGGTGCTAGAGCCATATTAAGTCATGTTTATTTTCAAGTGAAATAAATAAGTTTAACCGATTTTAATTTTTTATTCTAAGTTTCACAATAATGTGATTTTAGGTGACGAAAATTTTTACAGATTAAGAAGGAGAGTTGCAGAAAGGAAGAATTTTGAACATCATAGAAAGTTTACAAATTCTTAATATATAGAAATTTATTATTTTCATCATTTACAATCAAAATAGGTCCAAAAATATATATACCAATCCAGGCATCCATTTTTTTTTTATCATCTGTCCTTAATAAGGAAAAAGATTAGTATTAGTTTTTTAAAACTTGATTCCGAATCTTTTTCTGATTTTCTGTACTAGTTACTTGCCCGTATTTTCTGCTTGCCATTTTCAAATAAAATATGGTTAAAACAAATATTCCTTTATAAAACTATATTAAGTTGAAAGGTGCTTTCTGTCAAATTAATATGCTGAAATGTTAATTTGCACTGAGTTTTACTTAGAAATTAGACTTCTTTTAGAAAAATCGTCAAAGAGTAACTGCAAAATTTGATTTCATTTTCAGTGAACAGAGGGATGGTGTGCTTTAAATGATATAATTTAAAAAAAAAAACTATAAAAACATGAAGACTAGTTTTTGTTCCTCGATCAAATCATTTATTAAAGTCGTGGTTTCGGGGATCATGGGCATAGTACATTAATAGCGGATAAATGTCAACATTAGATTAGAAGATCAAAAAGGAAAACACAATAGTGATGCATGACACAGGATTAAACTCTGGAATAGAAACATCCGTTGACGTTGCTTGATTACATGATTGTACACACGTGTCTTCGCCATTCGGCACATCATGTATATACATATCGAATGTAATCAGAAACTCTGACCATTCACAGTTTAAATGAATTAAAATAATAATACTTGTAATAAAATGATTTTTCCCCTTCAAAACATATTTTTTGTCGCATGGCCATTTCATTTGACTACAAAACGGAGTAAAACGATTACTACGGCAGCCCAAACGGGGCACAAAAGTGTTGACAAAAACGCCAGTTGAAGAAAACTAATTGAAACTATTTCCTTAATGAAATTTTTCCAATGCAAATATTCTTCATAATGAACACGCAATATCAAACAAATCTTTTTTCAGTGTATCTTGTATAAAAATTCTACGAACGATGTAGTGAAAAAAAACAAACCCGTCCTCTTGACCACTGATTGAAAGACTGTAAAATCAACATTTGTGATTTATTTTTTTCGTGTTCTCTCCCCAAAATTTCAAAACACTTTCTTTAAATTATTGAAAAAAGAAAAATTATACATATGGAAGCACAGAGGGCACGATCAACAATATAATGTCGAAATTATACGGTATTAACAAAATAAGTTCGGACTTGCTTTGGCGCATGAATACAAAATTTATCAAATATTGAATAATTCTAGTTTATATGCAAATTTAAAATATCATGATATCTGTAGCTGTATTTTCAGAATAAATATTACAATTACACATTTCTTTACTGAAGGATAATAAGGTTTTGGCATAACGGATATGGTTCTATTTTGTCATTGCCGGAAGAATTAGTAAGGTGCCTCAGAACCAACACTTTTGCAGAGACAAAGTGGGGAACGGATCTTTTTCTTTTTGTGGTCAATTTTAATAACCTATTTTATGATGGTTATGGCCGAGAAAAATCTTGTTGATATTAGGAATGGAAGACGATCTCGATGTTCTAGTCCTAACGAATCAGACGAAAGCAGCGATGATTCCGATCATGGTGAGTTGTCGTCCTTGTCAGCTTTCATTGTTTATGTTAAAGTGTTCAAGAAAATATTTTTTAGGTCTTGGCCTTCTTATAAAATTTGCTCTGCTAAAAAATAGCGATAAAAATTGATGGCTTAAATAATTCTTATGTAACAGTTCAGATATTTATAAGTATATGAGAAAAAACTTTGAAAAGTATATAATGTTATACATGAAGGAAAGGCAACTCTTGTACAGCTGTTGCTATATATCCCTTTCAATGTAAATTTTTGATGCCATTTTTTCTTCTTCTTGTTTTTAAAGGTCATTAATCATTGATCAAATCATTTAAGATATTTGAATTTCAAATATCTTGCATTAAGTGCTTTTAATTGGTAATATCAAGGTTGGGGAGGGGAGGGGGGGGGGGGGATAGATTTAACTCAGTTGAAGGTTATTATTGGAGCTTGCTGAATGGCAGATTTTTGTTTTACAATAAACGATCAATTCATTGAATTTTTATATAAAAAAATATAATATACACATTAGAAAAAAGACGAACAAGCTTGGGACCAATTCTTATGCATGCCAAGTGGTGGAGGAGTTTATCCTAGGACCTTTTCCGTTTTGTTTCTGAAACAAAACTGCCAAATAAAACCAGAGACATTCAGTGACCACTACACCATGAATAAAGTCTCTAAATGTGCATAATACCTGCCTAATCTTAAGCTCTTGGCTTATTTAATTCTTCTGCTTTTATTTTATCATTAGATTATGCTATTAGTCTATTACGCCATAAAAAGTTATCTTACACTTTTAAAATGTCTTGCTTAATTAGGTTATTTAGGATTTTTTGTTATGGACGACTTGCTTTTGAGTTCAAGTATGACTTATTAATGTTCATAGACAAGATCTGTAAAACACTGTCTTTATCAAGGGAACTAAAGTTCTCTAAGAGTGCAATGTAGAAAATGTTTTATCGTAACTAATATGGCTTCCAAACCTAAACACAGTGCATTCCAAAGAATTTGGAAGAGGAAGCAGATGTAAATTCATCATGTACTTAAATGATTTTAATGATACGTGATAGTAATACCACCAAAAGATTGAATTAGTTGTGATTGCAAGCTATTGACTAAATACGTCATTAAGAGTGAATAGTTAAGACATGTATGGGTGTAAGGATGGGGATATTTTTATTGTTTTACAGAACAGAGAATTTAAATTATGTCGGTAAATGATTTGAAAATAATTTTTTTCATTCTTAATTATCATATAATGTACAACACTGAGTCTGATTTAGATTATATAGAATCACAGTGAGACATTCAAAATAGGACAATATGAAGAATTGTGCCTATGTCTGAAATTCCACCAAAATGAGGATTCATATTATTCCTCTGCAATAAAAAGGGAAGGCAGGTCTGTAACAACAGCTGAGGATTGTTCATATTGTACACATCCTCGGTACAAGCATTAATTTTTCTTTGACACATCCAATGGAACCATCTGCCAGGCTACATTGTGTACATATAAGCAATAGAGAGGTTAAAGACCACCATACAGGAGCATTGCCAATAATGTCCATTGGTCACTCTTCAGTTGTATAAAAGCCCTACTCTGAATCTACAATATATCCCTTACAAATTTGGGGAAAAAATGTTTTTTTTTTTATATGTTTAAAAATATTCTATAAGTCCCAAAGTCTTCAAGCACTTCTTATTAACGAGTCCAAATCCAGAATTAGTTGGTCCCACATGTTGCTTCTGGGAAATTTTAACTCCTGTATTAAGATTCATGCTCAAGGTTGGGACTACACTTCAAAATAGAATTATATTTTTAAAAAAAGTTCTTATCTCATGAATGGCGTTTTGAAAAATTGTGTACCAAACGTATACTATCACTTCCAATTAAAAATCACATGTCTCGAGTTAACGGGTTCCTGCCTCAGGGTGGGGCCAAGATTGAAAGTGCTTAGAAATATATTTTGCTAACCAAGACATCTTGCTTAATTGTTCTGGGTACTGAACCTTTTAAAAAATGCAGTTCCCTTAGGTTTAGTATGGGATAAGTTGACTGAAAATGGATAAAAATTTGAATCACTAAAAATTGTAATATTTAAAATGGTCTGATCAAGAGCTTTGCTGAGACTACTTTTCAGATCTTGGGGTGAAAGGGCATAGCTTGTTTTGCTATCTGTGCAGTAACTCAAAAATGTATTGAAATGGGAAATTTCAAATTTGCACCTTTATTTGTCCCAAGGAAGAGCTAAGTTATTGTTCCTGTTGAGAACATGAGGTGTAATTTATTTTTTCTTTCCATGTAGAAATAATTTATATGTCATTAAAGGGTTTTAAAACTTAAAACAGTATCATTGCTTTAAAAATCATATCATTTTCAGAGGGAGGTGGAATGCGTGTAGGGAATGACTATCAGGCTAAAGTTCCAGAGTACAAACCAGGTCAGTTTATTCAAAAATAAGGAGAGAAAAGAAATTCTAAAAAATTATATGAATTGTCAAATTTTCTATCTGTATCTTACAATTAGAGATTAAGCCAGATCCTAGGAATGATGCCATCCTTGTATGGGCTCCAGCAATAGATCTCTCAGATGGAAAAGGTGAGTAACTAACTTTACTATTATTAGAATCTAATATTCTCCAGAAAAGTACATGTACTAAAAATCTCATAGAATTTTAAAATGTTATTTTAATTATTTCTGTTTGATTTGCTTTTAGTTGATGAGTATGTCAACATTGCAAAAGAGAAACATGGGTATAACACAGAGCAGGTAACATGTAGCTTGAAACTGTTCCAAGTGGTGTACATCAGATACAGACCTGCCTACTAAGTACCCTTCTGCTTTTGGCATAATTCTTCTGATTTTAAGCACTAAATTATTCTTTTATGCCATATGAATGTCAATTGTATGCTTTTAAATTTTTTGTGAACAAATATTGTATTATTAATAATTTTTTATGAGTTCACTTTTGAATACAACCTACAAATATGAAAATAATTTCCCAATTAATTTCCCACAGATCTGTATACAAACTTTATGCCTTCTCTGTAATTTACTGTTTCAGTATCGAGCAAATCCTTGGCATTGTTTGAAACTGTATCCAAGCACTTATTAAAAGAGTCCAAAAATACATAACACCCAATTGCATTTATAGGTTGAAATTGTGGTTGTTTCCAACTGAATGCTGTTGGTATCAAACGACTACATCTAAAATTAATCCCCACTCATATTATCTCCCCTCATATTTCTGTATCTTCTTCAATATTCCCTCAATCCATCTTTTGTTTCAAACTTAAAATATTTTAAATTCAAGATGAAAACTTGAATGTCACTTCCATTTTTGATATTTAAATGAATTGATGTGGTGGTTGAAAAAATGCTTTATTGTGAAAGGTTCAAATAAGTTTAGTACGTGGTGATCCAAAATGTCTGTATGTCTGCATTAACGATACATGTGTATTGGACTTTATGTTGACAACATTTTTCTTCCATTATTACATGATATAAAGCATAGAGGCGTATTTAGATATGGAATCACAGTAAAACATAAAAACAGGAAAATATGATGGATTACACCTTTATCCCTGAATTTCCACCACAATGAGAATTAAGATTACACCTCTGCAATTGGGTAGGCAGGTCTGCAGAAATTAAGTCACTGTTTCAACATTTTTGAAAAGAAGGAATTCCTCAGAAATTACAGTACAAATATCGTACTTATATTTCCAGGCACTTGGGATGTTATTTTGGCACAAGCACAACATTGAGAAGGCTCTAGCAGATTTACCCAATTTTACCCCATTCCCTGATGAATGGACAGTGGAGGATAAAGTTTTATTTGAACAAGCATTTAGTTTCCATGGAAAGAGTTTCCACAGAATTAGGCAAATGGTATGGACATCATTTTGTATTGTCATGTGACATGTATATATTATAGAACCTAATCCCTAAGAATATTGTATTTGTCATTTGTTTATTTATTCAAGGAGAATATCATTTAATAGATGGGTACTGCCCACTAATAAATTTCCCATAGGTAACAATGTTCTTTCTTTCCCATAACTTTTCCCATAATTTGTTTTTGAATTATGAGGCACCCTCAAAGAAAAAGTTGTCAAATTCTCACTCAGTGGTTAAAACCACAATGTCTAGACTCAATTTCTTGCAAAATTAATGTGTTAAACTCACAAAGATATATATAAAAATATAAAGGTAAAGGAAAGGAGTTTCCCTATTTTAGGGTATTGATATGGATACAGCAAACAATTCTTTCCTTTAAAAAGTATCTCAAATCAGAGAATGGTTTTCAAAGTGGAGTTTTCTTTTATATTTACCACACATATTTAGTAATAGGTGACTCAATAATTTTATACTGTTTGCAATTTAGGAACAATTTTGTTGCAATGGACTACTTTCTTTCTCTATTGATTAAAAAAGAAATAGTGTACCCAGATGTAGCATTTTTATAAAATTTTCCTTTCTCTAAAGTTACCAGACAAATCCATAGCAAGTCTAGTCAAGTATTACTACTCCTGGAAGAAAACTCGATCTCGCACAAGTCTAATGGACAAACAGGCCAAAAAGTTGAACAAGACAGGAGAGAGGTACTTATTAGCTCCCTTTAATTGAATCATAAATCATGAACTATTGACTTGTAATCCTTTTGAGATGTTCTAATTAGCTCCCTTTATCATCATCATAACTTGATTAACTACTCCAGTGCTTTGATAGGAAAGTTATTTATGTTAAATGTGTTTACCATTCAGTGATGAAGAGTCGGATTCCAATGGAAAACGCTCTGGTGATGATGAAGAAACTCCTAAAGAGAATGGGGTAAATTTGTGCATCATTGTTTACCTTTTTTTTTTTTACATTTATAAACCCTTTTTAGCTCACCTGAGCCTAAGGCTGAAGTGAGCTTTTCTGATCAAAGGGTGTCCTGTGTTTGTCTGAAAGCTTCATTACATAGTGTAAATTTGACCTTGCCCCTCCTGGGGTAGGGTTGGACGACTCTTTAATACTGAACTGATTTTTGCTTTTCTCTAACCAAAGTGTTCAGGTGCTGTGTTGCCCATTGGCCTCTTGTTTCACAAATCAGTTTGGTGTGGCAATCCTCAGATACCTCTTATCATTTTATACACAAATTTATATCATATACACTTTTAGAACTAGAATCTTCAAACCATATCAACAGATGCATCCAGGTGAAAGGTGTGTTGCTTCTCAAAGACAGGTTAAATCAGTCATAGTAACCTCATTTTGGAATAAGATGCCTAATTAGATGCTGCAATGGGTTGGGTGATGGGTCATTTGGTATTACATGGGTCAGTATAGACAAACATTTTATAACAGGTATGACAAGAGGTTTTAGATAGATAACTATTGCATCATTTTTAAAAAATACCTCTAAGCAGGGAACAAAATGGGGTCTCACCCTATATTTTCCTTTGTGTCTAGGGGTGAAACGATACACCTCCTTCACGGTTCGATACATATTGTATAATTTTGTCTCGGTACGGTTATTCTCGATACAATACATTTTGATAGAAGGAAACAAATTCAACCTTGTTTTATGCTTTCTTTTACTAAATCTAGTCACTTAATTTACGAATTTTTATTTGCAAATTGACTAGAAGAAATTGATAAGAATTTTTTGACTGTCAAAAATTATTTAACAAACTACTGTATAGGGGATTAATTTCACGGGTTGTAATTTTCACGTTTTTCTCTCCTCTGACACGATCGCGGTTTGTTGAATTCGCGGAATTGGTATATAATAAAAGTTACCTCCCTTGTCTATATATGTTTAATCCATAGCAAAGCTAGAACGACATAAATCAGCGTCATGTATTCACTTCACCAACCACAGGGTAGGTTTATATAAAATAGTTAGATTTAATAATTAATTGATGACTTTCCCATATATGCTATTACATGAGTGCATGTACACCCCAAGATCTTTCCGAAGGTATAATACATCGCGGCGAAAAACTACTGGACGGTAAAAAATGTGTTAATGTAAGTCGACGAAATAATATAATTCCACATCTTCAGCAAGTTCGATAGTTATTTGAATGATTTATAAAAACCAAAATGTCGATAAAAACTAATACGCATGATAATGCAGGTAACAAATACATGCAAATACACGTGGTAACATAGTTACGCAAGGATAATCAAAACCCTTGACCCACGTCTTTTGATAGAGGAAACATATAACATTGGTTATTAAAACAGTCTTTTTTTAAACAAATACAGGTTATTATCTGCTGATCTTAATTAAAGTAAAGCGTGATAATTAAAATAATTGAATGATAAGTACAACTCGTAATACTGAAATGACCATGTACTGCACGTTTATATACCTAGCGTAGTTCATAATGCAGGTAATAAATTTACGTAGTAACGTTAGATACGCACGGGTAATCAAAACCAATGTCCCATGTGTTTTGATTGATGAGACATTCAGCGTTGTCTAGTAAAACAGCTTCTTCTTTTTTTTATAATGATTACAGGTTATTATCTGCTGATTGAATTAAAGTAAAGCATGATAATTAAAATAATTGAATGACAATTATTTCTCGTAATTACTGAATGACAATGTACTGCATCTACGTATATATACCTATCGTATCTATTTTCAAATTACCAAATATAGCATGGAGGTTATTGAAAACTTATTCACTGTTTCTTGAATTCACGGATTTATCAACACCGTGAATATAGCGAATATTAACACCGCGAGTTATTTTCCCCCTATACAGTATCAGTCATCAAAAATTTACATTTTCTATACTTATTTATACTGAGTAACGTGTTTTACCTTATGCCAAACCTGACTGAATAACGATCCCGACTGAAAAATGAACCGAACCGAAAATTAGAGATTTTGCACCGTGTATCAAACTGAGAAAAAATACCGCGGTGAATTGATACCGCGGTGAACCGTTTCACTCCTATTTGTGTCCTGTTTATAACTGGATTAGCAATTTAGTTCATACTTCACACAAATATTATGTTATTAAAATGTGTCATGACTTTGACTCAGGGTCATTTTGACAAGTTCAAGGTCATTTGTTGGAAGTTTAAATTTCAAACAATGATTATTTGTGAACTTAAAGTATGTCATAATTTTGACCCAAGGTCATGACAAGTTCAAGTCACTCAGAAAAAGTGTAAAAGTCATGTCAGGTCCATAATTTTCTAATGGAGAACGTTGGATAGCCATATCTCACTTAAAGATTGTTTTTGACCAGAGGATGCATCATATTTTTTAACCAAGGTCATTTTGGCAAGTTCAAGGGCACACTTAAAATAAATGTGAATGGGCACTTTTAAACAAATTTGCAGTAGAGGGTATTATTTTGTGAGCTTGCTCACAGAACCCAGTCTATGCGAAAGTCACTGACCGGACCGTCGGTTTTTACCGGTAAAATTTGGTTCGGGTCGGTAAAAAAATTCAGGATACAGGACCAATTGTCCGATGAAAAATTAAGGCCTAAAAATCTGAATTTACATGTACATATGGTCTTATTGTCCACACATATCCTTTATTTGATCCATTTAGCAGTAATAAATGTTTTATTTCAATCTATAAGAATCCTGTCATGATCGTTTATTTCTAACTCGAATTTCCTCTGTCATGGAATATAGATCCATAGATAGCTCATACGTAGATTCATTTGAGCAAAATTATTTTCATTATTAAACAAGAGTAACTGCAATGAGTTACTTCAGGAAAGAAATAAGTATATTTTAAAGTGCATTTTAAGTTTAAAAAAAGTCTTTGACAATGTGTATTTCGTTTGTATGTGTCAGATAACCAGAAAAAGGAAAAATTGTTTTGAATTGTATATTACCTTTTATAAAGGAAAATTATTAATAGTAAGCTTGTACATTTCCCTAAAATAATTTTTTTATAATCTCAAATCTGGATTTATTTGAGGTTCAATTTAACAGTGAGAATCCCCCCTCCTTTTAATAGTCTCTATCATAATGATGTATGATTAAATTTAAAGAAAAAAGGTCTGTCTGGTAAGTAAATGCTTGGTCTGGTAAAATATATATTTTTACCAGACATTATGTCCTGTAAAAATTTTAGACTTTCGCATAGACTGAGAACCTCTAGTTCTGTTATGTAATAGATATATGCCGAATACTGTTCTATATGTAAAATTATCAGACTGTTTGAGGCCCGTTAGGGCCGAAAACAGTCTGATAATTTTACATATAGAATTGTATGAGGCATATATCTTACTTAAAACATTGCTATTTAAATGTCCAAAAGTTACCTGGAGGAGTCCGATAATTACCCAATAGGAGTTCAGGCATCAATAGTTTTCTACCTGAAACCATCTAATAAGTAGACAAAAGAAAAGAGAAAGTTTTCTTTTTCTTTAGACAGTAAAATCAGTGAGTGAACTCTTTTGTTTCATTCATTCATTCAAAGGCAGTCGTTTGGCTTAGCAGGAACTATGGACAGTGGTCAGGTGAAGAAGGATTTTTTTATGATTCGGAATATTTTTTTTTTTCATTAAGTGCGTTTGAGATTGATACAGATAAAGTGTTGGATAATATCTTCAAAATGCATTTAAAGTAAAAATTCGGATTTTTATCTAAAATTTTGATTGGATGATATAATGAAAATCTTGGATTTCAAAAGTGCGGTCATTGACGATCAAATTTCGTTAAATGAAGAGATTCGCAGACTGGTTCTTTATCAGAAATGGATTTAAATTGGCTTATTCACGGTGCTGTATCGAAAACACTTTGCAAAAACCGAATAGAAAGTGTTACTTTTGAGGAAGGTTAAAACTCCAGCTTCTTCTTGGATTTGCTATTTTTAACAACATAATTTCCTCACGTTCGCTTTCCCGGAATTTTTCTCCCTAAGTTAATTTTTGGTTTCTGGACAAATTAAACCTTGATTTCACTCTAGTTGTTGTTTTTTTACTGTCCGATTTTGTTATCACTGCCGTCCTATAATATATTATTGGACTGTTAATTATTATTATCGGACGGCTACAGGTAAATTTTTAGACTGCAAGAACAAAGGCATGACGTCACAGCAACGTTTTAAGTTTTGTTACAGTTCATGATAGTATCTAATTAGCAAATGTATAAATACTATTATTACATTTTATACAGTGAAATACAGTAATTTATTTATTGAAAAAAAGAGATATTCTGTCACAGTGTGAAAGAATATCAAATTGATGTTCTGTTGCAGTGTGAAAGAATATCAAATGGTTGTTCTGTCACAGTGTGAAAGAATATCATATAGTTGTTCTGTCACAGTGTGACAGAATATCAGAAGTGCAACAAAACTCGAGATTTTCCTTTCCTTCACAAAGAATGTTGTAAAAAGTATACTTCCTGGTCTGTAATAAGATAGCGAGAGTAAAAAAAACCCATCCTGACAGAGACTAAAACTGCCAAAGTTTCTCCAGGTATGTTGTTGAAATCAATGTTTACAATGTTTTCAATCTCACAATCGCTAAGCTATGATGTCTCATCTGCTCAACTATGACGTCACAGCCTGTGACACTGCGCTACAGAAAGACAGAGGCAAAGGGAAAATCAAAGAAAATGTAATAAACAGAAAATTCAATATTTTTGGAGTTGGATATGGAATTTATTTCACTTGTGGGACAATTTTTTTGATATTTTCACCTGTGCTTGGCACTCATGAAAATATCAAAATATCCTGTCCCACTTGTGAAATAAATTCCATATCCAATGCTAAACTTTGAATATCCTCTCTCTCTCTCTTTCTCTCTCTCTCTCTCTATAATCACATGCAAATATAAATATTTATAGAAAGAAGAAAAAGACACCTGTGGGAACTGTGGCATTCGTACAACTCAACTTCATATAACCCCCAAAGGATCCTTGTGTAACTCTTGTTATCAGTATTGGAGGTATTGCAAAAAATATGTATTGTAACATCAATGTTTTTGAGGTCCACAAAATTGCTTCATAGCTAATATATTAAGCTTCATTAACAGTTAATATACTAAGCTTCATTACCCTACCCCACAAGAAACAAAATCATGATGAGATCAAGATCACAGGGTACAAAAGTATTAAATCATTGTTCTATCTACAACTCTTAAATGGAAAAACATTAGGGGTATATACCAGAGATAATTGTTGCCCATGATTCAGTCAAACATAATTTGAACATAAATTTAAAGTTCAAAAGTGAGTTCATTGTTTATTAGATAAACCATTGCTGGCATTTATTTCTAAAATTGCACAAGACAGATGGAATTTTCTTACCACCCCTTTACATATATCTAGAATAAAAGTGATATTTTTTATTTCCAATGTCCGCAATAATTCCATGCAGAGTGTTAATTTTCCAAAGGGCTCATCTAAATAAAACTTTGATAGATAAAAATTACAAACTAATGGCTCTGTTTACAGGAGAACAGGAGTGATGCGAACAGCAGGTCCTAAACGACATGACCACGGACAGCATCGACATAATCCAATGAAGCACAAGAGAAAGCCCCCCAGAGGCATGTTCCTGAACTATGATGATTTACAGGTCATTGTTAATGGTCCTCAAGGCCAAGCCGAGGCTCTGCTGAAATCTTTAGATCAGGAACTGGTTTCCCTTAAAAGACAGGTATCATTTGATAAATAGAAAGTGTCCATCATATGTCATGGTTCTAGTCTGACTTCAAAAGGTGCATAACCACTTGATGTGAGGCAAACAGAGTACAGTGTAGGCACAACATATGATTTTAAACATATTGAATGAAGTATTAAAATGGTACATTTGACCCAATGTTAAAAGTGATAACTGTAAATGGACCTTAGTTTTAGACCTAGGTTGCAAGAAAGAAAAAATATGTTTAAAAAAATCTTCCAGAACATGATGACCAAATAATGTGCTCCAGAACCTTGGAACTGATTAAGTTGTGATATTTACAGGTTCAGAATAATAAACAGATGCTCAGTCTTCAGAAACACAAGATGGCTGCTGGAATTGATGATGTCAAACCACCAGAGGTAAGCAGGAAACAACAGGATACAAGTTGTCTTTATTGTCACATGTCATTTTTTTCTCCCATTTGTGTCACAATTTCATACTCATTTATGTCACATTTTTATACTGTAAAATATTTGATATTTTCATTTGTTTCTCTGTAGACTAACCCAAGAATCAATGCTCGATGGACAAATGAAGAACTTCTTCTTGCTGTTCAAGGTTATTTTTCTTTTGAAAATTTTGGAGACTCCATTAAAGGTCTAATATCCCTCTGTTCTAAATTTCATCAAAAAAAGAAATTGAAATTCCCAGCATTGATTTTCATCAACAACAAAAGCCTTAGATTCCAATGGGAAAAAGTATAAAGCATGAAGTGAGGCTTCCTTTCTTAGAAAGTAATTTGTTATGGTGTAAAGAAAATGTGACAGTGAAAAGAAAGAGCAATATAATATATTATCACGACATAAAATTAAAAATATTAGGTATATATATATAAATAAATTTCATTGTCATACCTAATTATAATAGAAAACATATTGAAGAGATGCTTTTTAAGTGGGGAAAACACATTGTATTCTGTGTTGGTAAAAAAAAAATGAGTCCATCATTAAGAGTTACCTTTTTAAATATTTTGTTGATCAACAATAAAAATCTATACATGTATATGGTGCATGTAAATTATTGAAATTTTTACATTTTTTACTAAAAGATAAACATATATTCTAATTTAATAACAGTTAAGAAAAGGGGAGTGTAAATGTTTTGGTAAAATAATATAAATAATTTTCATAATATTTGCAAAGGAAAATACAAGAAAATGTTTGTGTTATTAACTTTTTCTTGCAACAGGTGTGAAATATTGTAAATGAACAAACATTTGGGTAAATAACACCTGAAGAAGAGAATTTTTGGGTAATATTCTGTGGAAGTTATCTCTCCTATCAGAGGGTCATTACCTTTAATCATATTAAGTTGTATAAAGTACCATAAAGCCAGAGACTTTGTTGAGTTCTCCTTATTGAAATCTGTTCATTATCTTCCTTAGTCTACATGTCCATGCATGAACTTGTTACAGTTTTGACTTCCTTTCTAGAATATCTGCCATAATGCTCAAACTGACACAAAAGTTCTTTTTGGGTGATAATAATCTTGACATTTGCGTGGCTGAGATTAATGGTATCCCATGTAGGCAGCCTGTCAGTATAGGCATCAGAGTTTATAGCAGTGCTCCTTGTAGATTAGGTTTAAGTTTCTCCACATCATGACACTGTTGGTAAAGCTAGGGCAAAAACATCTATTAAAAGTAAGGCCATGGTTAGACTGATATGTCATGATCCTCATTCAAACCATGGCCCCCGGTGATAGGATGAGGCCATAGAATACTTTTACATAGAATCTTGAATAAAATGTTCTCAACAAGAACATCACATCAACAGACTAATTTCCATGAATCTTTATGTATTGCAAATTTAATTTTATTCAGATCAGGACCAGTAGGGGGTCAAGATGAGGTCGTATAGGGGAGTCAGTGTTTTTTTCATTGGATCATAGTTACCACAAGGGATAAACATTAATTCACAAAAAACATATTTTGTATATTGATTTTTTGGCTTGCATAATATGATATGTACTGATAGGTCTTTTTCCATAAAAAGTTCACAAAAACCAACTTCTCAAAAGTTAGAAGGGTTCAGTATGTTTTTAATAACTTTAGGGTTTAGTATAAATTATACAGAATTTTATATCTTTAAAAATGTAGTTTCATTTGTAACTTGCTTAAATGCTGTTAATTATTATCTGTAAACCATATAGAAGGGGGGAAAACGGTTCTCTAGGTTACTGTATCAGTAACTGACTTTGAGTCAAACATATCATGATATACTGTTGTATTGTTACACCACTTGTTATCAATGAGTATACATGTAACACCTATGAGATTCTGTTGTGTGAATTTTCCCTGCTGATTTAAAGTGCACTTCAGATCCTTTATAGTTAAAGGAGTCTGAGGACAAAGAAGTAAGAATGTAACTGAAGGAAATCTGTAATGTGCAATAATTCAGAAAAATATGTCAACTATTAACAATTTTTTTTTTTCATTTTGACAGGTGTACGTAAATATGGAAAAGATTTTCAAGCAATTGCAGAGGTAATTGGAAACAAAACAGAGGCTCATGTCCGTAGCTTCTTTGTTAATTTTAGAAGACGCTACAATTTGGATGAAGTTCTTGCTGAATACGAAGCAGAACATGGAAAAACTGACTCCTCAGACAAGCTGGACACTGACGAAAAAGAGGAAGAAAAGGTTTAACTTTCTCTTCATTTATTTTATACATGTACACTAGTCAGTTGATATTAATTCTAAAGATTTACAGGTCATAAAAAGTCGGTCTGTTTAAGTCAAATGACTTGGGTTTATACAAGTAAATATTGCTGTAATTTTGCATTATTTTCTTCTTAATTGATATATTTAGATGGAGGTAGAGTTAAAGGAAGAGGTCAATGGAATAGAGGACTCTACAACCAGTACTAATTCACCGGCCTCCTCTACGGCCCCTCCTCCCCTTCTGAAACAACCTCAGACCCCAGGACTCAAGGTTCCTCAGATTACTCAACAGTCAAGGTATTTAACAGTTTCTTTCATCTCTCTGAACTAGTTTGGTTTATTCTATATATTTTTTATGTTTTGTTTTTCCTCTTTTTGATGTGCTTTTGGGTTTGCTTTCATTTGTTTTCTCTTTTATATCAGCCCACAGCCAATGGAAAGTTGATGCTGGCCATCATTAATAGCCTACTAGGTAGGGAAAATTGTAGATCTATCATGTCATCACATTGAAATCTTCAGTGACATCAAGCATCAACTTCTGAAATATCTCCCATACAGATTTCTGTTATTTTTCTTTTTGTTTATTCTGACAGTAGCTGAGTCAGTATACTTCCTATTTAAACTTAATTTCTGTGCCTATTATTAATCTATGAATCTTTTTCTACTGTAAATATGACAGTTTTAGCATTAAATATGAAGTAATTTATGTCACACAGTACTGCAGACCTTATTTTTCCCATGTGGGATTTATTTAGGCTTTGTATATGGTTATAAAATTTTTGGTGGAAATTTGTTTCAATGTACTTAAAATGCATGAAGGTCATACAGTGACAATCCAAACATCAGAGTAATTTTCTGCCCACTAATTGAACAGATATTGTGATTTTGTAGAATTATGACTCTTTGGAAAAAAGTACGTTTACAGTATACATTCAAATTTCATGGAGAAAAATAAAGCATTGACCATATAGACTTAATTTCCATTCTTATGTCACAGTTTTGTGCTCACCTTCTTATCATGTAATTGTATCCTTCAAAGAACTTGGGTGATGTGTCAAACTAATTGTCAAGCATTGCTATGTAATGTTCAAGTTATTTTATATTGTTCATCAGGCTAGGATAGGGCTACAATAGGTCTCAGTCTACATGTAATTAATATGCAATCATTCCTATGTAGTGTTTATTAAGTCTTTAACCCCATGACAAGGGTGATATTGCAAGGCTGCAATAGATTACTTTGCAAGCATCTTAATACAGTCTATTTTGGATATATTAAAATTCAAGGGACTAACACATTTCTTTCAATAAATATGTGAACTTGGTCTAAAAAGATGTTTCAAAATCCTGATCTAGATTTAAAATGCATCGACAAACCCCAATCACACGATTAAATCTACGACATTTTAATAGGGAAATGAAATAGTTTGTTCATAAAAGTTTTATTTGAAAAAAGCCATTTGATTTCAGCATTCAATTTTTGGTATAATTTTCTAATCTTAGTCTTAATCAGTTAGGGGAAAAGTCACCAGGCTCGCTTGGACTCGAAGGCTTCAATAACACAAGCATGCTGCTTGTACAAGTATATCTTTGCTAGAGTGTGCTCGGATTTATCCCAAAATCCTTCACTAATTTGGATTCAGATTTCACATTTTATCTTGGGTTGACATTGATTCATTTTAGGTATTTCAGGATAATGTTTTTCTTTCTCGTGATTACTCACTTACACAAGTGTGTGTTCAAATGGCTGTTCAAAAGCACCATCAATTTGTGATCATATGTAAATGTAATACCCCTCAGTAAATTATTTCTTATATATTGAAACATGCAATGAAAACGTATTAGGTGAAATTTTATCTTCTGACACCTTAGCATCTATCTGTATAATTGCAATGTCACCAACCACTGGCCATGGGGACTTCAATATAACCATTATAAAAGCAACTCATTAGCTCAGCGGACGATAATTTGCTTCAAAATAATCAATAATTCAATATAAGTGATTTCAATTTAACAGATATTTTATTGCAAAGAAAATGAGAAACAGACTGTGGATTTAGTTTTACTTAAAAATAAGTGATATTTAAAATAATATTTCAATACAAGTGGAATAGGCTGTACATGCAGATTCAGTTTATAGCTCTACTGGTCAGAGACCAGTGGCCCTTTTCACAAAAAATCCTACAACTAAGACAAAAATTTTCCTTTGCTCTAACAAGTATCTAAGCTGTAGTAGGTCACAAAACTATATGTTTCTATTACATAAATTAAATTACAATTGCAAATAATATTTTAGAAAAAAAATAATATCTTTATTAAACAAAAAATTATAAAGTTGTCAAAGTTTTATCTTAGTCGTAAGATTTTTTGTGAAAAGGACCACAGAAGAACATGTTACTTCTACAGATAAAATGGAAATTTCGTATTTGTCCATATCAAACTTCAATGTATCAAACTTTAAATTCTTCATCTATTTTAAAATTATTCATGTGTACAATATGTACACTGTACAGTTATATGAAATGTTTTGTTTTGATTCGAGGAAATGGGAACCGACACTGTTGACAGTGACAGAAGGTGGGACAGTTTGCTGCAATGAGATAATCTTGAATTCAGATAGTCAATAAACATTTTTTTTCACTTTTGGTACTTACTTTGTATATATCATAGTCTTCAGTTCTTGAGTTCATCAGGTCTCACCGTAAATGTATCTGTGTATTCGTGGTCAACCCGTTTCCCTCTAAGTGGTTCTTTTCAACTTTCCCTCATTAGATGGTACAATCCTACTTGGATAACTGTGGTAATTCTAGAGCTAATACATGCAACGAAGCTCCGACCTCATGGGAAGAGCGCTTTTATTAGATCAAAACCAGTGAAAAAATTATAATTTTTCAGAAAACAGGAGAAATAACTCAACTAAAGGGAGGGAAAACAAACATCTCCCACATTTTAGAGCTCTGAAAACGGTATCAATAATAACATGATGATTTTTATTTTTAAATATTTTAATTTTTTTTTTTACATAAAAGGAGAACAAAACAATATGACGTGTTTGGCGAATGCAAAATTATAAAATAGACCGGTAATCTGAATGTTATGTAGCCAATTTAAAAGCAATATAACTTTAAAATATTCAGATAAAAAATGTTGTGCTTTGATCACAGATACAATTTTCATATGAAACTAATGAAATTTCAGGGTAATCCTTCGTCTCCTTCTTTTTATGGAAGGGGAGGGGTTTAATTAAAAAAGAAATAATCAAGAATTACCCATTTTTCTACACCCAATTTAGGGCCGAATATCTGTCCTTTCCTCTCACAAAAATTACCAATTTTTTCCCCAATTTAAGTTGCTTTTTTCCCAAAATAAAACCATGTGAAATTTCGTTGCTTCTTTTTTAATGTTGAAATCTTTTACGTATGACTTATCTTAAATGGAACACTATTGTTCTTGGTCATTACTTTTTTTTTTTTAAAACCTCAATGGTATAAATTAAATGTATGACTTATCTTAAATGGAACACTATTGTTCTTGGTCATTACTTTTTTTTTTTTAAAACCTCAATGGTATAAATTAAATGTGTTGAACATGTCAACCACTTACGATGTCATTATGAAATTATGTCAATTGTTTATCACTAGACAATGAATTTATGTTCAGGTGACGAACCTGTTTATACACAGACATAAATTTGCCTTGCTCAAATAATGTTGTATAATGGAAAAAACATATGCAAATGTAAATGTTCATGTTAAACCCTGTGAACTTGATTTTTCTTTCTTTTGACAGATTGAATCCTCCCCAGAGGACAATTTTACAACAGCCTCCTCCTCTGATACGACCCTCCTCCAGTGTCTCCATCTCTAAATCTGTCACCTCCTCATCCTAACACAACCACTACAACCAGGGACATAATTACACCAAGACATGGCCTTCTCGAAAAACCATCTAGTCTCCATTACTCAACAACACAAATATATTTATTGTATACAGGAAAATTTTCACCCATTTTATTTTAGCCCCTTTTGCCCTTATCACAGATGGGCAAATTTAAAACAGGGCAAATTCAAAGAACACAGTATAATTCCTTAAACAGAACTGTGACTGGGCGAATTTATAAGGGGCAACAATGTTCGCAAGTGCACAAGGGCAAAAATAACACGGGGTGAAAATAACACTGTATACAGTATATCAGAGTGTCTTAGCGTATTTGATATGTGTAGTTAACTGACTTTATATGATTTTATTGTGCTTACATCAGACTCAATATGAGAAGGAAATCTGGTTAATATTGTTCGATTTTGTTAAATGCTGCAGGGATCGAACAAAACACACACATGATATACATGTATGATATGGATAGAGTGTATACTGTATACATCTTTCATTTTGCTCAATGTTTACATTTCTATACTTCTTGGTTTGAGTTCATGAATTTCTTCCCTTTCTTTGATATTTCATTACACTCGTAAATAAAAATTTACCATATAATTTTCACATTTTAAAGGTAAATGTTGCAGATATAAAGGCTGTATACAGTATAAGGATATTAAAATTTGATTCAGGTGTATTGGGTGTATTTCATAAATTAGTAGGTGAATACGTGAAAGTTTTGGATTTTTTTAATAGATAGTAGGTGAATATATGTTTTTGTGATTTTTCTTCGTACATTCATAGTGGGAACAGAATTTGAAAAATTAAGAACAAATTTGATTTATTAAATTCTGCTCCCATTTATATTAATTTATTTTCTTATTCTACTTACATGCTTAATCATAACTTGTGCTGTTTGTTTTAAAATGTATCTTAGATGTTTTATTGCACATGTATATTGTCATGCTTTCCATTCTGTGCCTCATATCATCAGTGTTATGAAGTATCTCGTTATATATACATATAAGATGTTAATTGTAGATAAATAATTGTAGACTAAAAGTGTGTGGAATGTCAGTTTTTTGTTTGGTATAATGTAATACATTGCACTTTTCTGTAGTCTGAATCTTAAGTATCATGTTGATCCAGATCTCTACAACAGGGTGATATGTGTAATACCAACAGTAATGTAATCCCATTTGATACTGCTGGTACATATTTATAACTGAACTACTATCATTAAGTTTATACAGGTTTTAATGATAAATATCAAGCAATTCACACACTGAAAAACATCATATGGACATTTATATGCAAATACATGTAATTTCATTTGTATCAAACTTTTATCACTGAGATTGATGTTGCTCTGAATATGAATGCTCATGTCATATAATAACATTTCCTAAAAAATCGAAAATGAAATGTCTACAGTTTGAGAATTTTGGGGTTTTTTTCCTTTGTATTATTGGGAGAAGATGAAGCACACACAGGATGTTAACAGCTGTAGAGTTGTATCTGAAAAAAAATGTGTGCATGAGGAATTTTGAGTGTTTAAAAGTAAGTAGTTGTAGAACTTTGAAATATGTGCAACTCAGAAGTGATTGTTTTAGTCTCAATGCACCTTTAATTCATAATACCAGTGAAGTTGATGCATTAAAATATGGACAGTTTTACCTTTTGTAGCAAGAATTCTAACTTGATTGCTTAAATGAGAGGCCCATGGGCCACAATTCATACCTGAGTTTCTTTATGCTAGCAGATTTTTTTTTTAATTTCCCTCTTTAATTGATTCCTTGTTGGGAAATAGATAAAGTTAAATCAACACAACATTGGGCTGTTTCAATATCAATATGACTGACATGGTCCTGCTGTTTTAGAGAAGATATTTTATGTCCCGTCATGAATATGACCAGGGCTTATAGAGTTTGTAATGTCCGTCTTCCGTCCTTCCAACACGCTTTGTGTTTAGCTCAGTTCAAAGCTCAATTTTAAATAAATTGTTCAAGATATTTTTATCAAACTTCATATGCTGATACATATTGATGAGAACTTTTCAACTGCATCAACATTTTTTGACCTTGACCTTTTCTTTAACCTTGACCTCACTTTTCTTAAATTAGTATATAAGTCAGTTTTAAAGAAATGTTAAAGATGGTGCTTTCAAACCTCATATGCTGATACATACTACTGAGAGCTATTCAACTGAATCAACATTTTTGACCTCGACCTTTCCTTTGACCTTGACCTCACTTTTCTTAAATTAGTGTTTAACTCAGTTTTAAAGAAACCATTCGTGATATTTTTATCAAACACCATACGCTAATATATACTCAACTGCATCAACATTTTTTGACCTTGAGGTTTCTTTTGACCTTAACCTCACCTTTCTTAAATAAGTGTTTAACTCAGTTTTAAATAAACCATTCAAGATATTTTGTCAAACTTAATATGCAGAAACCATTCAAGATATTTTGTCAAACTTAATATGCAGATACGTTTTAGTGAGAGCTATTCTACTGCATCAAAAACCGTTGACCTTGACCTTTCTCTTTGACCTTGATCTCATTTTTCTTCAATTTGCATAGTTTTAAAGAAACGGTTTCTAAGTAAAATGTTGCCCATTGTTGCCCCACCCTAGCTTTGGGGGACAGGATTTAAACAAACCTGAGTCTTCACCATTTGAGAATGCTTCCATATCAATATGACTAATCATGACTTTACTGTTCTTCAGAAAGAGATTTTTCTGTATATATTCCAATGTAAAACTTGGTCTATTTTGGCCCCATCCTAGCCCTGGGAGTCATGATTTGAACAAATCTGAATCTACATTTCATTTCAAAGTTTTATTTTTCTGGCTCGGTGATTCTTGTGAAGATTTTTAAAAGATGCCATTAAATTTTTACCAATTCTTAATCATCTCCCCTTGAAAGAGGTTGTTGCCCTTTCATTTGAAGAAACTTTAATCCCCTTAACTAAGGATGCTTTGTAGCAAGTTTGGTTGAAAATGGCCCACTGGTTTTTGAGAAGTTGAAAATATGAAAAGTTTTGAATAACAACACATGATAAACGAATGACAGACACCTTTCGATCAGAAAAGCTCAATTAAGCTTTCAGCACAGGTAAATTGAAAAAAAAAATACCTGATTTATAAGTCCTTGAAAACCAGGAGAGTTGGAACATACATTTTTTCCTAACACCAAAGGACCTCGCTGCCTTTGTAAATATTCTGTTAAAAAGGAAACATACATGATTAACTGATAGGGTCATTTGCTCCCATCTTATTAGAATGTTGGTAAAATTGAGCAAGAATGTGATGGCAACAAAGGAAATGGGGGGAGGGATGTGGAAGTGTATGAAGGGGAGGAGCAAAGAATGCAAGGGTAACACTACAGTGAGGAAGTGTATGGAGAGGAGGAGCAAAGAATGCAGGGGTGACAGTGAGGAAGAGTATGGAGAGGAGGAGCAAAGAATGCAAGGGTAACAGTGAGGAAGTGTATGAAGGGGAGGAGCAAAGAATGCAAGGATGACAGTGAGGAAGTGTATGGAGAGGAGGAGCAAAGAATGCAAGGATGACAGTGAGGAAGTGTATGGAGAGGAGGAGCAAAGAATGTAAGGGTGACAGTGAGGAAGTGTATAGAGTAGAGGAGCAAAGAATGTAAGGGTGACAGTGAGGAAGTGTATGAAGGGGAGGAGCAAAGAATGCAAGGGTGACAGTGAGGAAGTGTATGAAGGGGAGGAGCAAAGAATGCAAGGGTGACAGTGAGGAAGTGTATAGAGAAGAGGAGCAAAGAATGCAAGGGTGACAGTGAGGAAGTGTATGAAGGGGAGGAGCAAAGAATGCAAGGGTAGAATGCAAGGGTAGAAGTGAAGAAGTGTATGGAGAAGAGGAGCAAAGAATGCAAGGATGACAGTGAGGAAGTGTATGGAGAGGAGGAGCAAAGAATGTAAGGGTGACAGTGAGGAATTGTATAGAGTAGAGGAGCAAAGAATGCAAGGGTGACAGTGAGGAAGTGTATGGAGGGGAGGAGCAAAGAATGCAAGGATGACAGTGAGGAAGTGTATAGAGAAGAGGAGCAAAGAATGCAAGGGTGACGATGAGGAAGTGTATTAAGGGGAGGAGCAAAGAATGCAAGGATGACTGTGACGAAGTGTATGGAGAGGAGGAGCAAAGAATGCAAAGGATGACAGTGAGGAAGTGTATGGAGGGGAGGAGCAAAGAATGCAAGGATGACAGTGAGGAAGTGTATAGAGAAGAGGAGCAAAGAATGCAAGGGTGACAGTGAGGAAGTGTATGAAGGGGAGGAGCAAAGAATGCAAGGGTGACAGTGAGGAAGTGTATGGAGAGGAGGAGCAAAGAATGCAAGGATGACAGTGAGGAAGTGTATGGAGAGGAGGAGCAAAGAATGTAAGGGTGACAGTGAGGAAGTGTATAGAGTAGAGGAGCAAAGAAGGCAAGGGTGACAGTGAGGAAGTGTATGGAGGGGAGGAGCAAAGAATGCAAGGATGACAGTGAGGAAGTGTATTAAGGGGAGGAGCAAAGAATGCAAGGATGACAGTGAGGAAGTGTATGGAGAGGAGGAGCAAAGAATGCAAAGGATGACAGTGAGGAAGTGTATGGAGGGGAGGAGCAAAGAATGCAAGGATGACAGTGAGTAAGTGTATAGAGAAGAGGAGCAAAGAATGCAAGGGTGACAGTGAGGAAGTGTATGAAGGGGAGGAGCAAAGAATGCAAGGGTAGAAGTGAAGAAGTGTATGGAAAGGAGGAGCAAAGAATGCAAGGGTAACACTACAGTGAGGAAGTGTATGAAGGGGAGGAGCAAAGAATGCAAGGGTAGAAGTGAAGAAGTGTATGGAAAGGAGGAGCAAAGAATGCAAGGGTGACAGTGAGGAAGTGTATGAAGGGGAGGAGCAAAGAATGCAAGGGTGACAGTGAGGAAGTGTATGAAGGGGAGGAGCAAAGAATGCAAGGGTGACAGTGAAGAAGTGTATGAAGGGGAGGAGCAAAGAATGCAAGGGTGACAGTGAGGAAGTGTATAGAGAAGAGGAGCAAAGAATGCAAGGGTGACAGTGAGGAAATGTATGGAGGGTAGGAGCAAAGAATGCAAGGGTGACAGTGAGGAAGTGGGAGGTGACAATGTAATGTTTCACAATGGCACCCTTCACTTGCAATTGCACATTTTTCGATCAAATTCTTCCTCCCTGAGATGGAGAAAGAGAGAGAAAAGTGGCCTTATCATTTACTTGTACATCATACAGATTGGATTCCTCATTTCCTGTCACAACTTTTTAAAAATTTTCTAATGTTCGATTGAATCTGTATGTATAATTAAAAGTATAGATCAAGGTATAATTTACCTGTTTCAGAAAATGTGATCGTTGAGAGTTTCTTGTTCACTTCACCTCCAAAGCTTCTTCCAGTGAAGTGGAGAGTTAAATCAAGGTGGTCATCTACCTAAAAATGTAAAGATATACATGAAACTTAATTATCAAGGCAAACAGTACTAACGCAAAATAAAACCTCAAAAGAAGCACAAAATAAGAATGTGTTGTATATAAACTTACCTTGGAGGTTACATTAAGAAAGGACATCATTCTTTTGTTTTGTAAAGAAAGTCCAAATATCACTTTCACAATTTTTTCTTCAAGAGTTTGAAACATGATCGTTACGGACGGATGCATGTTTGAGGCACAGTCTCCATAGCTTAATAAAGTCATTGATGAATGAAGGTCACCGTTTGGTTTCACTCTGACAGACAGTCTAAATCCGGAGTCCAGCTCCATTTGATAAAACTGCCATAAAACTATTCTAGTGTCTTTATTGAACACTGCATTCCCTTTTCCGTCGTATCGTAAAGTATCGTACATTGACTCCAGTTTCTGAGCATTTTCGGCATTTGACAGAAAATCCAGATTTAAAACTTTATCACATCCTTTGACAAAAAAAATGGTATTAAAAAATGTTACACAATGTATTATTTTTCTGATCTATAAAGTTAGAATTTTGGTAGAAGGCTGCCAAAGATTCTTACTTGGAGCGTCGGCGATGTTTTTGTTTGCAATACATTTGCAAACATTCGCGGAGAAAACGTCACCATCAGAACAGCGCTGTGGTACCCAAGAGTCGTAGAGGATCATCAAGTACCAATTGTCTCCTTGTTGTGAGGGTTTGTATGGACAATCTGCGAATATAAAATCATTATAACAACGCATACACTTAAAAGCTATTACTGAATACAAGTAATATCTTCTGATCAAGGTACCTTGACACAATGCGTATAGATTGCATCTACGTTGATCAAACTTCGTCCCGGAGCAATATGCTCCGCCATTACGTGGCGGCGGTCTGTTACAATGTCGCGTTCGAGATGAAATTCCTTCCCCACAAGACTTTGAACATGTGCTCCACTCCGACCATGACGACCAGCTACCGTTCTCTAAAAGAAGACCCATTCCCAACCAATTAATTTAATATCCAGACTAAATATTAGAATGTGATCCAAACAAAGTATATCTTACATAATGTTTTTTTTTCCGGGGGGAGGGGGTTAGTGTATCCTGGATACTATGCTCGTTTTAAACTGTTAGGCTGTTGCGTTTTGTGAGTTGCTTTTTGGGACGTATTGTAATGATCAGAAAGTCAGGAATATGTGCCGAAAAAGGGGGCACCTGTGTATGCATTGTAAAATGGATTTGATTTGAAACTTTTTTCTGAATATTACCGGGGCACTGTGTTGTATCAATTTGGGGACAGGCTTGTCTACTTTCTGAGGAACCAGAGCAAGGTTTGCCACCGTTGGATGGTGGAGGATTTGAACATTCCCGTTGTCTTTGACGTGTCTTTGTGTGACATTCACAAGAACTCCTTGCTTCCCACTCAGTCCAAGCACCATCAACTAGAAAGTTATTAGAAAGGTGATGTCAAGTAACATGAATCTCCGGAAAATACATGTCATGTAGTCAATCCTCTCTATTATGGATGGTGGTCCACTTGATTGATTATCAGACCTACCAGGTGATTAGATTATCAGACCTACCAGGAGAAGGACAGTCTGCTTTGGAGCAGGACTGGAACTCCGTGTCTGCCTCCTTGCCCCCACACTGTCCCTGGCACCAGCGGGTCCTTACTTGTCTGCCTGACCCACATGAAATGGAACAGTCACTCCACGTAGACCAAATCCCTACTCCCCATTCATCTAAAGAGACAATACTTGTACAGCAGTTCTCCAAAAAACTATTAAGTGAACAATATCCAGAAACACTTTTCAAACTACATCACCATTAATTTCATCGTAAGAGAAAACTTAAAATTATCTTCTTTTCAAGAAAATTTTAACGAAATTCCTAAGCATAAAATTTGTCTTGACATGATGAGAGCTTTAGCCCATTCCTAAGTATTTAAAAACCGTTTAAAATGTAAAATATATAAGATAAAAACAAAAATATATATTAAATCGAACTTTTTAGCCACCCTATACATTTACCCCTGAGGCAATTTTTACCACTCGCGGTTGCTTGTATTCCTTTATGCACGAAACACATTTCATGTATAGTCAAATCGGTATTGACAAAAAACTATTCAGACCTTGGCAGCCGTGTGTGTTGCAGATTTCTGTCTGACTTGGCATGCCATCACAAAGCTGACCGCCTAGGGAGGGCCGAGGTGAATTGCAGGAACGTGCACGTGAGCGATAGCCACCATTACAAGAAGCCGTGCACGTGCTCCAGTTCATCCAGGAAGACCAAATGCCGTCAACTGGGTCTAGAAAAATATTTTTTAAAAATCGATTAATGAATATCAACACAATTGTAATATTAATAGTACATATAGTATAGAAGTAAAAACAACGGGGAGAAAGACTAATTTGGAATGACATGAAAAAGAGTAAGAAATATAATTAAATAGTCAAAAGTCGTGATTATTTAGTGCTTAGATTATTGACTCTGCAACTAAAAGGTTCACATACAAAAGTTTGTAGTAAAGAGCATGGGTGAACGACACAAATGCAAAAGATTCATTTTATTTATACTACTTGCGTATGAAAAGCCGACCGCTGGACCACATTTACTAAAATCTGGACTCGAAAAGGTGCTAGGCTACACAGAAGATGGGCGAACACGTCGAGTAAAATGCCTTTGGTTCGACAATTAAGAAAGTGAAAAATTAATTCTCAATTATAACACAATTTTCTTTGATATTTCAGTTAGCATCAATGTATACTGTATGTAAAATTTCCACAATTTACAACAATCTCACAAGTATGAGACTTACTCGTCTATGCAATAGCACCAAAGTGGGCAAAAATGATCATTTCTTCATATATAACACTTTTTAGCTATATAGGTGGGTCTTTGCTCCTTTTTTTTTGCTGAAAGGATATATCTTCAAAGCTTAACAAAAACATGGAGCAAGGACCCACTCTATACCTTAAAAATACACTTTTATGACGCACAAAATTCATATCTTTCCGAGAAATATTTGAAGTCTAGTTTTTCAAGGGTCATATCGCAAACAAGATTTAAATGCCTTCAACTGTAATGAGTTGTGTGGTGTAGTGGTTAGCGTGGCAGTCTCCAAGAAGAAAAAACTGATACAGGATTTTTATCGCTTGGGTTCAAATCACAAGAAATCCTTAAATCTTTTTTTAAACCAAAGAACTATTTTTGCCAAGAGAATGTTTCCACAGAAGAGTTTTGTTTGTCATAATTTCATACCTTTCAATAATTAAAACTTGCTTTAAATACTTTGTTTACAATTTGAATTGATATATTTGAAGGTAAAGGCATTTTGCACATCTTGTTCGCCCATGTCCTTTTATTTTGAAAGATTTTTACTTGCCTAAACATACCCTCTGAAGGGCTCTGTTAACTAATGCATACAGCATTCCAATATCATCGGTGGTCACGGCAAAATCGGAAGCAATCTGCTTTAACTCTTCTTCTATTACGTTTTCACCAAAACCAATAGCCAGGAGGTCCACATTCATGATACGTGCTTGCCAAACTTCAGCAAACGTGCTAGAGTCATCGTCAATTTGTGATCCAGTGACCAGTAAAGCGCGCTTAGTGGCGCCTGGTCGTGAGTAGTACTGATACATTCGGTTCATTTCCTCAAGACCCATATGTAAATTTGCTCCTTCGAAGTTCGGGCGCAAGTAAGAGATGGCGTGTTGTGCAAACTGTCTGTCGACAGAAAAAGTCATAACATCATCAACCGCGGAACTGTAGAGCACAATGGCTACACGGAAGAACTCGGCACCAAGAGTGATGCCATCCAACAGACTTGTAAGGAACAGCTGGATTGCCGGGTGCCATGTCCGTTTACCGTCGGCAGTGACCAACGATGTAGCATTGGAGGACTCCACAACAATTATAAGATCAATATATTTAGAACAACTTTGAGCTGGAAGACGAAAAAAGGACCTTTTTTATATAGTTTGCTTGAAGGTGATTACCACATTAGGTACAGGCCATCAATCTATCTTTATCTTTTAAAAGTTTTCACTCAGGAACGTAATTTGTGCAGATTTAAATTGCTAAATTAATGAATATAAAAAGACATTTTTAAAAAATCAAATAAAAATATTTCATTCTCCGATGAAGTTAAGGAAACAGACATTCGAATAGTTGATTCTTTTACACAGAGCTGCGTCAGGCCCGTAGCAACAGTTTCAAAATTTGTGTGTGTTGGGAGGGGGGGGCTTCCCAAATTAATCTGACAAACAAAAAGCTAATTAACTGTCCAAAGCCTGGAATTTGACAGTGCTCGACCTTATATTAATAAAAAGTGTGTGTGTGTGTGGAGGGGGGGGGGGGCAGCATCTAAAGGAAAATTTACTATATAGCAAAATACTTCACTCAGAAATAAGTGAGGGCCCCCCCCCCCCATCCCCCGCGTTCTTCGGGCCTGTGTGTTAAGGATCTTAGTGACTACGTAGACAGCCAGGGTAGGTCTACACAAAGCTAAGATTTTGAACGTATGTAGCCTATCTGCTATTTAGGATAGCTAGCCTAAATATCTAGCCTAGCAGCTAGGCTAGCTGTGTCGCCCTCAGAGGGCTGTCACCAGGTTTCTGGAAAGGAAGGGGTGGATGGGCGCTTAGAGGGATACTTCCACTCCTAAAGACGGATTTTTATTAAAAATGAGTGCCATTTTGGTGGTGGTGAGGGGGGGGGGGGGGGTAGAGGGATACTCCAACTCCTAAAGACGGATTTTTATGCCCCCGGATCGAAAGATCCCGGGGGTATGTTGTTTTTGTCCTGTCTGTCTGTTTGTCTGTTTGTCCGTTTTTCTTTCTGTCTGTTGTCAACTTTAACCTTGCCCATAACTTTTGATTGGTTGGAGCTATGACTTTCATATTTCACATGTGTATTCCTTGTGACAAGACCTTTCTTTGGGTATCATCATATTTGACCTTTTGACCTTGACCTTGGAGTTTGACCCACTTTTGCAAAATTTTATGAGACTTTAACCTTGGCCATAACTTCTGAACAGTTGGTGCTTGGGGTTTCAAACTTCACATGTGTATTCTTTGTGACAAGGCCTTCCTTTGAATACCAACAACTTTGACCTTTTGACCTTGACCTTGGAGTTTGACCTACTTTTGAAAAACTTTAACCTTGGCCATAATTTTTGAACAGTTGGTGCTTAGGGTTTCAAACTTCACATGTGTATTCCTTGTGACAAGACCTTCCTCTGGATATCAACCACTTTGACCCTTTGACCTTGACCTAGGAGTTTGACCTACTTTTGAAAAACTTTAACCTTGGCCATAACTTTTGAGTGGTTGGACCTAGGGCTTTCATACTTCACATATGTAATCCTTGCGACAAGACCTTCCTTTGGATACCAACCACAACTTTGACCTTTTGACCTTGACCTAGGAGTTTGACCTACTTTTGAAAAACTTTAACCTTGGCCATAACTTTTGAATGGTTGGTGCTAGGGCTTTCATACTTCACATATGTAATCCTTGTGACAAAATCTTCCTTTGGATACCAACCACTTTGACCTTGACCTTGACGTTTGACTTTTATTTAAAAAACTTTAACCTTCGCCATAACATTTGAACAGTTGTATCTAGGTCTTTCAAATTTCACAGGTGTATTCCTCGAGACAAGACCTTTCTTAGGGTATCAACATTTTTTTATCTTTTGGCCTGGATTTTGACTTGCATTTGAAGAAACTTTAACCTTCGCCATAAGCTGCCATACGGGGGCATCAGTGTTTCACAAACACATCTTGTTAAAATTAAAAATGGGTGCCATTTTGATGGCTCTGGTATATTCTGGAAGTCATTTTTAAGAAAATTATTTTAAACACTAAATAATGAATTTACTTTGCTTAAAAAAAATCTCGATTTTTTAAAGAGGGTACTGACGCACCCAACACACTCCTCCTCCTGATGACGGCCTTGTCTTACCTTGTGACAGTGAAATACAAAGAAGCACACACATGAACCATCTCATCTAAAAACGAACCGAAAGAAAAAAAAAGAGCAAGTCAGACAAATAGACAATGCACCAAAAACATCCTCTAAATACTGAAAAGGCCACGTGTTGACTGACTCTCAGTGCATTTTAACAAATTCAGGGCATTAGAAAAATTTGCTAAGCTCAACTTACATGTAACGAGACAGAAAAAGTGAAGTAAAACCTCAAAGTTATACAAGTTTAGTACAATCTAAGGGGACGACCATTTGATTCTGCAAAGGGAGGGGCGGCTTGCAGATTCGGGAAATAATAATTTGTCCTCGAAAATGTTGAAAATAAATAATGCGTATTCGACTGCCAAGAAAATGAATAAATAATCTGTCCTTGACTGGCAAGAAAATAAATGATCTGATTTTGAATAATTTTGCCAGTCCCCCCCCCCCCCCCCCCGAATCAATATCAAATGGTCGTCCCCTATTCTTATTTTCAATCAAAATATTTAAGATGAAACGTTTAAATTACTTTTTATAAGTAGACAACAATTTGTACCTACCTCTCTTTCTGTGCTATACTTCCATAAAGATTGGAGTCATTCCGAGTGTAGATAGAGATGTCTGGGGGGCACTGGTCGACACTCCTTGTATGATCAGATACTGTACAAGACCAAGAGATGATCAGATAACGACATCAGCTGTTTATAAAGGACCAGAAACACATTGCTGTTCACCATACAGAGCTGTGGGGGTGGAGTACTGTACTTAAATCTGAGTATTTTTGTTTTAAATCTGCTTTTCTGTTTATTTTCTTTCTTCTGGTGTACAGGTTGAGGCATTCATGGGAAATAACTTCTGCAGCTGGCAGTACATGTACTTATATATATATATATAGAGAGAGAGAGAGAGAGAGAGAGAGATATCATACCATATATATATATACATGTAAGTACTTTAACACATAGCCTGGTATGTATAATAGCATCTAAGAGACTCTAAGAGATATAATTAGGTCTAATAAAAAATGCATTGTTTCCTGTAGTATCATATGAAATACTTCTTTTTAAAAGTCAGAGCTAGTAGGTACACTTTTAAATCATTCCATTACTTCAGGCTTTTGGTCAACACCAACACAGGCCATGTTCATAGCTGTAAATAACACTCTACCAAGTATGCTACTCAATTGATATAGTTTTAAAAAGATCCAATTAGATTAAACGTGTAATACATGTACAAAAAAATACACCTATTGTTGTTTACTTATCAATGTTCAAAAAAAAAAAAAAAAATTGAAGCTGACAAGATTTTTCCGCAATTCAGAAAATTTATTTAAGGCTTTATACAGACAGCTAGAACATGTTTCTCACCTGTTATAAATAAAATATTAACACAAAAGGATTGATCCTTGAAAGATAAAAATTCATCAAAGAGCAATATTATGCATCACATTTTATTTTCATTGACTTAGTACATTGGTACCTGAAACAATATAGCACCTTTGCATATATATTGTACAAAGAGAAACAAACAAAATTTTCATAAGGTACAAATAAAAAATAAAATTAATAAAATGGTTATTTATCCATTTGCTATAACAAGGTACAATTTATACCTATAACAACTGTCAAACTTGTATACTTCTATATTTTTAAAATTTCATTTCCCTTCAAATCTCTTATTATGCCATTCTGTTTACATCACAGGTTTCTTGTTATCCATAGTGATCTGTAAGCTGTATTCCATAAACTAACAGTCCTCAATAAAAGAGAAATCTTGAATATTTGTAGGAGAGAATAGTGAGAGAAAATCAAGCTATTTTTAGATCTTAGAAGTAACAACAGATTTTTACATTTGATATCCTATCTAAATAATCTGACATTTAGTCTGTGTAAAAAAGAAGCAAAATTATTCACCACCTTGATTTAAAAAAAAGTTTTGTCCAAGATCAACAGGAGAGACATTATTGAACACATGCAGTAAAATTAAATTGCCATGCCCATAATACATGTACATGTAATTATTTGGCTGATCTTTCTAGAACTTGTAAAATTATCTGGTCGTATGTTACATAAATATAGGTGGCTGGACAGAGTTCTGAGAGAAAATATTAGATAATGATTCGGTTCCTGACTAGATTTCTTTGGATTTTGCTGGTGGACCTTGGGTTTTACCCAGTGTTCATTAGTATGACTTCACGAGAGTCTAGGACAGAGCCACACATGAAGTCGACATCTTCTAACAGTCTCCCCACTTACCCGCCCACTACAAACACACTGATACTGCACTTTGTGTCTATCTATAGTCGTAAGTTTTAAGGTGTGGTACATTCCTCCAGAAATAGAACATGTCACAAACATCACCACATATTTCTAAAAAAAAAAAAATTAATAGTACTATCTCAAAAATACAATATACAAAAAAAAAAAAAATACAATAAACAATAAGTGTGTAATTAAGAAATAAGATATCATTTTTTAAAGTTTCATTGGGATATGACATGAAGTTGGTCATATGATCAAATCCTATAATGCCCAAAGGTATATTTATTAAAATCTTCTGATATTTTATTTTTTATATTTACATTTTTAAATCTATTCATGTTACAAAGAAAAAATACACTATTTAGACTTTGTTATGGAAATGCAACATAATCATGTATGACGTCACAGTCTAGACTGCCAAAAAGTCAGATCATGTGACCAACTTCATGTCATTAACAAAAGGCCCAAAGGCCTTAACGGTCACCTGAGTATAATACAACAATTTAGAGGATCCATAGAGTACTGGTATGAAATGAACTGAAAGGCGAAGCTTTGTTGCCCAAAAGCAAGATAGTAGGGTGACCAGGATCAACAAAATAATTATTCTAGTACATGTATTCATTTACAGTTTATAAATTAGGTTCTAATCTGTTCCCCATTTATCACTATCACCATACACTATTTTAATCCCCTGTTGAAATCTTACATTGGCCTCTCTTGGTCTTTGATGAACATTTAATAAGACAAGTTATTTTGTCTCATTTTTATTTATCTATTAATTACAAGTCTATCTGATCATTAAAACTATGAAAGTACTTTTTGTATTATACAATAAAAATTCTTGCATAATTCTCTGATTTAGTTAACCTCTCAAGTACATCAAAAGTAAATGGCAAAGAGGAATAACTCCCCTCAGTAGAATGCAAATTAATAGAGCCCTGACCAGGACCAGAACACTTGACGAAATGGTCCAGATGTTCAAAAATCTGGTAAAAATACCCTTCCTTATTAAAACTTTTACTCTTTTTGCCTCTGACATGCCCAGGTGCAGAGAAGATTTTTAAAGAAATGATGCATTTTAACTACCAGATTCACTCTATTATCAATAGAGCCCCCCCCCCCCCAAAAAAAAAAAAAACACCAGAGCCTCTGACTCTGGGATCAACTTAATCTGCTTAACACTAAGGAGCAGACAGGATTATTTAATAGAATTAATGCATTTTCACTACATTATCAAGAGCCCCACCCTTACACCAGCATATCTGACCCAGGGGTCATGAATTCACTACTTTGGAAGAAGCACTCTTGCTCATCATAACTATATACTTAGCTTCTTTGCTTTTTAACCAGAAGCAGAAAAGAATATTTTTGAAAGAAATTTTGCTTCTTCACTATATCATCAATAGAGTCCCCCTCCCCTTTTCACCAGAACCCTTGACCCTGGGGCCATGAAATTCACAATTTTGGAAGAGGCATCTTTGCATATCATAACAATGTACTTAGTTTGTTCAAATAATGAAGATTTTCAAAGAAATAATTCACCTTCACTATAGGATCTATATAGCCCTGCCCTAGCACCAGAACCCCGTCCCTGGGGCCATGAATTTCACAATTTTGGAAGAGGCATCATTGCTTATCATTACAATGTACTTAGTTTGTTTAAATAATACCCAGGAGCAGAGAAGAAGATTTTTAAAGAATTAATGCATTTTCACTATATAATAAATAGAGCCCCGCCCTAACACCAGAATCCCTGACCCTGGGGTCATGAAATTCACAATTTTGGAAGAGGCATCCTTGCTTATCATAACTATGTTCTTAGTTACTTTATTTTATACCCAGGAGTAGAGAAGAAGATTTTCAAAATAATGCACTTTCACTATATGATCTATATAGCCCTGCCCTAGCACCAGAATCCCAGCCCCTGGAGCTTTGAATTTAACAATTTTGATAGAGTCATTCTTGCTTATCATAACTATGTATTTAATTAGTTTCAATAATACCCAGGAGTAGAGAAGAAGATTTTAAAGAAAAAATGCACTTTCAGTATATGATCTATATAGCCCTGCCCTAGCACCAGAACCCCGACCCTGGGGCCATGAATTTCACAATTTTGGTAGAGGGCTCAATGCTTATTACAATTATGCCAACAGTTTGACTGCTTGATGTCCAGGAGTAAAGAAGAAGATTTTTAAAGATTGCAGTAATTTTGGTGGTTTTAGCCCCACCCCTCAGGCCCCAGGGGGGCAGGGACCATGAAATTCACAAATTTTGTTCCCCTTCACACATAGATGCCATATGCTAAAATTGGCTGAAATTGGTTGAGCGGTTTCAGAGAAGAAGCTGAAAATGTGCAAATGTTACAGGGATGGGGTCAATTACATAGGGAAGTAATTAATTAAATTACAATTACTTGCCCAAAACCTTCAATTAAATTACCATTACCATTACAAGGATTTTGAAATGTAATTAATTAAATTACAATTACTTTGCAAATGTAATTAATTAAATTACAAATTACATTAAGAAAAAACATATAAAAATAAACAATGATAAATAGTCATGAACGTTCATTTATATTCATATAGATTCAGTTACTATTCTTTACATTAAGTAAACATTGTTTAGATGTTAATGAAAATTTAAAATATTGTGTCCCCTAACCTACATCTATCAGGTTTAAAGATTTTTCTACCTCAAAGAAGATATTTTACACTGGAGCATTTGTGACAGGAATAAATAAAAACTGACTAATATAGCAAGTTTCAGGGCTTAATTGACCCTTTTTGGTACAGGGTCCTGTACCCTTTTAATTGCGAATTTTTAATCGAAAAAGTGGCAAAATCAGGAAATATTGTTGATTTATATTTATTTCTTGATTAAAGAGTTAAATAGATGACTTGTTCCCCATATACACATGATATATATGTTTAAAAATGATTAAAATTCAAAACATGTTGTTTCTCTATATAAACAGCTTCAAAAAATTGAATTTTGTCATCAGTTGGGAATTGTTACCTGAATTTTTGGGGAAAAAGGAGCCAATTTTCAACTGGGACATGGTCCTTTTCCAGGACCTGGGTGCTGTTTTCCATTAATTCATGTGTCCGTTTTTAAGCTTTCTGATATATTTATGCAAATCAATGGATGCGTTTTGCCTTGTTTCCTGCTTTTTTCATCATCCTAAGCTCTACATCTCAAAATGTTATAGTATTTGACATATTGTGTGTTAAACTACTGTCTTCCCAAAAATTTTTATCAAAATAGAAAAATTGGTGTTATAACACCAAATTATATATTTTAAAAAAAGATTTGTGGGAAGACATAGTCAATGTATGTGTATAAAACTATCAATAGGTAAAGTCAAAATGTGTGTAAAATCTCTAAGTTAAGTGTCAATATGTACATGACCCTAGGGCACTAATTAGCACCTGTTAATCACTTCTTACACAAGCTGTAGGTATGGCAAACAAAGGATTAGAAGCCATTGAACTAGATATTTTAAGTGTCAATTCATAAACAACTTAATTGAAATTATTGATTTTATCTAATATATTTATAAACAAGGAGATAAATAAGATTAAAAAGTTTCGAAGAGAGGAAACAGCAATTCACTAAATAAAGAAAACATAATTTTTTTTTAATATATTATAGAACATTTTGTCCTAAAAATCATTTAACCTTTCTTGAATAAAGTGTTTGGGATTTGAAAAAAGGAGGGGGGGCTATTTCCCATTTATCAAACACCAGTGTAATTGAATGTAATTGAAAAGTAATTGTGAATTACATGCTTTTCTCAAAAGTAATTAATTAAATTACAATTACATGTAATTGAAAATTGGGCCAATTACACATTACTTTCAATTACATCGAAATTTGTAATTAATTACTGTCAATTACCATTACAAATTACCATTACCCCATCCCTGAAATGTTAACATACGATGGACGACGATGGACGAAAATAGATAGCAATAGGTCACCTGAGTGACTCAGGTGTCCTAAAAATTAAATGTCAATTTAATTTGTATTGTCATATAAGGAAAGGCAAATGTAAATATTCAGAAATATGATAAAGATATGGATACCTCCAAATATTCCCGTGGTGGAAAAGGATTTAGTGTGGAAGTCGACGTTGTGTCAATTGGTGAGGTGGAAACTTCTTCCTCCATAAAACAAGCACTGAGGTTACCCACACCCTGAGGACCCTGTAAATCATACTTTTATAAATCAACAACAACCTTCTTATCATTCACAATGCAGGTAGTAAATCAAACTAATAAAGAATACATATTTATAGTATTTCTCTTGAAAGAATTTTTTGTTTCCACATTTTTATTCTTCTATGTTAATTATTATATTGGAGTTATTCCCCTTTAAGCTTGTAATCACATTTTTCTAATTAATAAGTCTTTCAAAAGCTGTAGTGAAAAGGGCATAAAAAGCAATAAATTTTAGGCGATATTCTGACATTTTAAGAATTATGGAACACATATCATAACAGGATAAATTATGTTTTATTGTTAAATCATGATCACATAGAGGATTTTCAGAATTTTGACATTTTTACCTGAGGTCCCTGCATTTTGCTGATATTCAGGAGTTGTTCCTGAAATGTTGCATTCTGGGATTCTATGATGGAAGTGAGATTGTGGTAACTGTAACTTAAGTGATCTTCAATTTGATTAATGTCAGTCTTTGTATGTAGGAGGTTTGTATGTAGTGATGATATATTTTCCTTTGTCTGTTGTTGAAAATGGATCAGCTGAAAAAGAGTAGAGACTTACAGATCTGTGCCATAATTTACAGATAAAATTCCAACACAGCAGTACTCATATTGAAGAAAGTATATTCCCAATACATCAGATATGTTAGATTAGTGTACTTTATTGTTCATAAACTTAGTAGTATTCTTCCCTTCCACAGAATTCTTCGACATTAAGAAAAAGTTATATGTAATAATTTTCTTTTTACTTAATATCCTTCACATGATTCTACATATGTATAAATGTAATTTGAATGAGGATGTTGGTTTTCTTGTTTTTTGTAGATAATGACAGGATCTGCATGCACAGGGGAAAATGCATAAATAATGTGTTTTGTATAGATATTTATACATGTATATCTAACATGCAGATTTTACTCAAAAACCATTTTACCTGAATATAACTCCAAAGACCAGACTGAAATCAATTCCATGAAAATGGATGGGATATGTATTTACAAATATGTGTTAAAGTTATTACATTCAGAAAGTTTTAAATTCTTTTAGAATTAGGCAGATCCTAACTACAAGTGGCAAAATACATATAAAACAATGGAAGGAGAAAATTCAAGTGCACACTTATACAGGATACATCTGCACATTCATGACTGTACATGGTCTCTTTATAAGAGTACATAATTACCTTATCATCAAGGTCACTGATATATTCAAAAGACTTATTGCCAGCAACAAGTGATTCCAGAATCATCATCTAAAAATACAAATGATAGGTTGTTAACCTTCTACTTATGGGATTTTTACATCAAAACAAAGACAACATACATAACTATACATGATGTTACTTTCATTTCTTTGAGGCTTAGAGGATTAAATTTCCGACATGTTGAGTATATCAAGTATACCTCTCCAAACATTCATCATGCCTGACCATGTGATTCTGATTATATAAAATACAATGCTCTTCTAATCCTTAATCTCACTTAAAGAAGTTATTCTATTGAATATTTCATCCAGACCCAAAGTATAATTATCTGCACTAAGAATTTTCCAAAGAGACGTCTTTTGAAAATATGATCCCTTATTCCTCATGACCATTTTCCACCCTACCATTACTGTGTATGTATTTGTTAACTCCATGCCCTGAACATTTCCAAATAAACATAAATATATTTTTAAATCTAAAGCATGAAGTTTCTTTTGCCACCTACCTTCATTTTTATGTTGGTATAATTGGACTGTAGACTTTGTAACTCTCTCTTTAATGATGCTACCTTATCTGGACCTAAAACAGATGTTACTGAACTTATTAACTTATAAAACAATCACACTGTGACCTCGTAATGGATCCAAATATTATCCATATTAAGTCATATACTTGAACTTTGAAGAACTATACCAAAGCAAGATTGACCCAAAGACCCACATTTGTATCTGCCTCATCCAACTTTATATTACAGTATGTAAGCTTTATGCACTATATATTTGTCTTTATATTGTATTTTACTCTCAGACGAACTTATTTACAGATACACATGTATAAGTTGGTGGTCAAGGTTTAAGTGATAATGGACGAACCTGAGAAGATGAACACTACACATAGATTTGTACTTAAGGATTTGTAAAATGTGCATTAAAATGGCAATTAACCTCAGTCAAAGTCTAGGGTATTTCTTCTTTTCTTTTTACAAAGATTATCTAAAAATCTACTTTTTAAATATATCTGTGTTGGAGATTTTTAAGGGAGATAACTCTTACCATCACTAAATGCAATGACAACATAGATACTGATGAAGAGTGAAGCAATGGAGATGAGTATTAGAAGGAGGAGAGCCAGCTTCAGCAGTCTCAGCTGTGACATCACTGTCAGGTCCTGCTTAGCCTTCACAGTAGAATTCACTTTATTGTAAATGACGGGGGAGGTGTTGATCATGGCATCATATAGTGGGTTAAACCTCTTCCTGTGAAAAATAAGATAAGTTTTTACTGCTCTGTTCTCTGTGTTCCAGTACTCCCAACATAAAATTTACTGACAGTCTTTATAAAATAGCAAAAGAAAGAAATTAACAATATATAGCAAAGACAGTGTACATGATGTCAAAAATAATTTGTATTAAGATTATCTGGAGAGCCTGAAGAAACATCCAACTGCTCCAGACTTTTTCATCAATACAAAATGGTACCTCTCCTCTGATGACTGAGCTGCCCCGTCCATCTCCTCATGCTCTGAGTGTATTCCAGATGTAACTGTGGTGCCATTGGAGGAATGAGTGTCCACGGAATCTGGAGACATGCCATTGGGCTGTAGCCTGAAAAGTTAAAATGAACTTGAATCAAAGTTAGTTCTAATTATATGTACTGCATTTCATGGACTGCTGTATAAATTACCCACAGTTTACATTAGATTCTGAAATATTTCTGTAATAAGATAAATTTCAAAAAATGTATCAGTTTCAAATCAAAGCATATGTTTGTCCTAGGCAATGGAGAGGAGGTAGATTTTGAGAAGATCAGTATGCTTGAATACTTTTAGTTATATATACCAACATTACATTATTTCTAAAAGTCAAAATTAATTTAAATGATTTAGATAAGCTTGGCTGGGTTGGTGGATGAACACATCCACAGAGCATCCTTTTATTCATAATTCATGTATTTGGGTCATAGAGAAGTTACTCTGTAATCTTATACATTCATCTGCATGTCTGAGAAACTGAAGCATTCTACAATAAGGTGTTTTTTCATGATTCTATTGTCAATCAATACAGATTCAATATCAACAGACACTACACTAACTATTTGTTTGGTTATTTCTGTTTTTTTTGTAATGTATGTATGCACAGTGATTACATATTAATCAGATATACTTAATAACCATTTGTCCTTAAATCATTATCTGGGGATTAGGTAATTTTTATCTCAGTCACATAACATCAATTTCCCTGTGTAACTTCTGCCCATCCTTGCTTATCTACCAATTATGCCGGGATTATACAGGGATTTTCTCAATATTCATTGCTTCCCTAGGAAATGGTCAAATATCAATATATTATGTATGAATCAGGAGTAACAGATTCCTTTAAAGCCTGATGATTTTTTGTTTATTGTTTTACCATATGTTAGAGGCATTGCTACCAGAACCTGTTTGTTACTGAACCTCAGTTAAAAGGTTACTACACTTTGTGGAGATATGTGGGTGACTTGGGGATTGATGTATATTGACATTTTCTTTAGTTTACAATCCTATTCAACAATATTAATGTTTTTTTAACCCAAGTCCTGAAATGTCAAATGATAAAAAAGTCATATAAATTCTGAATTATTGATTCTCCATAGAAAAAAAAAATGATGATGGATAAATGTTTTTCTTTCCAACAAAGATATGAAAAGTTCTTGTAAATTCTACATGGCGTCATGCACTCACACAACTCCATGTATTTTAAAGATAGCTTCCAAACTGCAGCAGACGTAAGCATTAAATGCAGTTATCTGATAAAGTAATACAAGATACCTCCTGAATTTCTGTTTCAAAACTCTTTACTGTTTGCCAAATTATCTCGCAATATCAACTTTCTCCAAAGCTCATATTTTTATGCAGAATCAACAGGTCTGTCACGAAACGATAAAAAATCAAAACAGAGAAATTATCAAACTTTTCCCATTATATAGTAATTAATACCAACAGATCTGTCACGAAACAAGGGCAAAATAACAAAACATGGAAATTATTGAACTTTTCCCATTATATAGTAATTAATATTTGATGGAAAAAGGGTATTAAACTATTCTGATGGAGTAAATCAATGATAGACTGCCCTGAGCTACTCACTGAGGATGTGGGAGTTCCTCGTATTGATGTGGACAGTCTGCATAGTCGTACGTTTTAGTCGTACTGACTGGTCGGTACTGACCGGAAGACTGCATGGGGAACTCTGGGCTCACTTGGTCAACATCCAGAGATCCTTAAAATAATAAAAAATTCAGCATGTATGGTGTAATTAACTCATACAGTATAAAATTTTCATATTTATTTCATTTTATACTATTTTTAATGGTACGTGTCAGGTTTAAATTATTTGTTTCAAATGAAGTTAGATTATTCTTCCACATTTACAAAATCATCATATATAGACTTTTTAATTTGTGTACAGACTTTTTTCCTAAGATTTCACAAAAACAACTAAATAATAAATACTGGTATTCTCTTATACATCTTTAAATTGATTGAGTCTACAACGTACACTGCATGCTGACAATGACTTACAAAAAGGACTTCACCTATCCAAATTTCATCAAATTAAGCCAGGATGTCTGTTATTCACCAGAGGAAAGCATGTGCATTTGATTAAAATGTTGACCTAGTTTTGAATTTGGTTACATACTCATTGTTTCAAAGAAATATATCAATTTTATAGATCAAATTTAACAGTCAGCATATCAACTTTTACTCATTGATACAAACATGAAAATTAAAAAGGCGGAATTCATTTATATGTCTTCTATTTTATATTTCTAAACCCAATCAGACAAGTAATAGCAAATGTTTGTGACATTAAAGACTTGACAAACTAATACATACCACATTTAGAATATGGAACAGAGGCCCTACAAGTAAACCTATAGTCATTGTAGTATTCCATCTCAACAATGCACTAGCACATGGCAGCTAACAACTGCACTGTCCGAGGTATTGTGAATGCCTACGCACTCCAGCAATTAATGAGCTATGATTGACAGAGAGTTTAGAGAGTGTAGGCCCACAGCAGAAGCAAGTCACAAATAAACAGCTGAAGTATCCACTAAACCTCTACTTTGGTAGTCAGGCTTTGTCATTGTTGACATAAAATCTAGGTCACAGGTCAATTAACCTGTCTTCTTAAGTTCACAGTGGTAACCCCACATGGAACAATTCAATTAACCCCCAGAGGTCATAAAGCAATGTGAATGTAATGATTGGGGCAGTGGGGAGTAATTAAGTAAAATCTCCAAACACAATGGAAAGGTATTGACCAGTTGATGGTATTGACACAAAATACTTATTGAATGACCTACCATAAAATTGCCAAGGAATTCCTAATGTAAAGAATGAATGAAAACTTACAGTTGTCAGGAAAACAAATACAGACCAATCCTCACATCCATGAATAGACAAAACAGTGACAATAACTCTAAGGCACAAAATACTGTCACAATCTGACCCAGCAGTAAATCACCCACACATATGATATCGTGTTTTTACCCGAGTGTGCACCCTCCAGTAAAGGTATCTCTATGGATGGCCGATTCATTTTGTCTTCTTCATCTTCATCGGGAAGGATCTCCAAATAATCTTGACTACTCTCAGCCATTCATATTTACTAAATACCAAAGATGTCTTATTGATTTCCACACAAAACCCTACATCACAACTCTGCCTGTGATCCCTGACTTGGGTCCTGTCCAGCACATTATCAGCTCTTACTTGTGAACAGATTTTATTTTTACAATACACTACTACAGCTGCTTTTCTACTCAGAACAATACTGTTTGCTAAGTTCACAATAATGACCTACCCAGTAGTCAGGTTAGTGGGTTTTTTTTGTTATCAAACTCCATGCTTCTCTCACCTGTTCAGTAGGGTACACCTTGGACATTTAACAGGGTACAAATCCGTAAACAGCTATATCTACTCTTAAATGATTGAGTGGATAATGAAAAAAAAAATCAAGCATTAAAAAAAGTAGAGGACGCTTCAATGACTTCACAACCCACATCAGCATAATGCCTGATAATAATTAAACACACTGCTTGAACTGGTACAAATGTTCGTCACACAATTGTAACCACAATATCTTGTACTGTCTACTTGTTTTGACAATTGAATTTATTGCTAAAACATAGGTAATCAGAGATTACAGAGCTCACCTCAATGAATGTTGTCTTTAAGTAAGGCAAAGTCCCACACTAAACTAATAATCTAGGAGTGTGCATCCCTAGATGCAACATTTATGCAATTTTGGTCTGATAGGGCTTGCAGTTACTTGGGAATAGACTTATCTGAAAACTTAAAACTAGTCACTCATTCAGAAAATGTAGGTCAAATCCAGCATCCGAAGCAAGTTTTGAGATTGTTCGTCCCTTGATGCATCATCCATGCAAGTTTGGTTCAGATAGGCCTTATAGTTACTTGGAAATGACATCTGCTCCAAAAACTTTAACCTGGTCACTCATCCCGAAAATGCAGGTCAGATCCAGCATCCAAAGCAAGTCCAGTAGTGTGCATCCTAAGATGTATCATCCTTGCAAGTTTAGTCAATATAGGGCTTATAGTTACTTGGAAATGAGATCTGCTCCAAAAACTTTAACCTGGTTACTCATCCGGAAAATGTAGGTCAGATCCAGCATCCGAAGCAAGTCCAGTAGTGTGCATCCTTAAATGTATCATCCATGCAAGTTTGGTCAATATAGGGCTTATAGTTACTTGGAAATGAGATCTGCTCCAAAAACCTTAACCTGGTCACTCATCCGGAAAATATAGGTCAGATCCAGCATCCGAAGCAAGTCCAGTAGTGTGCATCCTTAGATGTATCATCCATGCAAGTTTGGTCAATATATTCTTATAGTTACTTGGAAATGAGATCTACTCCAAAAACCTTAACCTAGTCACTCATCCGGAAAATGTAGGTCAGATCCAGCATCCGAAGCAAGTTCAGTAGTGTGCATCCTTAGATGTATCATCCATGCAAGTTTGGTCAATATAGGGCTTATAGTTACTTGGAAATGAGACCTGCTCCAAAAACTTTAACCTGCTCCAAAAACATTAACCTGGTCATTCTTTAGCTGAAATTGCAGCATCTGAAACCTTGACTGGTACAATGAAACACACTAGAAGCATCCTCCATGCATCTCTGACTAATATAGGCCATAGAAGTACTTGAAAAGAAAACTGCTCCAAAAACCTTAACCTGGGACGCCTACACCGAGGGTATTACATAAGCTCCCCCAGCTTTGTTGAGGTGAGCTAAAAATGGTAAAGGAAATAAAATAAAATGGATATTTTCAATAAATCAGTTATATCAGTTTTTGATTATTTCTACATATTCTTAGACATTTACAAGTTGCTCTGCCAATTTGTTATGCCTAAATTATTTTTAATCTTCAAGAAAAATTTTAATTTTTTCCCGATGGGCAAAAAATTCCCACACATTTTGCTTTACTTTATCATGAAAATCCTTTGATTTCTGAGAAGCTGAAAGTATTCAATTAAGAAATGTATAACTTCATGAAAAGTCAATGAAAAGTATCAGGTGATATCCCCATACAGTTTTAACACATTATTTATAGTTGAACTTTGGTTTCTCAAACATTGATATCTCGAATACGATGGATATTTCAAAGTGAGTTGAAGTTTTGACCACTTTCTCTTTAAGGATTTTAACCTCATTATCTTGAATCCGCTGATATCTTGAAGTTTTCATCTATATCTCAATGACTTTGACATAAGGAGGTTTAACTGTATTTAGATTCCAACTTTTCATTTATTTCATTCAAATGCACAAAACTTCTCAACTTGTCTAAGGTTTATTGGGGATGTGAATTCTAAAAAAAATCTTTCAACGGAATCTCAACTAGAAATCACTTCTTATTTACAGCTGCCTACAATAACAACTGATGGACAATGTACATTATAGAAACAAAATTTTACCTTCAATGTTTTTATTTATTTATGTTTACCATATGTAATTTTCTCTTTTTAATTTGTACAAGGGCGTTTAAAACATCTACTTTGTTAATCTCGAATAAACAATTTTTTAAAGGAAAAGTTAAAATTCAGAAAATGATCTATTTTAGACTGTGTTGTCCAGGGAGACAACTCTTAATTGATAAACAAATGTGGAATTCCTTTTATAAATAATGCACATGGAATACAAATTTTCTTTTCTGAAGGACAGATGATACAAACTTTTTTTTTTCAAAAAGTCATGAAAATAACATCTAAACCATGTTTATATAAGTAAAATGAATAATTCTAACCACATATAGATAACAAGATTTTAATTTTTCATTCAAGGTTTCACACTAAAATGAACAATGTACGTCCTACAATGTGATAAAAAGTTGTATAGATTTATAAGAGTGATGGCAAAAAGGCAGAATTTTGAACATCATAAAGTTTACAACTTCTCTCTATTTCAGAAATTTAATATTTGCACCATTTACAATCAATATAGGTCCAAAAATATATATCAATCCAGGCATCCAATTTTTGTATCATCTGTCCTGAAAGCAGATAAAATGCCTATACATGTTTCCTATATTATGTCATAATTTTGATTTTCCAATGTTGATAAAGAGAGGACTTTGGCTGTGACCTTCAATCAAACAGGTAATGCATATGATTGTAACAAGTACATATGTACTTGTATTTCCATGGAGTTTCTTGAAACTTTGATACGATAAAAACTAATTTTATCCTTTGAATAAAATTCAGTTCTACTCAGACAAGAATGGAGAGATGTTGGATAAACTGGTCCTATTCAGATTCATAATTTAGTATTTAATGTATGCTTACCTTTGATGTTATAAGGTTTAAGTGGAGAACCAGGCTGTTTAGATAGTTGAACCAAAGACTTTGCTTCCAATGGCTGAAGGTAATTTTCTGGTAGAGCCACCCTCAGTTTCTCCCCCTCCCCTTTCTTGGTACTCTCCTGTCTCTCTGGGACACTCGGCTTTGTTTCTTTCAGGGGGATCCTCCCCAGATGTATACTTTGGTATGGGTTTTGTCGATGATCTTCATCCATGATCTTTTATATCAATTTATTAATGAAGTTGTCATCACTGCAGGCAAACTAAAGCCCTTACATTGACCTGTTAAGTGTTTATTAATAAGAATTGTTCTAAACATAATCCAAATTATTACATATCATATACCACTTCAAAATAGTTTTATCTTATTAACTGAAACGTTTGTTTCCGTTTCATAAAATGATACAACATAAAAATACTTTTGCTCCAGTTATTAAAAATTACATAATAAGGAATTTTATAAAGCTTCATTTTTTATTTAATTTAATCAACTTTATTTGTAATCTGTTCCTATGAATATTTTGAACATTTTTTATTATAATTTTTTTCATCACTGGGGTATATCTATATATATTATAGGCAGGACCCCAAAATTCCATGGTCATGCCAAAGTCTGATGGTCACGCCAAAGTTTGATGGCTCATCTCCTAAGAGACGTGCTGTGCTAAAGCGCAAAGGTCTAACACACCAAAGTCTGATGATGTTTAGAAACAATTGTTTACTGTCGATTCCTAAATAAACACGAAGAATTAATTATAGCATAATTTTGCGAGAAGCACCACTCGCAAAATAAAATTACTCGCTTTTATATTTATAGTGCTGAAATCAAATGAATGTAAAATCTCTTGATCAACCATCCACTTGCAAATTATTGTTCACGCAATTTGACGTTAAAGAGCCATTTCGCAATAATAAGTACTCGTGAAAAATAAGGAATCTACAGTATGACGTCACAATAATCCAGCATAAATCCTTGATGCGATTGTAAGTTATCCAAAAGGCATTAATTTAGTATTTGTCCTCACAAACAATTTGACTGATTTTGCTTATTGCTTGCACCCACCTGAGATATTAGGGTTAGTCCTTGCACACCTTTTAACTGATAAGGGTTAGTCCTTGTGCACTATTGGACTGAATAAGGTTAGTCTCACACCTACCAAAGAGATTTGGGGTAGGACCTTGCACACTGTTCGACTTATTAGCCTTAGTGTTAGTCTCTCTCCCCTGCACCCAAATATGTTGGTGAGCTATTGCATATTTTTGATTGACTAGGGTTACTCTCACACAAATTCGAAAGATGCAGTTCATGATGTCAAAATACATGGACTAGAGAGAAAATTATGTCATTTTCAATAGATATGCAGTCACCAAGGGTCCAAGTGAAATTTAATGTATTTTCAACTAAAACTGAGCAGTTTTGATTTTTCTGAAATTCATAGGGCAAAAAAAAAAAAGGGTAAGTGAACCTTGTTCTTTAGATCAATAATTTTATATGGCTGATTATCCTAATTTGAAAATTATTAACAGCAGTACAATGCAAACATTTACTCCTTGAATTACCTTTGAAAGCCAACATGCAATTACAGTGATATTATGCACAACAAAATGTATTTTAATCAATAAAACATTCTTGATACAGTCTAACTTACATTTCAAATGGCTCTGGGGCCATAAAACTTAGACGAGCTCAATTTTGATCTCAGTCTCACTTTTCCACTATAAATTCCTTTTGTTAAACTGAAAATGAGATCAGAAATGACCTGACATCCAAGTTTTATTGCCTGGTGCAAACTAGAACCATTTACATATAAATCATAACAAACCACTTACATACAAATAATAGATAATTGCACAAGAAAACAGCGACCTTTTCAACTTCATCAGTAACCCCACGGTCATTCCAGTGTCAACTACCTGAATAAGCTTAAAAGACCAATACACCCCAAGACTTTGAATAATAATTAAGCATTACTTTCTGATTTAAACCAAGTGAATCTGAATGTAAAAAAATATTTTAAAGCAAACTTGCCTCTCTCTTGCCAAAAAGTTATAGTAGTCCATCAAATGAAAGAAAATAACAGCAATTTGCATGTTTGCCGATCATTAACATATTTGTCATGACAGTCTAGGTCTGATCAATCATTAAAAAAAAGGGGTAATTTTAGACACAAAGATGTTTTAAAAAACCCAGTACACTAAACCTGAAACAAAGGGCCTAACTAATAATCTCAAGACAATACATCTCTGTCCAATTAGTGTTTTGCGGCACATAGAAAAGATACTGAGAGGTAAAACATTTAAAAGTTGTAAATGATTAAAAAAAAGTTATCTTACCAGTACCAGAATATATTCATTGTAAAGGCATTGTGATTGGAAATAACACATGTACTTCTTTCTGAGATGAACGAGCTGTCAAAATATTGACCTTATGTTGGCTTAAACCCAGTAATATCAACACTTTAACAATTACAGTCTAAAATCTTATCAAAACTGAACAGTACAAAATCAAACTGACGATAATGTGAAATGAAGAAGAAAACTACAAAACAAATATAAGACGCACTTACCGTGACAAGTTTCTTATTATTTATCCTCTTAATCATTCCATGAACCTCATTCAAGCATGGCAGTGTATACTGCTATTCAGGGCAAAACTACCATCTACCTACCATGGTAAATAACCACAATTGGCTATTGGATTAGATTATTCATGAGCATGTGACACATACAGAATACAAAAAATAAATAAAATTTGTTGTCAAGTTTTGGTTCACCAATTTCAAGGATGTGCATAATAAATTTAATGTAATGACCATGGTAACATGACCGTGACTCATGTAAATGTAAAATCCCACTCAATATTTCGGGATCCATAGCCTGAGGGATGCATGCACAGCCTTCAATTATAACTGATGTTGTTGTCACACTTAAATTGTTACATGCATTGTAAATCTATCAGTACAAATGTCAAAATGTTTTATGTGCAATATAGTGTTAATCAACAATGCAAGGATATAACAACCCTTTCTCATGTCAACTATTGTGTTATTTGGAAACCTATATAATATGGTACTTGTACTGGTCAGGTTACTAATCACACCAAACTTTGTTCTATTTGATCTAGGGCCAGGGCTTTTTGCCCCCCCCCCCCAAAAAAAAAAAAAATTCCCTGGTAGAATTAATTTCATTAATATAAATTCTTCTGTATAAAATTAACACACCTTTGCAAAGAATCCTAGCTAGTATAGGGGTAGTAATTATTTACATGGCAAGATTACTTCACCTAATAAGATTTGTGTCTGAATTTACACATCATTTGTTTAGAAAATGGATCTATATAACTTACATGTATTTAAAATCACTGATCCAAAACCATCACATTAAAAGAACCATGCAACTGAATCAAGTACAGGTAATGAGCAAAAAATCTCTTAAGAGGGAAGTAATAAAAGCATATAATTAATGTAAAATTATAAACATTTCACTTTACTGTTGAATTAATTGCAGCTACATATATAAACAAAATGTGTTTGTGAAACACTGATGCCCCCGTATGGCAACTTATAGCGCAGGTTAAACTTTCTCAAATGCAAAACAAATAAGTTGGTACCCAAAGTAAGGTCTTGTACCGAGGAATATACCTGTGAAATATTAAAGCCCTAGCAGCAAACATTAAAAAGATATGGAAAAGGTTAAAGTTTTTCAAAAGTAAGTCAAACATCAAGGTCAAGGTCAAAATTAATGGTGCCCAAGGAAAGGCCTTCTCACAAGAAATACACATGTGAAATATGAAAACCTTAGCACCAACTGTTTAAAAGATATGGCCAAGGTTTAAGTTTTCCAAGTAGGTCAAATTCCAAAGTCCTGGTCAAAGGGTCAAAGTTGTTGGTATCCTAAGTAAGGTCTTGTCACAAGGATTGCATATGTAAAGTATTAAAGCCCTACAACCAACTGTTCATAAGAAATGGCCATGGTTAAAGTTTTCCAAAAGTAGGTCAAACTCCAATGTCAAGGTCAATGGGCTATAATTGTTGGTATCTAAAGGAAGGCTTGTCACAAGGATTACATATGTGAAGAATGAAAGCCCTAGCACCAACCTTTCAAAAGATATGGCCAATGTTAAAGTTTTTCAAAAGTAGGTCAAACTCATAGGTCAAGGTCAAAGGGTCAAAGTTGTTAGTATCCATACAAAGGTCTTGTCAAAAGGATTACTCATGTGAAGTATGAAAGCCATAGCATCAAGGGTTCAAAAGTTATAGTTAATGTTAAAGTTTTTCAAAAGTCTTCAAACTCAAAGGTCAAGGTCAAAGGGTCAAAGTTGTTGGTATCCAAAGGAAGGTCTTGTAACAAGGATTACACATGTGTGGTATGAAAGCCCTAGCACCAACTGTTCAAAAGTTATGGCCAAGGTTAAAGTTGGGGAAAATTTTTAAAACTGGGTCAAACTCCAAGGTCAAATATGATGGTACACAAAGAAATGTCTTGTCACAAGGAATACACATGTGAAAAATGAAAGGCATAGCTCAAACCAATCAAAAGTTATGAGCAATGTTAAAGTTTTTGCGGACAAACAGCTAGACAGACAGATGGACGGACAGGGCAAAAACTATATACCCCCGAATCTTCGATACGGAGGCATAAAAATTTATAAATATATATTACTTTTAATACTCCTGAAAAATATATTTGAATATAAGCTATTTCCCCTGATATATAGAGTTTGGTATATATCCCACACTAAAATGACTACTGTAAACCAACTTTTATTCGCAACGACTTTATTTCGCGATTTACCGGGGGTAAACTAGTTTGCGATGATTAATTTTTGCGATCAAGATTTTTTTTTTTGATCTGCTGTTAATAGAAAGAGAGACTTTAAGGACCGGTTCGCGGCGAGAAATATTCGCGATAACAAGGCTCTCGCGAACCTCTCGAAAATTTCTCGCACACGAATAAAAGTTGGTTTACAGTATTCACCTTTCTATCCAAACTTTCCTCTGCTCTCTGATCAATCAATATCTAAGACACTGAGAGAGATTGATGAGCCCCAGTTAGAATCACAGTAAATGTATTTATTATCATAATGACAATACCAGAGAAAAGACACATTTCATTTGTTCAGTAGTTCCTTAAAGAATGTGCAACACACACATGGAACTGGTTGATATAAAGAAAGCACCACTTTTCTTTGAAAGCCCTTTTAAAAAAACAATAATAAATGATTTATTATTTTTAAAACTAGCTGCTATTAAAAGCAAGGTTGGTAGATTGCTAAAGACACTAGTGAAATGCCTTTGAGGAGTATAGTCTTTTTGACAAACTCTCAGCAAACACTACCAGTCTTGAGCAAACCCCTGAGCACATGTCCTGTCTCCTGTTTGATAAAAATGGCTGTCACTCTCAGAGTAAGACTATGAATCTATATTAATTTTCATGCAGACACCAGAGGAGTAGGTTTGGTCTGTTATTCAAAACAAAGATAAAACATTTTAACATTAAAGATTTACCAAAAGGTATCAATTTATTTCAAATTCACTATCTAAGTTCCTAAGATGCATGTGCCATACAGATATGGTAAGTGTTGGAAATACAGTTGTATCATTCACACCAACATCCATACAAATGCAAAACACAATTGTCAGTATAGTCTGATATGTAAATCAAATTTTGCCTGAGACATACATGTAGTTTGACAGAGATTATCACTCACAAGTCCATGCACACCTAATAATTCATTTTCTTTATATAGAACTGAATCACTGATGTCTCAAGGGACCAGTACTATAATGGGTAAAAAAATCTTAATGAAATCAGACTAATTTTAAGGATATTTACCCATTTAATATTTACCCCCCCCCCCCCAAAAAAAAATTACTTGTACCCAATGTGCTCTTGATCATGAATATCTTGAATTTTGAGAAGATTAATGCAAAATAAAATGTATATAAAAGCCAAGTGAAGCCATAACTTTGGTAACCGTCACAATACAAGTACTTCATGAAAGCGTACTTCAAAGCCACTTTGGTGCAAAGTAGAAAATTCCGACAAAAAAAATATATCCACAACTTGAAAATACCGCACATGGTTCTTACATTTTGCAGTTCTTTTCATAACAAACTGACAATAAGTAAATAATAAAAAACTGGGTAGAAAATATAAATTCAAGACAAACCAAAAATAAATTTTGTCAAGAAATGTGAAAAAGCCAGAAGCTAATCAAAACTATCTATGGTAAAAAGGTAAAATAAAAAAAAATAATGGGTAATTTTTCTGATCACCAGAACCAAAAAAAATCAATGCATTGAGAGAAGGATAGAATTTACTGTGAATTTGACATTTTTTGCTTATCCCCCCCAAACTTTCCTTATCTTAAATTCTGAATAGTACATAAATATTGAAAAGAATTCTAAAGTGTTTATTATTTGATTTTTGATAACACTGATTTTTTTCATGATTTATTGTATTAAGCTTTGTCATAATTTGTTTTCAGCAAGATATCCATTTATAGAGTAAGTACAGTAACAAATTTTGTAAAAAATGTGAGGAAATGGACTGAATAAAATCTTTGGTGGATTCTGCTACTAATGCTGACTCCGGATTTAATTTTGACTGACAATATTTGAGTGCCTCTACTCTGAAATATATTTTTTATACTTGTATTACCCGTAGGCACATGAATTTTTCATTTTTGTGATATCATTCATCTTAAGCATGTCAAGTCAATGAACTGTTGAAGTTTCCTTTTAAAGGCTACAAAAAACAATGAACAAACTAATGTGGTAAATCGCCCTGAATAAATTTGTACATTTAAAAATTTTCAAAAACTGTCTATTTACTAATACTATACTCTGAAGAATATACATGTACAATCTTTACAATTATAAAAAGTAAAAAGTTAAAATTCAGGAAAACATTATAAATAATTTATAAATCTAACAAACTTAAACAAAAACATGTGTCACATTCATCCAAAAGTTAAAAAATCCTATACAAAACATGTATATTGATTGAACATCAGATTCTCATTTAGACAAATCTGATGCCTCGCTGTCTAATAAAGCATCGATTCCACCATATTTACTAATCAACAAATATGTGATTATAGAGAACAAAGAAAACCATCTGAGAACAGGAGCATAAATCAAAAACACTATAACACAAATCTCAAACACCGTCCAGAACAAACAGGCAAACTTGAACAAGTGTTCCACCTCTTGCTCATCCCTAACGCAGGTTTGGATTGGCTTATTGCTGAACACTTTGGTTTTCGTATAATATTCCTCCAGTTTTTTTTCCTTCCTTTGCCAGCATTCTTGACACCACCTCTCTACCCCCTCCCTGTCTCTGGGTAACTCAGCCTCCTTGTGTGCCTGAACATGAAAGTGAACTTGTCGAGGGAACTTCCCTTCCAGAATGTCCATTTCATTCTGAGGAATGTTTTCTGGGTATCCTAAGGTGACATCCAGAATGGAATCCAGAGTGATCACTGATACAGAAAAATAATAATAGGTACACATCATCAATAGGTACACATCATCAATAGGTATACATCATCAATGAGTACACATCATCGATAGGTACATCATCAGTAGAGTGATCACAGAGTGATCATAGAATGACAATAGGTACACATCATCAATAGGTATACATCGTCAATGAGTACACATCATCAATAGGTACATCATCAGTAGAGTGATCACAGAATGACAATAGGTACACATCATCAATAGAGTGATTATTGGCTATATAATAGTGTTGTTTTGCATGTATTGTGCCTAAAAAGTAATCAGGGTTTGGCATATGGTGCACACCATTTTTGGAATTGCATTTTTTATTTCTTGTTTTGTGAAAAATGTATGAAACTATGTATACTTAAAGATACATTGTGTAATATATTAGCTTCTGTGGGCCACTGGGCGCTGACATTGTAGGGGTTGTGGGTTCTATCCCCTAGTGTGCTGACATATTTTCTTTTAAAAAGGAAGCTGTGCAATATTTCGGCATATTATGCTTACGCTATTTTTAAAAATCCTTTGTTTATATATGTACTATGTGAAAATAGTTGGGTACTGATTATGGAGAAGCAAAGCACAATAATACAGAATAGCAACAAAGAACATGAGGTTTACAAAATGTACAACATCAATATTTACAGGAAATAAAGACCATTTTTGTTCTTTCTAGAAAATAACAAATACTATTCATTGATACCTATTTATGATTACACAGGTATGTCTATCATTTAGAAAATGATACATTATCAATACTTCGTCAATGCCTGAGAAGTAATATTCTTTCTATTAATCTACAAACCTTATCACTGTGAAACAATTAAAATAAGTTTCAACAAATTCACAGAGACTTTAATATTTTTTTCTTCTAAAACAATGAAGCAATGATATAAACAATTACCTTCTCTCATTTTTTCCACCAGAAATGAGAAACCAGCAGTTCTAGGATGAAGCACATATTCATAGGGCTCCAAGTTATTCTTTTCTGCAAACCTGTTACTCCGAGCTTTTGTGTTGGCAGTTAAATCTGTTCCCTCTGGGAAAAACAGAATCTGTCATCAAATAAAAAAAACAATAAGTCAGAATTTTAAAATTTAAAAAAATTGATAGTGTTTAATCTTGAATTTCCACACACATGTATCACTTTTAACTACAAAAAGTATGCAAAGTTATTGCAAAACAGTAAATTACCATACCAATTTGGGATGTCAACGAGTATTCAAGTAATCGACTACCGCTCGGTCATAAGACTATCGACTAAATATTTTTTACTTTACTCGCTAAAAAATGTGCTATCTTACAGTATATCTCAATTTAAGTTAATAAAATGAATTTCTTACTCTAGCTGGTCTTTGTGGTGTCAAAGCTTAGATCCATCTCTGATGCAGATCAAATTATTATTTTTTTAATAAGAATGATCAATAAGCATATTGGAGAGATAAATGTATGTGTGTATTAAAATTTCTTTTATGTCTAATATGAATTAATTTCATAACTGGATTTGTTGATTGTACAAAATTGTATAATAAGATTTATCACAAACTTTTTTTATGTTTTGATAAGTACACTAACTGTTCACCAGTAACTGGTCAATAATTTGGTTGTCCTGCCTTTCCGTCATTTTAATTCAGTCACCGGTCTGCTTTATTCGACTAGTTTACACTGCTTTTCCATGATTGGTTTTTACTATAAGTTGTGTATCATCTCCTTTATTGGATACCTCCTTTCCTTGATTTTTTCACTGAACACGAGTAGTGCTTAGCATTAAACATATTTACCTGTATTTTCCTGTATTTCCTCATATAATTCTAGTCAGTAGTAGTGAGTATGAACTCACAGAGAGATAAAAATTTAATACAATGAATTTTACAATTCACATAGCTCAGTAATAAGTTTCAGAAATCATAGAAATTGTTCATACTGAAATCGTACTATATTGCAGTAAGCAATGTATAATAGAAAGTGGATACACACACAGAAAATTCAATATTTTAAATAATTGCAATTTTTCTTTCCGATGTCGAAAAATGTTGCAAGGATACAATTACAACTGTATCAAAAGGAGTTGCTGTGGTAAGAAATTTACCTGGCTAACGAAAGAGGTACATGTAAGTAGCGGAAAAGCAAAAAATATAATCGTGGAATAGCAGTATGATTTGTTGCAGAAAAACAGGATTTTTTTCGTGGAAAAGCAGCGTTGAATCGCAGAAAAGTGAAACTGTGAATAATTTAGCTGCAACTAGACACATTTAAATGGGATCAGGTGATAAATTCATTACATTATTAGCTTTTGGAGAAGAAATGACAAGCCACAGTATTTGAGAAAGTGTATTTAAATAAAAATGTGGTAAAAATTTATTTTAATTCAGATTCATGTAGTATGGGTATTTCTTCTAAGTAAATACTTGTATAATTGAGAAATATGTTTTATGTGAAAGTACATGTAACTTGATATAAATATTGAGTGTACATTTACAAGCAGTCTGAAAAGGACAAATGAACACAAAGTTAGACTGACATAGAAAAGTTATGAGTCTCAACTATCACTTGACTAAAGCCCCTGATTATTCAACTAGGCTATCCAAGTAAAATTGACATACTTAATTCTGATACCGATATTTTGCAAGAACTATCGCTTGACTAAAGTCCCAGATTATTCAACCAGGGTATCCAAGTAAAAATGACATCCTTCATTCTAATACCGGTATTTTGCAAGAACAAAATTGGCCCCTTTTGTAAAATAATGCCAAATTCTACAACACTTCCTGGTATACATACATGTAAAGACAAAATCCTGCATGATCTCTGATACAAATCTACTAGGAAACCTGCAAGAAACTTCAAAAAGCAAGAGACAATATTCTTTTTAACTTGTAACTTTCCAATACTTAGTTATCGTGATTACCTTACAGTTATCTAACTTACTGTTGCTCTTTTGGGATAAAGTCAAGAAAGCTCTAAATTTCACATAATTTTCAGGGCATAACATACTGTTTATGCTAGTGAAAACTGAATGATTTGAACAATGAGTATGCTGAAAGTACAATGTATTGCCAAAAGTTGCACTTCAGAAAGAAAGTCATCTTATTTGGAATATTCAGACTTCCAAAAGTAAAGTTCATCAGAAAGAAATGAATGAATTCATTACATGTATTACAAGAGTCAGCTTAGCAGAAAATATCTACAAAAATGTAACACAAGACAACTAGCATCTCCTAAATTTTAGCAGCATGGACCTGCTGCATGGTGCACCAAACATTTAGCAAGATATTTCACCAAGACATCGTTCTTATATGTCCTTCAAAAATATACAGTGATTGGATTGATCTCCCAGTGTATTCAACAGCACATTGCTCCCAGATAATTGACACTTCCTACCTCCAGAATTCCGTTAAGTTCAGTAATCGTGATATCAAGTATTGACAAAGAATTTACCTGAGGCTTGTATCCCAGCTTTCTAAAGTAAGTAAGGCATCTCAAAATAATCTTTTTATCAGCCTCCCATTTTCTCTGCAGAAAGAGGTAACCAGCACACTGCATTGCCCAACCTAAAAGTGCAATGAATTTCAGAAGTTTAAAAGTGCAATGAATTTCAGAATTTCAAGCCAGATTGTCACATTCTGTAAGCAATCAACTGTCTGCTGAGTGAATTTTAAATCATTAATATTTCCCTTATTTTCAAATAAATAAATATTCAGTTGAATTTTTCGAAATTAAAATTAAACTAGTGGGTATTGTTTTTTTTTACAAAAAAACACATGTCTCCCCTTCTTTACCAACATTAACGAGTGCAAATATATGATCAGGGTAAAAAATAATAATGCAGTGCATCTCAACTCAAATTCTGTGTACAAAATTTCAAGTCTTCATGTCAAACAGATCTCAAGTAATGGTCTGGTTGTGTTTTTCTTAATTTGACCTTAAAGAAAGTGGTCAAGGTCAAATATTTTGATGCAGTGCATTTAGTCTCGATGTTGTCTTTCCTTGTTCCAAGTTTGAAATCCTAATGTCAAAAAGTTCTCAAGTTATGACCTAGACTATATTTTCAAGTTAATGATTGACCTTGACTTTATTAATAAGTCAAGGTGAAAAAAATGTTGCCATTCACCCTTCCTCTATACCACCTCTCCATGTTCCAAGTTTGAAGTCTTAATGTCAGGGTTCTCAAGTTATGGTCTAGTCATGTTTTCTCTATTTGACCTTGAAGAAAGGGGTCAAGGTCAAAATTTTGAAGCGTTGCATCTTGTAACAATGTTTTCTTTCTATGTTACAAGTTTGAAGTCCTAATATCAAAGGATACTCAAGCTAAGGCCTGGACTCTATTTTGATGTAAAAGATTGACCTTGACATTATAATAATTGGATCAAGGTCAAAAATTTTGGTGGCATGCATCCCTCCTTCATACCACTTCTGCATGTTCCATGTCTGAAGTCTTTATAACAAAGGATTCTTAAGTAATGGTCTAATCAAGTTTTTTCCCTATTTGACCTTGAGGAAGAAAAGAGGTCAAGGTCAAACATTTTGGTGTGTTGCATCTTGTATCAATGTCTTCTTTCTCTGTTACAAGTTTAGGTCCTAATATCAAAGGGTACTCAAGCTATGGCTTGGACTCTATTTTGATGTAAAAGATTGACCTTGACCTTATAATAATTGAATCAAGGTCAAAAATTTTGGTGGCATGCATCCCTCCTTTATACTACCTCTGCATGTTCCATGTTTGAAGTCTTAATGTCAAAAGGTTCTCAAGTTATGGTCAGATCGTGTTTTTTCCCTATTTGACCTTGAAGGCAGAAAGGGGTCAAGGTCAAAATTCTAATGCAGTGCATTTTGTCTCAAGGTCTTCTTCCTATGTTACAAGTTTGAAGTCCTAATATCAAAGGGATCTCAAGTTATGGGCTGAACTCTATTTTGATGTAAAAGATTGACCTTGACCTTATAAATAGGTCAAGGTCAAAAATGTTGGTGGCTTGCACTCCTTCTCAATGTCATCTATCTATGTTCCAAGTTTGAAGTCTTAATGTCAAAGGGTATTAAAGTTACGGCCTGGACAAAATTTGGATGAAGAAGAAGAAGAAGAAGAAGAAGAAGAAGAAGTAGATGAGATCTCGTTGCGAGCAATGAGTAGGTCTTCCGTCCGATTTTTCGATGAGATGAGATGTGATTTTGATTAAGTTTTTGTTTCCCCCCTTAGATTTAATTTTTTTGATTTAAATAACATAATCTTGAACATCTTTTGTTCAATATTGCTTTTCAAAATGTTTCCCCTTTTCGAGATAGGAAGCGCAAAAGAGTTAACATTCTGGCCCCTTATGGCTCCTAATTACGCAATAGAGAATCAAAAGTTTACTACATATTGTTGCATATAATTAAGTTAAGCATTTTTGCTTCAGTAATTGATAACAAATTCTTGATCATTGAAGAGTTACATATTAGTCTTTTGGCCCCTCTGAGCCCCTACTTTGAAGAGTCAGCCCCTTTTTCTTGATATCAAATGAAAGGTCTTGTGATTTTAAACATTTTTTGTTCAACAACTATTCAGAAGTTTCTTCTCGTTTTCGAGATATGTAGAATAGAAATATTTAGGGGCCAACCCTTCAAATCCTTAATGGGGCCGTTATGCAAAAATTGAAATGATGCATATTGTTCAGATCATTATTCTGAACATCTTTTGTTCAATATTGCTTATTAAAATATCTCCCCTTGTTGAAATATAAAGCGTCAAATATTTAGCATTCTGGTCCCTTTTGGCCCCTTATTATGCAACATATGATCTTCATTTTATAACATATAGTGGCAAATCGTTAAGATGCGCAATTTTGCTTCAGTAATTGTTAACAAAGTATTGATAGTTAAAGAGTTATAGATGAAAGACTTTTGGCCCCTCTCAGCCCCTAATTTGAGGGGTTAGCCCCTTTTTCTTGATATCAAATGAAAGGTCTTGTGATTTTGTAGACTTTTTGTTCAACAACTATTCAGAGATTTCTTTTCGTTGTGGAGATATGCTGATTTGAAATATTTAGGGGCCAACCCTCCAAGTTCTTAATGGGGCCGTTTGACAAAAATTGAAAGGGTGCATATTGTTTAAAACATTATTCTGACCATCTTTTGTTCAATATTGCTCATCAAAATATCCCCCCTTTTCGAGATATAAAGCGTCAAAGATTTAGCATTCTGGCCCCTTGTGACCCCTTATTACGTAACCTATGATCAGAATCTTATCATATATTGTTGTAAATCGTTAAGATAAGCATCTTTGCTTCAGTAATGCATTACAATTTATTGATCGTTAAAGAGATATAGATGAAAGACCTTTGGCCCTCCTGAGCCCCTAATTTGAGGGGTTAGCCCCTTTTTCTTGATATCAAATGAAAGGTCTTGTGATTTTAAACATTTTTTGTTCAACAACTATTCAAAAGTTTCTTCTCATTTTCGAGATATGTAGAATAGAAATATTAAGGGTCCAACCCTTCAAATCCTTAATGGGGCCGTTATGCAAAAATTGAAATGATGCATATTGTTCAGATCATTATTCTGAACATCTTTTGTTCAATATTGCTTATTAAGTATCTCCCCTTGTTGAGATATAAAGCATCAAATATTTAGCATTCTGGCCCCTTTTGACCCCTTATTATGCAACATATGATCTTTATATTATAATATATAGTTGCAGAATGTTAAGATGAACATTTTTGCTTCAGTAACTGATAACAAAATATTGATAGTTAAAGAGTTATAGATGAAAGACTTTTGGCCCCTCTCAGCCCCTAATTTGAGGGGTCAGCCCCTTTTTCTTGATATCAAATGAAAGGTCTTGTGATTTTGAAGACTTTTTGTTCAACAACTATTCAGAGATTTCTTTTCATTGTGAAGATATGCTGAATGGAAATATTTAGGGGCCAACCCTTCAAGTCCTTAATGGGGCCGTTTGACGAAAATTGAAAGGGTGCATATTGTTTAGAGCATTATTCTGACCATCTTTTGTTCAGTATTGCTTATCAAAATATTCCCCCTTTTCGAGATTTAAAGCGTCAAAGATTTAGCATTCTGGCCCCTTTTGGCCCCTTATTACGCAATATATGATCCTCATTTTATAATATATAGTTACAAATTCTTAAGATGATCATTTCTGCTTCAATAATTTATAACAAAATATTGATAGTTAAAGAGTTATAAATGAAAATATTTTGGCCCCTTTGAGCCCCTAATTTGAGGGATTAGCCCTTTTTTCTTGATATCAAATGAAAGGTCTTATCATTTTGCACATCTTTTGTAATATATGTTTTAACAAATATTTACAGATAAAAAGATAAAAAGGAAAATGTGTCAAATTTTGCGAGATGCTTGTGAGCCTATTTTTCGAGCCCAGGCGAGCTTCGGCGCCTTTTGAGCTGGAAAGATGTAGATGCCAAATGGCACATCTACAATCTTTCCTCTATCTTCACTGAAAATCTTATCTCTTTATCTCTATTCGTTTAGGAGAACACTCCAGTACAAGCCGACCCTCTGAAAATCAGAAAATCGTCCATATCTCACAACTGGAAGTGACGTCATGAAAAAGCAAAAAAACCTATCAAGATCAATAGAATATCTTTTACATCTGAAAGTTTGATGTAAATCGGCCCAGCTGTTTCTGAGAAATCGCGTGCACAAAATCGGTTGGAAGAAAAATAATAATAATAATAATAGGGAAAAAGAAACCGAACGAAAACAATAAGGTCTTCCGTTGGAGACGGAATACCTTAATAAGAAAATCGACAAAAACAATATGTCTCCCCTGGAAGGGGAGACATAATAATAAAAATTCCCCTTTTTCAGGGAAATATTTGCAATATTTTAAAGCTACAATTGATTAAATCAATTTCTATTTTAAAAAAGAATATTCTAGAAATAATATACAACGCAAGGGATATATTACCAGGCCCTGGTACATATTTTAGAATGTCTTTCATGCTGATCTTAAATCTACGTAGAGGCCCATGTCTCAGGATATAACAAAAGATAAATAGCCAATCAAAGCGCGTCCTGTGGTTCATCAGGATGATGGTGCTATCGTCACAACCCACTGGTTCTCCTGTGATCACGACCTTTACCCCACACAGTTTCTCAATCAAAAACTAGAACAGAGAATAAATGTGTACAAAACATTATTTTCATAAACAATTTTATAGGTACATGTTTATTTTTACTGTTTACCTCTCAAAAGAGAATAGACACTACTATAGTCCTAATATTAATGCTATATATGGCATATTTTCGATAATTTCAGATGACAGAAATGGAAAAAAATTTTCTATCTATTTCATTACTTTATATAAAGAGAGGACTTTTCTGTAAATTACACAATATAAATCAATTGCCTTTCAAATATATTAACAATTTAAAACAATAACCGATTTATTTACTGACTCCACAAAAATAATACAGATTTGAATAACTCTGCCTTAATTTGATGGCTTGACACTATATTTAGACAATCAACAATAATGACGAACAATGTGAAGGAGGGGTAGACCAGCAAACACAAGCAGTTTAACAGATTCAGAGAGAAAACTGAGGAAGAGATATCATAGGCAGATATGGAGAAAAGTAAAGAGGAAATTATGTTATATCAACAGTATTATGTACATTTATATCTCTTCCACCATCATGGCTTTAATGCTGTATTTTCCTGCAGTCATGCGCATGGCAGATCTTATTAATATTCAGCACAATTACAGCAAAATTTAAAGTCAATTTAACTGTAATGGTTTGGGCTGTGGATATCAGCCTGGGTAGCTCAGTCGGTAGAGCACCTGACTAGTGATGCAGGGGTCCCAGTTTCGATTCCCAGTCCAGCCATACATTTTCTCCTTTCTTGTTACAGATTTGGTGCCGTTGACCATCCCTGGACTTGCAGGTGAAAGTCCTGCCAGGGGCAACCAAGAACTTGGGTTGTGTCTTCCAGGGCAAAGACAATTTAAGGAGGGAGGAATGTAATGGCTAGGGCCGTGGATATCAGCCTGGATAGTTCAGTCGGTAGAGCACCTGACTAGTGATGCAGGGGTCCCGGGTTCGATTCCCGGTCCAGCCATACATTTTCTCCTTTCCTGTTACATAACCATAGAAACATGAGATTATCCAAGTTCAAAATCAGTGAAAATTTTAATTAGTACATCATGTATATATATTCACACTCAATTTCGTATTATTATTTTTTGGACAGATACACCATACATAGCTTTAACAAAGTCCTTAAAGGGCAGTGCTTATTCAATTTCCTACCTTAAATAACACTGCTCGTTTTGCTCTCACATGCAGTTTTATAAAAATTGATACTATGACTCAAACCAACAGGTGCTTGACATCACAAATTAGGACTCAATAATTTACCAACTGGAAGTAATTTTTAGAAAAGAAACTCACCACAGCATAAATTTGCCAGATCCAGATCATTTGATCCATCATTTGTCGTCCCACTTTTGGTTGAAAGAAAACCAAAGGGATGAGAGGAGTTAGGAAAAAAATTGCACCAAAAGTGCTGCTATACAACATGAGAAAGGAAAACAAAATTCCTTTGAAACGCGACATGACTTATTTATAACGAATTACACCTAAACGTGATCACGTAATGCGGCCCACCATATATGAGCAGGCGCGATATGCATCTTAAATGATCTTTCCTGTTTTCTGCTTTCCTTGTGATAACGACATGACGATAAACTAGTACTCGTCTCTTGTTTACATGAGAACCAGACATTCACCTTATCTATACGCTATACGCCAACAAAAACAATTTAAAAGAAATCCTATTCCTTTATTAAATTAAAAACATAGTTTTAAAAACAAAGGTTAATGATATAAAATACTACTTTAATATTTATATATTTTTGCAGCCTATTTAAAAAAGGGGGGGGGGTGTGGGTGGTATTCCGGATTTTGTTTAAGTTGAATCTAGCAATTACAAGGTGCTTTTTCTTAATCTTGTGAACGTTTTTAACAACGAGTAAGTTTAAGGTGATCTTAAGCTTTATTCTGGGGAAGATTATATTTTTGTTGGCAAGTTTTGGCAACGTTACTAAATCCTGGATTTTACATGTAAGGAAAGATTAATGATATCGTGATAAAAATTGAATGTGGAGAGTGGAAGTCATTCTCCTGAATTGATTCTGACGTTTTCCAGGCGGTCATACGCCTGCAGGGGGGAACACACACAGACACTTGTTTAGTATACAGGGGCACCCCCACCCTTCTCTTTCCACAAAGTACCTAACTCAATTTCAAGCACCCCTCACTTCAAGCTTCTGTTTTTATTTATTTATCAATCATTAACATAATTCGCTCCGAGAGACTTTTTAGGAAAGAGAAAGTTGGGGGTGTCCTGTAATACAGGCTTTATACGAAACAAGTGTCTGTATGAAAACATGTCTGTAAAGATAATCCTTAACATTTGTTGTTTTATTTATCCAATTCTTATTTTGTGATTTGATGTAATACATTTGGTGGTGCAAACTTTGGAGCAAGCACTGTTGTGTGTTTTAATAGCGAGCACAGTGAGTGATGTTAAGCGCCACTCTCACTTTGAGCTCTTATGACAATGCCTGGGTGAAGAGAAAATTTAGACTTCACACATTGATCCAAATGAATTTTTTCCACAGTAACAACTGGATCCACAATCCTTTGCAAATTGCATCTTGCTGCAAACTACGTTCTGGTAGTAACAACAAAAGTTCACCAAAAAATAAACTCACCATGCTTTAATGGATAAATAGAAGATTAAACATTCTTAGTTAAAATCAATTTACTCTTTTCAGACTTTGTTATGGTAATGCAACTAACATACGATCTCATGTGACATCACAGTCTTGATGTTCCAAATGTCACATGCATTTTGAAAGGGGGATCTAAATTAAAACTTAGTAGGTATCTGCTCTTGTCCTGACTGTCCGACCGTCTGCATAATATAATTTATAAATACCATTAGGGATATATATACTAAAGTAAAACACATTCTTATAATGAATTCATGCTTGCAGCGAAGTCATTTTCATTACCAGTGGGTTTAACTCATATTATAAACTCAATGGATGTAACGATTTAATTTATTCATAACGAAGCAAAATTGCTCATCCCTGGCACTTCGCTTTAAGTGTGTTTCCTTGATACCATCACAGGTACTTGCCGACAGAATTGTCCCTTACCCCCCTCCCCCCCACCCCTCATTCTTTTTGATTTCTAATCTCTTACAACTTCTTCTATATGTTTCTGTTTGAAAATAACATATAATAAAACTCGGATGCATTTTCTGTTCATAGTTGTTTCACATACAGTTCCCCTAACAATGAAAAATCACCCTTTGCTTAAAAGTGCTCAAAAACAGCAATGGTTTAACTACCAGTAGCCCATGATACAAATATATATAGTCTTAAACTTGTGACTTTTTGTTTATATAAAAAACATAATCCTAAAAAAAAGAAAGAATGCATTTCAATAAAAAAAGCAGTTGAATAGATTGTTTCATCCTCACAATGTCAGGGGTCCTGAGTCAACACGTTGCCATTGGACCCCGACAAAGAACAAGTCTCAATAAGGCTTATCTGTGGTCCCCAGTTACTTGTCATACTTTAAACATTTATTAATTTTTTTTAGAAATTAAATTTTATTACTAACTAATGTCTATATTATTTGAATCATCATATAAAAATGTCAAACAATAGGTATAGGCAGCATACGAAGCTGCTCATTGAAGGTAGGGTCCTTTGATTTTCATGAATATCAAAAGAAGTCAGTGACAGGTACACACAGGTTTGTTCAGAGTCGAGTTTGAAATATAATGTGTATGTTATATGTTAAAGGTTGAGTGAAAATATCTTTGTTGAACAACCTTGTGCTCTATGTTTTCTGATTAAGCTAGCGCTTCATGAAAAATATGCCTACGTGCAAGTCTGTGTGATTTACACACCAATAATTCACACTAAACTTAAAAACATCCCTTATATTTACATTTTAATCTCACTGCCCTATATCGTCATATTTTTATTAACGTTTTTGTAGCCTTATTGTGACGTCACTTTACAGCAAGTTTCTCCGTGTATATTTCTACGCGTGAGTTTACACAAAAATGACTTTAAAATCAATTTCTTGGTTGGCTTAGTAGAAAAACACAGCAAATGTAAATATTTAGAAATATTTTGTTATACACAATGAAAACAAACAAAATACCGTCTGCTAATATTTAACCAGTAAACCAAGGGTGTAAAAAGGGACCACAGTACTATACTAAAGAAGAATACTCCTTTTATTCAATATTCTATGGGCTGACTTCAGAGACATCTTTCTGGGAAAATATACTAATCTTGATTGTTTTTCATATCTCTTTACCAATCACATTAACCCTTTTGGTGACAAACATCCTGTAACACATGCATTGACGAGTCAACTGCTTACTTTCTGTTAATGTTTTATATCAACTGATGAAAGCCCTGATTTGATTGGTGCTTCTCAATAAGAGAGGCAAGCCCGTAGAGTATCAAATAAAATATGTCAGGGGTCAAACTGCAACGTGTTGACTCAGAACCCCTGACATTGTGAGGATGAAATTGTTTTGACAGTCATCTTTTCCTCAGGAAGCATTACTTACTTAGTCCTCTTTGTGCTGGTCAGCAAATAAGGCTGTCACCAGAGACTTCGATGTTGGTCTATCTTGTGTGCATCTGTGGACCTACCCCCATGATTAGTTGTTCTCTTTTATTTCTTTCTCTACCTATCTTCTCCAGGTCTCTTTTGGTCTTCTTATCTTTCTCTTACTGATTGGTGTCCATCACAATGCAACCCTTGTATGGAGGTTGGGTGCTTTCTACATATGTGTCCTATCGACAGCCATTTTCTTTTCTTTATAACGTGGGATAGAGGAGTGGTGTTAGTCCTTTTGTACAGCTCTTCAATTGAGATGATATTAGGCCAGAAAATGCGTAATATTCTGTGAAGGCAATGAGTCTGGAAGGCATCTAGCTTGTTTGAAATGGCTTTTGTTACTTTCCATGATTCAGCACCATACAGGAGGACCCCAAGCACATTACTCTTGGAAATCCTAACTTTGGTATTTATGCTGATCTTTGCTGACCTCCAGATGTTTCACAGTGCAACATACTCTACTGTGGCTTTAGGAATCTGAGCTAGTACATCTACCTCAAAATTCCCATCTGTGGTGATTTTGCTTCCTAGATAGACAAAGTCTGTGACCTCTTCTATTTTTACATTTTACATTATTTAGGGTGATGTGTTTGTCTGATTTAGTGTTGACCTTCATGATCTTAGTCTTGGTGTTGTTAATTTTCAGGCCAATCTTTCCTGCTGTTTTTGCTAGGTGGTTGGTTTTTTTCTTGCATATCATGATGTCGGTGAGCTAGCAGTACTATATTATCTGCAAAATCTAGGACTTGAAGCATTTCTGACATAGCCCAACTGATTACCATCTTGGTGGTTTCCAGTCAATGCAGAATGTGAAGAGAAGAGGGGAGAGCAGGCATCCCTGTTTTACTCCAGTCTTCAATTCAAACTCCTCTGATAGGTTTGATCCATAGATAATTCTGGCATTTATGTCTGTGTACAGCATCTTAATGATGGAGATGATTTTATCTGGGATCCCATATTGACTGAGAATTTTTTCTAAGGCATACTTTGACTAATCTGGATATTAACATATATATAAAATATATAAAAGATTACACCAGAAAAAAATATTAAAACCAACACAAAAAGTATTTCATGTAATTTAACTGCTTCCAACCAGAGGTGGCATTCTTGGGTCAATTTAAATACTTGCTGACTGCAGTAAATGTCAAATTAAAAACATATAGCTCAATGCTTCAAGGTTTAAGTTCTCACCGATGTCTATTTTAAATTTTTCTACCAGTACTTCTTGAACAGTCAGGCAAAAGCATTAAAACCTCAAGGTTTGTTTTCATTTGTGCATATGTGTGAGATATTGAATGTATGTTTAAAAAGTTTTATAGAGTACACACAAGAAATATCAGATCAGATAATTAGATTGATTTCTTTTTTTCCCCCAGATATATCATTATTATGGCAGAGAGCTTTCTATATAGTGAAGGTGATCTGACAGGTGTCTTGTCATCAGAGAGAGAGAGATATGATTCCAGTAAGGTAAGCTTTTGAGCAGTTTTAATTTAATTTTTTTTCAAAGGTTAAGCAATTTCACATTTAGAAAACATTAAATAAGTTTTTTTTAAAAATTACCAGTATGAAAAAATCATTGACTATACATGTATTTATTACAAAAAAGTCATTTGTAAAATTCTTAGACTGACAAAAAACATTTTGAGTAGGCATAGTTGAAATGAGGAGCAAGATAAGAGGTACTGATGGACCATTTAAAGTCATGTACAGGTGAAGTGTCCTCTAGCTGATGTCAGAAAGTCCATAGGCCCTAGAATGAAAGAAATGTAAAACAAAGAATTTGTGCAGAGTATGAATTGTTCAATAGCCCAGTTACGGTATTAAAAGAGGAGCAATTTTTGAAGATTCCATATTGTTTTAAGTTACCTGAGTCACTTGTGTGATATCTATTAAAGTATCCTCTTTTGAACATTCTCAGCTTTTCTCTAAAACCAATTTAAACTTTCTCACCGTTTTCTGAGCTTTGAAATCTTTATTCCTTACATCTAGATGACAAACTATTGGCATGCTGATATTGAACAATATATGTACATGTAAGTTCTCCACTAATATTGTGAAATACATGTCCATTGAGCTATGGATTTAAGTTTTGGCAGGGAAAATTGATCATCTATTAAAATATCCTCAGGATGCAGAGTTTATGCCTTATAGAATCCATAAAGTCTTCAAAATTGTCTTCTTTACCTGAGAACATTTATCAGACAGTCTATTTGATAATGCTAAGCAGTAAGCCCTCTCTTACCATTTGGAATTATTGTCCTGTGGATCTGGGTTTCACACCTCTGCAGCCTCAGAGCAGGGGCATGTTAGAAAATGAAAGAAACCTTTAAAAAAATCTTCACTCTTAGATATCTAGCAGATAAACTGATATTTTTATGATTTTTTTTTTTACTTTAAAAGATATTCTCAGGTATTTAAAACCTCTTCTAAGATTTTGTAAGCTGTGTCATCTGCATATATGGTTCATGCTGATGGCTTTGGAAAGTTTGAGAACATGATAAATCTTCAAAAGTCATCCCTCTTACTACTGTACCTCTAGCAGACAAATTGTCAATATGATAATAGGAAGCAAGAGTCTTAAAAAAAAACTTGTTTCTGAGAGGTGGCATATTTATAGAGAGCACGATGAGAAAAGTTGCATTGTCATAATTAGGTGATAGGGTGGGCTTCTTGTGCATCATAAAGCAAACCATTGAAAATACATGTATAAGTTAGCAAAAAGAAGTTGGCAGTTAGAAATCCAGTGGCCCTTTATGTTGCATGCTCTGTGTTTGGGGAGTTTTTTCCTTGTCTCACTTTTCTTGCTTACTAAGTTTAGCAGTTGGCAGTGAATTCCAATCATGATTTTAGAAAACTGTTGGCTTTTGTAAGAAAGATTTTGATGTTGTAGTTTGATACTCTTTTGCGCCAAAAATGGGATCAAGCAATGAAAGATGGTCATTTCCGATATCAACTTGACAAAGTAGAGAGTAAAATTATTCCAGGACAGAAGAAATATGTAGCACAGGTAATGAGTTGAAAAGAATTCCATAAAAGTATGTTTATAAAGCACACAATTATGCGTTAAACTTAACAACTGTTACAACAGGACATTTTTCATTTTCATTTAACTTAAATGAATTAAATGTCTTCAAACAAAAATTTATACAAAGTTTTGACAATTCCATTGTATAACCAAACCTTACTTTTTCAGTTAAATGTGAAAAGGGCCACAGAAAGAAGGAAACCACAGGAAATTACAATTGTCAACCAAAAGTTTGAACCTAAACAATTCAACTTCACCAAAATCAAATCTGAGGAAGTTTTATTTGAACTTGAAAAAGAGGAAGCAAATGTCTTATGTAATGGAGAAACCAAAAAGGTAGAACTTACAATCAATAAAGGGTGTCATTGTTATACATAGAAAGACAGGATCAATGACATTCCAGGCTATAGAGATGCTTTTGTCACTATAGTATTTATGTAGCCTATTTATTGTGTCCCCACCCCCTTCCCATTTTAAGTAAGAAGATCAGTGTAAGAGATTTATCAGAAAACAAATTGTGATTGTGTTTATAATTTGTATAAATATTTTTGCAACTGGTAAAATTAGAAAATACTTTTAATAAAACAAAATGTGTTTGTGAAACACTGATGCCCCCGTATGGCAGCTAATGGCGAAGGTTAAAGTTTCTCAAATGCAAGTCAAACTCCAGGTCAAGAGATAAAAAATGTTGGTACCCAAAGAAAGGTCTTGTCTCAACTGTTCAAAAGTTATGGCGAAGGTTAAAGTTTTTTTAAAAGTAAGTAAAAAAGTCAAACTCCAGATCAACTGAGGCCCCAAGGGAAGGTCTTGTCAAAAGTGATACACATGTTCGTGAAACATGAAAGCCCTAGAACCAAATATTTACATGTTATGGCCAAGGTTAAAGTTTTTTAAAAGTAGGTCAAACTCCAAGGTCAAGGCCAATGCCAAAATAGTTAGTATCCAAAGGAAAGTCTTATCCCAAGGAATGCACATGTGAAGTATGAAAGCTGTAGCACCAAATGTTTAAAGGGTATGGCCAAGATTAAAGTTTTTAAAAGTAGGTCAAACTCCAAGGTCAAGGTCAAATGTTCAAAGTTGTTGGTATCCAAAGGAAGGTCTTGTCATAAGGATAACATATGTGAAGTATGAAAGCCCTAGCACCAACCATTCAAAAGTTATGGCCAAGGTTAAAGATTTACTAAAGTAGGTCAAACTCTTAGGTCAAGGTCAAAGGGTCAAAGTGGTTGGTATCCAAAAGAAGGTCTTGTCACAAGGAATAGACATCCGTCCGTCTGTCTGTTTGGCTGTTTGTCCGCAAAAACTTGAACCTTGCCCCATAACTTTTGATTGGTTGGAGCTATGACTTTCATATTTCACATGTGTATTCCTTGTGACAAAATCTTTTTTAGGGTTTCATCATATTTGATCTTTTGACCTTGGCCTTGGAGTTTGACCCACTTTTGCAAAATTTTATGAGACTTTAACCATGGCCATAACTTTTGAACAGTTGGTGCTTTGGGTTTCAAACTTCACAAGTGTATTCCTTGTGACAAGACCTTCCTTTGGATACCAACAACTTTGAATTTTGACCTTGACCTTGGAGTTTGACCTACTTTCGAAAAACTTTAACCTTGGCCAAAACTTTTGAACGGTTGGTGCTAGGGCTTTCATATTTAACGTGTCTATTCCTTGTGACAAGACCTTCCTTTGGATACCAACCACTTTGACCCTTTGACTTTGATCTAGGAGTTTGACCTACTTTTGAAAAACTTTAACCTTGGCCATAGCTTTTGAATGATTGGTACTATGGCTCTCATACTTCACATATGTTATCCTTATGACAAGACCTTCCTTTGGATACCAACCATTTTGACCCTTTGACCTTGAAGTTTGATCTACTTTTGAAAAAACTTTAATCTTGGCCATACCTTTTAAACATTTGGTGCTGCGGCTTTCATACTTCACATGTGCATTCCTTGGGATAAGACTTTCCTTTGGATACTAACAATTTTGGCATTGACTTTGACCTTGGAGTTTGACCTACTTTTAAAAAACTTTAACCTTGGCCATAACATGTGAACGTTTGGTTCTAGGGTTTTTACATTTCACAAACATGTGTATCACTTGTGACAAGACCTTCCCTTGGGGCCCCATTTGACCTTGACATTTACTTACTTTTAAAAAACTTTAACCTTCGCCATAACTTTTGAACAGTTGGAGCTAGGGCTTTAAAATTTCACAGGTATTTTCCTCGAGACAAGACCTTTCTTTGGGAACCAACATTTTTGAACTCTTGACCTGAAGTTTGACTTGCATTTGAGAAACTTTAACCTCCGCCATAAGATGCCATACGGGGGCATCAGTGTTTCACAAACACATCTTGATATTTAAATGCAGAAATCATTATGTCATATTTCACAAGAAATACTTTAAACACCCATTAAATAAACGTTTGGTGTGGCATACCTCCTTAAACACTGTAACATTTGATATGCTTTGATAATTTTAAATGTACACTCATGTACATAAAAAAAATAGTTGAACATTTATTGATTTCAGAGACGTAATCTAGTGATAATCAATGTGAGCCCCCTGGAGTATGGACACATTCTTATTGTTCCTGACTCTGATGCTTTTTACCCACAAATTCTTACTCAGTTTGCCATTAAAACGGGACTAGAGTGTATGTTGCTGAGCAGTCATAGGTAGGGATTCACTTTATTATTATTGTTGAAGGAAATTTTCTAGTTTACATTCACTAATTATATCAATGTAAAGAACAAGGTGTTTTAAGAGTTCCCCTTTCTTAATCAATGACTACTCGGAACAATATAGTAATTTATAGCCTGAGATTATAACCATATCAATACGAGTATTGAGTTGTGAATCGTGTGATCAAATTTGAACAAATAGTCATGGTCATGATTTCTTGCAATTTTCAAATTTCTATGAATATTTTTTTGTCATTTTTCAAAGCATATTTTAGAATTCATGGGGTGCAAGCTAGTCTTTGAAATTTACATATTTTAATATGTGCTAGATTTAGCTACATTTTGTGGCAAAGATCCTAGATAGTGATTTTTTACTACAATGTATGTGTTTTTTGAAGCAAAATGTATTTTGTATCAAATGTTAGCCTCACTTTTATGACTGTATTTTACAGAGGATTCAAAGTTGGGTTCAACAGTCTGTGTGCTTTTGCTTCTGTTAATCATCTGCATCTTCATGCTTACTACCTAGAGCATGATTTATATGTGGAAAATTGTGTGAGTATGGATAATAATCATAGAAAGGCAAAACAAAAATATTTTTAATAAAAAATCATGTGACAACAAATAAAAAAGAATTAAATTTTATAAATAAGAGGCCACAATGCTCACCTGAGTAACTTTAGCCCTGCTGTTCTTCTTCAGATTTCCAAAAAGATTTTTACCCATGAAAAATTGTGGCCCAATATTATAGCCCCATTCTAACTCAAAGGGTCTCTGATACCACTCAACATGGGGATGCTACAATATCATTATGATCAACATGGCCTTGCCTTAAGGTCAAGATCTAGTAAATGAAAGGAGCCTACAGATTTCTCAAATTTTGAGAAATAATTTCCTTTAAAGATGCTTTTTTAAGTATAACTTGGTCAAATAAGGTGTATCGGGGCAAATTGTGTAGGTAAACAAGATGAAAAACCATATTTTAAACTGTCTTTTTTGATGAAAAATTAATAAAATCAGTCATGAATATGGGAGTTTTTTTCTTATCGGACAAAGGAAATGTATCCAGATTGCCTACAGTCTCTCAGAAAACGGTAATTTGTTTGTTCTTATCCTCTTCTTTAAATTAATATCAAAATAAATATAGGTTTCGAGATTAATTTTCACATGATTTCAAATTAAGTTCCATGAAAAAACTTTATTTTCTACATAATTCTATTAGAGCCGTAAAGTACGGGAAAAAGAAAGTTTAAATTGATTATGACGTCATAATGGATCTAGCACCAAAAAGACAGTCTAAAGTCATTTACTAGATCTTGACCTTAATGGAGAAGAAAATTCTTTTCGTGTATGCATACATTATGTAAAATTTGATCCCTATTTTAGCTAACCCAACCCAGGGTGCATAATTTGAAAAAAATAATCATCCACTTAACTTGCTATTGCTTGCATATGAATGGTGCAATTGTGGTTCTTGAGAAGATTGTCAAAATTTATTTCCTATTAAGTCCCATGTAAAACTTTGATCCCCTGTTGTGTCCCCAGACTCCCTGTCATATCCTCGGGGGCCATGATTTCTTCAGAAGATTTTATTAATGACCCCACCCTATTTTTGCCTTTTCTTGATTTTCTTCCCTTGGAAGAGAGCTTGGTCCTTTACCCAAGGATGCTTTGTGCCAACTGGTTAAAGTTGGCCCAGTTGCTCTTGAGAAGTAAAAATGTGAACAGTTTATAGAAGGACAGTCAGACAGACAGACAGATGCCGGGCAATGGGTGATCAGAAAATCTTGCTTGAGCTTTCAGCTCAGGTGAGCTTAAAAGTAGAAACTCGGAAAATTACGCAAGTATTTCAGTGTATCCTATAGAAAATTAAAAAATAATTACTTTTTTTTCCTACAGCCTGTAACACATTTAAAGGGACCCCTGTATGAGCTGAATGTCATGCCATGTCCAGGATTTGCCTTTCAGCTTCACAAAAGTACCACAGAGGATTTATCAAGGTAAGGAAGTCAGGAATATATCTCAGAAAGCATGAAAAGCAACACAAATTACAAATGTCTCTCAACTCCTTGTTCAATTTTCTTTGGAACAAATGTGACTTATGAAATTCCATTTCTTTGAAAGAGATATATATAAAGTTACCCAGTACTTATCTGAACATGAGATTGCCCACAACATGTTCCTGACGTACGGGGAAAGTTTTGATTCCCAATCCTCTGTACCTACAGTTCGGGTATATCTGTGGCCACGCAAGAAGTTCATAGGTAAGAAGCAGATTTTGGCGAACACAGTTTTAATGAATCCTATTACCTGAATTATCACAACTACAGTATTTGTGTAAATTTTTTATACCCCCGCTCTGAAGGAGAGGGGGGTGTACTGTTTTACCCTTGTGTGTCTGTCTGTCTGTGTGTCCGTGTGTCTGTCCATAACAAATTTTCGTTGCAGTTTTCGCAGCAACTACTCATCACAGATGCTTGAAATTTTAGGACAATCTTTGTTAGGCATGCCGTATGGTGGGATTCATTTTTGTTTAAATTCGATGTCAACTTCCTGTTTATCCGTGCGTCTGTCCATACCAAATTTCCGTCACAGTTTTCTCAGCAACTACTCAGCTCAGATGCTTGAAATTTTAGCACAATCTTTGTTTAGGCATTCCATATGTTGGGATTTATTTTTGTTCAAATCCAATGTCAACTAACTGTTTTTCCCTGCACCTGTCCGTACCAAATTTCCGTCGCAGTTTTCTCAGCAACTACTCATCACAGATGCTTGAAATATTCACACAGTCTTTGTTTAGGCATGCCATATGGTGGGATTCAATTTTGTTCAAATCTGATGTTAACTTCCTGTTTATCCGTGCGTCTGTTCGTACCAAATTTCTGTCAAAGTATTCTCAGCAACTACTCAGTGCAGATGCGTGAAATTTAAGCACAATCTTTGTTTAGGCATGCCAAATAGTGGGATTCATTTTTTTAGGAATTTAGTGTCAACATGAGAGGGTATATTCACATCAGAGCGGGGGTATTACTAGTGAGCATTCGCTAACAGACTTCTTTTTTTTATTTTTCACCACTAGTAAATGTATGTGATTGATACATGTATTTTGAATGCTAAAGTTAATTTCTATATCAGTCATTTAATAGAAATCAATGTGCAATAAAGTTTCAAAATCGTTTTGTTTAAAACTACTCTCACTAAGAGCTTTATTTTTTCTTGTTTATAGGTATAAAAGAAGAGGCTGCTTTTAATGTAGCTGTTGTTGAATTGGGAGGACATTTGCCAATCAAGGGTAATCTTCCTTACTAGTTGTGTATGAATATGAATTTTTAAATTTAATCAGACTGAATGCTTCCTCAGTACCTGATTTTTTTTTTTACAGTTGAGGAACTGTATGGAGGATTGACAGAAGACTCTATAAATGAAACCATAGAAACAGCGAAGCTAGAGGACAAGGAATATCAGTCAATCAAAGATGATGTCACACAACTGTTCAGTTGATGTTTGTGACTCTAGGGATTCTATGGCTTTTTTACTTGTAATTGTTATTTTCTTCCAAAAGTTTTTATTATTTTTAAACTATTTTTAAACTGTACGACATGCAGTTTTCCAGTATTTTTTTAATCTAGTATTATTATATATTGATATATACAGTACATGTATTTCAATGAATTAAATTCTTTGTGGGAACAATTTATCCATGTGGAAAAAATGATGTTTTTCTCCATGTATACTTAATTTATCTACTTAAAATGTAGTTAAAAATATGCATAATAATACATGATGCAAAAGCAAACATTTGTTCTGCTCCTGTTCATGAAAATTACATCATCCTTGGATAGATTTATACATAGATTTATATTGAAGCAGTGATCATGATTAAGTACAGTAACAATGTGCAAATGACCAAACTACAAATCTCATTTGTATACTAGTTATGCTTGTATGTGAAACATTTTATATGCCTGTCTGTGATGGGATGTATTATGGTATGGCAATCATGTCTGTCTGTTACATGTAGCTTTTTCATGTCTGCCCATAACATATATACTACGAGGCCTAGAATCATCAAACTATGTCAGCAGATGCATCTTGTGTAGAAGTGTGCCACACTTTAAAGTTAGGTCACTATGACATTTAATTAAAATGATATGGCCAAATATGGCAAAATCCTGTTTGGCTCATAACTGGAAAATTATTTGACCTAACTTGGATAGATAATGCATCTTAGGTGGTAGGTGTGTCACACCATACTTTAAGGTCACTGTATGGCCAAATATTGCAAAACCTTGTCCGACTCATAACTGTAAAATTATTTGGCTGGTATCTTCAAACTTGGATCAATAATGCATGTATAAGATGTGTTGCACCCTACATTTAATGCTGTGATCATTATTTAAGGTGATATTAAAAAAAAAAGATTTGTTTCAAGGGAGGTAATCCTTACAAATGTAAACATATACAAAAAAGTTACATCAAGAAATACACATTTTTATGATACAGTACCAACCAGACCCAACCTGACACCTAAGCAGTCCCAGAAAGCAGTCCCCGGGACTGCTCTGGGACTGCTTTGTGTCAGGTTGGGTCTGGTTGGTACTGTACATGTATACAACTATCTATTAATTTTCAAAAATAATTCTATTCAGACAAAAATGACATGAGTATGCAATAACATTGTACTTCAAAGATGCTAAGACTTAACTTCAAACAAGATATTGAAGGATCTTGTTGGAGTTCAGTTGAAAATGAAAAGGATATTTTGAAAAGGGACAAATTGCATCTGTCAAGTTAAGGATTAATTAATGAGTTTAATGTAAGAAGTCTGCCTTCATCGTTTTTGTGGGAGCATCTTTGATCAAATAGGTTTTGTCTACCTGGGTATATCTCCCAAGGGATGGGGCGAAAACCATCAAAGCTAATACAATCTTTAAAAATCTCTTGGGAATGGGAGAAAAAAAATTGGCCTCTTAATTGCAATTCATAGCATCTATAAAATTGAACTTCTCGATTGCCAGCCTTTGTTTTCAAAATTGATTTGGTATAAAATTATTAAAATTGCTTTAATATTGTATAATATCTCACTCAGATGATGAATGCAGAAGTTTTGTCAGTATAACAAACATAATGATTAGTATTTCAATGTTTATCAGGCAGTACGTGGCATTGATCATCTGTCATAAACAATACAATGAACAAACAAGTTATACATTGGGCATTTCTTTTACAACCAGTAAAGAGAGATATGACCTACTGTTTGTTATAGAATAGGTCCACACAAACAAAATCATTGCAATCCTTGTACCAATGTTCACATGATTTTGTTCCATACACACTTAAACGTTTATGAAAAATAAACAATATCTGACGTGTGTCATGTGCCTTGATTGTGCACTTTTTAGCTCACCTGAGCTGAAATCTCAAGTGAGCTTTTCTGATCACATTTTGTCTGTAGTCCATCTGTCCGTCCGTCTGTCTGTAAACTTTTCACATTTTCGACTTCTTCTCCAGAACCACTGGGCCAATTTCAACCAAACTTGTCACAAAGCATCCTTGGGTGAAGGGGATTCAAATTTGTTCAAATGAAGGGCCAGGCCCTCTTTCAAGGGGAGATAATAAAGAATTAGTGAAAAATTAATAACATCTTTTAAAAATCTTCTTCTCAAGAACCACAGGGCCAGGAAAGATGAAACTCATGTGGAAGCATCCTCAGGTAGTGTAGATTCAAGTTTGTTCAAATCATGACCCCCGGGGGTGGGGCGGGGCCACAATGGAGGATCAAGTTTTTACATATAAATATATAGGAAAAACCTTTAAAAATCTTCTTCTCAAGAACAGAAAAGCCATGATGAGTCATATTTATATGGAAGCATCCTCAGATAGTGTAGATTCAAGTTTGTTCAAATCGTGACCCCCAGAGGTAGGGTGGGGCCACAATGGAGGATCAAAGTTTTACATAGAAATATATAGGAAAAACCTTTAAAAATCTTCTTCTCAAGAACAGCAAAGCCCTGATGAGTCATATTACATGGAAGCATCCTCAGATAGTGTAGATTCAAGTTTGTTCAAACCATGACCCCTGGGGGTAGGGCGGGGCCACAATGGAGGATCAAAGTTTTAAATAGAAATATATAGGAAAATATTTTCTTCTGAAGAACTGCAAAGCCATGATTAGTCATTTTGATATGGAAGCATCATCAGGTAGTGTAGATTTATGTTTGTTCAAATCATGACTCCCGGAGATAGGATGGGGCCACAATGGGGGATTGAAAATTTTACTTGGGAACATATAGGAAAATATCTTCTTCAGATAGTGTAAATTCAATTTTGTTCAAATGATAACCCCTAGGGGGTAGGGTGGGGCGCAGTGGGGGATCAAAAGTTTTACATAGGAACATATAGAAAAAATATTCCTTCTCAAGAACAGAAAAGCTATGTTTAGTCATATTGATATGGAAGCATCCTCAGGGAGTGTAGATTCAAGTTTGTTCAAATGGTGACCCCTTAGATAGGGAGAAGCCACAATGGGGGATCAAATTTTTACAAAAGAATATATGGGAAATTTTTTAAAAATCTTCTCAAGTACAACAAAGCCATTTGTTATATTGACATGGAAGCATCCTCAGGTAGTTTAAAATTCAAGCCCCCCCCCCCCCCCCCCCCCCCCCCCCGCAGTAATCTTTTCAATACTGAACTGATTTGTGCTTTTGCCTAGCCAATGTGCTCAGGTGAGCGATGTGGTCATGGGCCTCTTGTTTTAATTTTTTTTTTTTGTATATAAATGATCAGTTCAGTACATATTTATTCTTATCTATTAATCTACAATAATGTAAATGTCAATTACAGGGTATGTAATTATATACCATTTCATGTGCAAGAATTTTTTATTTTTTTATATTACATGTGTATTTTGCTATTACTTATTTTCTGCTTACACATATCATTTTCAGGGTTTTACAGTTTATGAAATGTAAAAAAATACATGGTGTTGTACAACCATGATTTGTTGAGTAGTCCCTAAATAAACATACATGTCTACTGACTCTTCTTGACATATTTAATTGGATTTATATGTATCAATTTTAGCTCTAAAAAATCTTATTTGCACCTAAAACCATTTTCTATTTTCTGTGGAAAAAAAATTCATATGAAAAAGTTAACGACTTCTGTTTGTCTTTCAGTGGCAAAATCATTTCAAAAAAGATTCTTTAAAATTCCATTAAATTAGATGATAGTGTGTTTAGCTTTCTGAATGAAAGTGCACTGTTTGGCCATGGATATTTTTCAGCACACTCAAGGAACATTGGTCACTGAATTTCATTAACACTCCATGTAGTCTAAAGCTCAGGAGAGTTAGAAATGTAAGTCACTAGACAGTGTCCCTCCGAGACACATTTTGAAAACAAACCCTAAATGATGGGTCTGATTTGAGGACTTCATCTTAAAATTTTTTGCACCAGATATATAAAATATGAAATGAACTGGAATGATTCATAAGGCAAAGAGAAAATGGCAAAACACCTCTAATATAAAGAACAAATGAAGATCATACATAATGAAAGGCAATAATAATGGATACCTCTATACAAGGGCATCAGAGTTTCGTCTTTGAAAGATAATATCCAGATAATAGAAGCAGTGTTTCAGGTTTAAGTTGATTGGGTTTCAAAAATACAATGTTGATGCAGGTATAGAATTTCTCCAAAGAAAGAAATTCTCATTTAAAAAATCATAACAAACTTTATTTAATATTTTCATACTTTTTTATTCATTGAATTTGTGTAATTTTGATTAAACATATACATGTTGACTAGACATGCAAATTTACAAGTAGCAGGAAAGTCTATTCATTAGATTGACCCACTCATCACAGACTGCTTTTGGAAAGCTTGGATATTGTCCAGAATGTAGGACCTGCAAGGAGAGAACATAATTTATCATCTCACTGCTTGGCATAGGTGGAATCTTCAAAAATAATTAGCATATAAAGTAATAAAAAAAGCTCTAATGGGTCTAAGATCAACATTTTCAGCTGTATTTTTTAGGGATGTCAAATCGGCAAATTTTCCGATGGAGTACCTGGTTGTTACAAGAGAAAAATGTAAAAAACAAGTCGGTTACATGTACAAGTATATTGATACCTGTTCAACCCTACAGATGTATTCTCCTGAACCCATCAAAAGTATCATGCATGTATTGATACTGTGAGCGAGCTCACAAAATTATAACCCATGCTGCAATTTTTCTGAAGAAAAATTTCTATTTTTAGTAACCATGGCAACACTGTTCATTGAAAACAAAAACCAATATACAGAATTATGTATTTAAGTGTAGTTTACTTGTGTACCAAGTTATATTGAAATTGGACCAAAACTGTAGGAGGAGTAGCATTTTGAAAGAATTTCACATAAATTTCTATTTTTAGTAACCATAGCAACACCGTTCATTGACATCAAAAACCAATAGACAGAATTACGTATCTTAGTGTAGTCTACTTGTGTTTTAAGTTATATTGAAATTGTAGCAAAACTGTAGGAGGAGTACCTTTTGAAAAATTGTTTACAAACAGAAGATTAACGACGGACATCTTACTATCGCACAAGTTCTTCTGGTCTCTAACCAGTAGAGCTAAAAACTGACACATCCTCTGGTCCGAAGTTATTTTTTTGGTGAAATATGGATCCAATGTTTCTCCATTAGAAAATTATAGACCTGTCATAAATTTTACACTTTTTAACAGTGACCTTGAACAGACTTGCCACAATGACCTTTGATCAAGGTTTTAATACATCCTCTAGTCATAAACAACCTTTGTACCAATTATGAGTTTACAATGATTCTCCATGACACAAAAGTAAAACCTGGACAAGTTTTTTTTTTTCTGCCAGTGACCTTAAAGTTGCCAGAATGACCTTGAGTCAAGGTTAAGACACATCCTCATCTCAGCTTCCCATGATTCTCCATTTCAAAGTTATAACCTGGACAAGAATTTTATACTTTTACTGTCAGTGACCTTGATCTTTCCAGAATGACCTTGGGTCAAGGTCATAACACATGCTCAGTTCATGAACAATCTTTGTTCCAAGTATGAGTTTCCAATTACAATGGTGCACATTTAAATGGTACAATTTTTCATTTGAATGGAATGTTTGGGTCTTTCACATCGAACATCAATTGTTACACAATGACATGCCCATTTCTTTAGAAATAAGAAACCAATATTTGTTGCAATGTTTCCACTCTCTGAGATTAGCAACATCAGTTTTCCTGAAAATGCGGATTTTATGAACCTGGGGGAGAGAGAGAGACTCCACCCTCTGTAGAACTCACGTATTGCAAAGAATATGTATACTATGTATCAATCAAATAGGTGTTTACCCGGTGTTTAAGTAGACTGTCAATCTGATTGGCTATTGTATTTATAGGATACCTGTTCTACAGGTATTCGAATGAAGCATTTGAGAAAATTTACGACAATCTAGGGCTCTCTTTTTCAGCGCAGAAATGGTGTTTTTCTGACTACTCTCCCCTACAATAAACCGATTTTTTCCTTTCTGAAGAAATGGGTGTGTCATATTTTACCACGTCAATGCGCATCATTGTATTCTCCATTACAAAGTTATAGCCTGGACAAGAATTTTATACTATGCAAGTGACCTTGAACTTGCAAGAAAGATTTGGAGTGAAGGTAATGTCACATCCTCTGGTCATGAACAAGTTTTGTACCAAGTATGAGCTTCCAACATCAAACACAACAATAATTGCACAGGTGATGTCATCTTTCTCATTTCCTCAAACTCTGCAAATTTACATAATTCTTAAGAGTCAGCAGTTTACTTTCTTCTTGTGATTGAGTTGTAGGGTAAATCGGGGTAATTTTGACCACTTGCTGAAGTATTGGCTTTGAAACATGACTGTTTTTAAATGTATTTTTTGAAACAGATTCATAGTAGTTAAGATTGTTTTCTTCTTGTTTTTCTGCATAACAAGATAAAAATGCATTAAAAATAACAAATTGGTTTTAAAAATAAGTAAGCATGTTGCACAGGTGAATTTCAGGGTAATTTCAACTACCATAACTTTAAAAAGAAAGATAACTCTTGCAATGAAAATAAGTTCTGCCTTTCGCTGTTTATTAGAAATTTATGGTCCGAGAAACTACATTACATTACCTTTTTTAGAAATACTTGTATCTCTCTTAAAATATTAAAATGGATAATGATGCATGCAACCATGTTTGTTCATTCAGTAAAGACTTGGGGTGGGGAAAAGTTTTTCAATATTAATAGGTATTAACTGCTGCCTGTGACAGTGCATCTGTTGTATAAACACAGCCACAAGCAATAACATTTACTGGAGTGGGTGATGCCAAGGTGTACTATATATACATGTAGAATGCATTTTTAGAATTTTTTTACCGATGTTTTTAATAAATAAATGTGCTTTAAAATACTAAATACTGTACATCAGAGTTGCGGAGTACAGATTTTAGTATTTGATACTCAGATGTTCGCTCGAGCACTCGGTATTACATTTGTATCGCATGAATCATTAATAAAGAGTGATACAAGGTGTAGTTCTATTTACTATATTATTAACACTAATTGTCAAACTGACTTGATTCTGGAGACCATCTCTGTTCCACTCCACCTAGGACTGTATGGATATCTGTCATGTATCTCAACATAAGGCTTTTCCTTAGACTCATGATAAATCGACTGAAAAGTCAACACTGGAGCCTCTTGTGGAAATGACTGAGGTAACTCAACTGAAATATAAATTCTTGATGATTACACAACTGTATATATTTCCATTTCTAATACTCTGTATAATAGCTCTATATTAACTTTAAGGAAATGGCATCATATTTTTTTTTTTTTGGTGAATTTTCTTGTCTTCCAAAAAATGACCAACTTTTGCAGTGCTCCAAAATTACTTGATATGTGGTATATTCAAACCTAGATAATCATTATTCAAACTTATCAATATATAAAACTTTGTCATAACTACATGTATTACTAATATTGATTAAGATACTACAGTAACTCACCATACAAAATGAAGAAAAAATCATTCCACTCAAAGAGAAATGAAATTTCAGAGAATCCCTCTGCATCAAACTCCAGCACTGATCTAAATTAAAAGAAATTGAATTCAACTGAAAAACATGGCCTGGGTAGAACTGCATACCTATTACTGTAAAATCACATATTGTCATGGGGTCAAATTTTTGTGGTTTTGAGGAAAAAATATGGGTTCGTAGGGATTTAATTTCATGGATGAAGAATTGTTGAGTAGTTATGTTTTACACTTCGTTATGGACATAAATTTGTGGGTCTCTTCATACCTCGAAAACAAAGAAAATTACACACCCCCCCCCCCCCCCCCCCCACCGAAAATTAATGATTTAACAGTAATCAATGTACCAATTCTGACAAATGTCAAGAATTGCAGGTTGCACACCAGTAATTCCTTCAACGTTCATGACAAAACACAGCCAAGGCAGAATAATGAATTTTCTCTTATGAATCAGTCACTTTTGCACAAGAGAGTACTAAAGGATGACTGCACTTAAGAACATGCCAAAATTGTGACAAAATAAACTTTAAAAACAAACATTTTTCTTTTAATTGCAGGAATGGTTAACATCTAATCTACAACTTTACATAATTACATTAAATAAGAGTATATGTATTTATGATGTATGAAGCTGTTTTCAAAGGCAGGGGTCATCACAATTTCTTGAATCTCCATACAATAATGAGGATGTCCACTTTTTCATTGACTTTATACATAGTCAATGCATGTTTGTCTATTGTTCTCAGTTTAACAGTAGATGTATATTTGCATAAATAATGCTGTGTCAAAAGGAGCGACGGAAAAAGACCCAAAACCCAGCGTTAAGTGCAGTTATCCTTTCATGAGATAAAAAGTACATGAGTGTAACTTTTTTATGTATCGTTGTAAGCCACAGGTTGTGTGTCCATTCTATTTCCACAAATATGGAAATAGAATGGACACACAACCTCTGGCTTGTGATAATGCTTTCTACTTTACAAGATTTTTTAAAATTCAGTGTGTTTCATTTTTTGGTGGTATTTTTAGGAAGGAATGACAACATCATTTGATTTTTTCACTTCAGTGAAAACAAACTTGTGTGTTTGATAGATGGCAATGTGATTTTTTTGTAATAAATTGATTAGAAAGATTTGTTTTAAAGGCTGTGAATAAGAATCTCTATAGAAGTCTGCATTAACAGTGTCTTCTCAAAGTCAAATAATATCTTTACTTGGTGTTTAGAAGGCCCTAATATTGGTGTCTAAACCTGGAAAAGAGATGATGCACTAAAGGGGAAGAACTCTTCATCTGCTTCTTACCTGCCAAACTGACTTAAAAAGGCAGCTATTAAATCTTTTCTTTTTTCAAACATCTGAATTGTTTTCTCCACCTAGAAAAATGAAATATGATGTGATCATTTATGAGCTTGTTTATCTAAAAAAGTCTAACACAAAACTTCAGTGTTAATGAAGTAAGTGAGCAACTTTGCATGCTGAATATTCCCTACCTTATTTTGTAAAAGCTTATAGACATTGGGAACATAATCTAACAAACAACCTCCATTGGGGAAGGAAGGTATCCTTAAGTTACTGGAGCCACCAAAGGCACTGTAAGTGAAAATACTGCTGATTAATAAATGTATAATAAGACACATTGTCTAATAAGTCCCCCTAAATCCTTTAATCTGTAGCTACACTGATATATTATGCACATGTACATGCCTGCATAACATGAAGATCCTTCTTTTAATTTTTTTTAAAAAACAAAACATAGTAAAGTTTCAAAGAGCAGTGATGTCCAAATTCAGAGGCAAAAGTGTGAGTGAAAAATTGTACATCTTCGCTAGCCAAGGGTTTTCGGTCCACTCCGCATGGGGAGGGGAGTGGACCGAAAACCCTTGGCTAGCGAAGATGAAAATTGTATAAATGGAAAGTATAATTACCGGGTACCCCCCCCCCCCCCCCCCCCCCGAAAAATACATAGTAAAAAAATTGTTCCTGTGTGTAGTATACTCACTGAAAATTGACAAATACTCTAAGAAAATGTTTACTCTACTCAGGAAACATTCTTTACAAGTTACTAGTGCTGTACCTACCGTTCCACTCTTGGTGATAAATATAACTGAGGAGTTACTCTAGAACTGTCTGGGGATGGAAAAGATATCAGAAGAACTGCTGAATTATCACCTGGGTTATCCTACAATTGTTAAACAATCACATATTATGGAATATAAAACAATTTTAAAGACTTACGGTTCATTATCCCTTTGTTCACTCATACATGTATAAACTTTGCTTTCTGTTTATTTTCAAAAGAAATCTTATTTGTTTTCTAAAAAAATCTAATTTATTTTCTAAAGAAACTAATTTATTTATTTTCTAAATTCTAAATTCAAAATCTAATTAATAATTAAAATGCACACAATTCAGCATACCTTGTGGGGCAAAATTTGACAGAAATGGCCTGTTAACTTGACAATTTTATAAAGGAACAATAGCCATTTGTTCCAGTGAGAGTTATCTCCCTTACAAGAGAATTGATGAACCTTAATAACAAAATTCAGTTTGGGTTGCTGATGAATGTTAAAAGTATACTTCTGAATCTTGAAATATATTTTCATTCTGTGCATAAAAATACTTACTTTTGTGAGGTATGGAGGAATGTCTGTAAAATCTATGGGAAGTTTTATGAGAAAGTTTATTGGGCCCACTCTCTGCTGTAAAGCAAAGTATTTTGTAATGAGACTTAACTATGAACACAATACTATACATGCAAAGTTTACTTTAACAGCCATTGCCTCAATCAATTTCTGATAGGAAAAAAATTAAATATGTATATAAATCTCTTTCATGTTTTGTACTGTACACATGCAGTACATTTATATTCTATAAGTCTTCTTTTTAAAGTATCTTTCAAAACTTTATTTGCTTTTTGAAATAATATTCTCATCAAGGTAATGTTATTTAATGTATTATGTAAACCTGCAGATTTACTTAAGAAGAATAAAATTATCTCTAATCTACATATTTAATGCAAGTAAACTCAATCTTACTTCTGATCTTTCTGAGTACACTTCAATTAGATCTCGAGATAACTCGGTGTGATCCACTAAGGAGGTGTACTCAAATTGCAGTCTAGAATGGGCTTCTAATAATCTCTCCTGGAAAGTCTTGTAATGCTCCAGCAGTTCTTTGATGACCTCAATCAAACAGTTAGGATTATCAATGTCCCAGTCCAACAAACTCTATAAAATAAAAGGATCTGTCCTGTAATACTTTCTACAGAATTATACTATGATTTTCTCTGAATTATGTAATATGTATTATACATGTAAAAAAAATTATGTAATTATGTAAAACATTCTATAGAAATCTCTGACTTAATTTAAGTTCGAGGTAAATTATTTCCTCATAAATAACCTGAGAAGACAGATTAGAAGTTCCTCTAACTCTGCTGTTTATTATTATCCAAAGATGTCTTGATCTAATCTTTAATCATTTTCTGGAAACAACTTGGAATCAGTAAAGAAAAGGACAAAGAAGTTATAATTGAGTTGGAGCTCATAACTCAGAAGGATTAAAAGATATATGTAGTTTTAACAATTATCATAAAAACATTCCAAAAATGGATGAAAAACATTATACTTTATTTACAAATCATAAGTTCTGTACCCTAAACATGTACATGATATAAAGCTAATCATGTGGACATTAAAAAGAGCATTCAAATATGGCCAAACAAAGCAATTGATAGATATCTCTTATGTATCCTCAGAGGCTGCATAGTCAGATTAGTCACAATGTCAGAGGTCCATAGTCCACTCCTGACTGTGGGACTCCAAACAAACTTCATTCCTTTTTTTTAATGGGCTAACTGCAGTGACATCTTTCAGGAAAGTTACAAATCCTGTTACTTTTTTCTCTTGACCAATCACATTAAGCCTTTCAGTGAAAACAACTTGTAACACATGCACTGAGGTGTCAAATGATTCCTTTCTTTTACATTTAATGTCAACTTATGAAAACCCTAATTTGATTGGTGCTTCTCAATGAGAGAAGCTGCCCCCCCCCCTTACCCCCCCCCCCCCCCCCCCAAAAAAAAAAATTCAGTTTGTCAGGGGTCCCAGGGCCTCGAGTGAATTCAGAGGATGCAAAGACTGTAGAAACTTAAATTATCCAATTAAGATGAAAGAATTAAGATTTAGAGGATACATCATTGAAATCTATAGGTGAGATAGTGGAGTGTGACCAGACAAACTGTAGAATGATAATGCTCTTGTACTAGGAAGTGGAGGATATTTCTTGAAAATTTATGATCAGCAAATAACTCAATACTTAGTGACTATGTACTAAATCTAACTTCAGTGACTATGTACTAAATCTAACTTCAACATGAACTATATTCAGATATCAAACAGTTTATCAGAAGATGTTGTGAACTCCAAAGCATTATTGGCATGCAAAGATCAACTTTACACAAATGCTGGGAGTGCTAAAATATGTCCATTACAGAGAATCTGACAAAACAAAAACCTGCTGACAAGTAACACCAGGTTTGCAACACGAAACTATGAGAGTGAAAGAATTGTCATTTCTCAATATACCTTGACATCTGCTACATTTGGGCAAAAATCTGTTTCTTCAAAAATGAAGTCTGGTGGCTCCTCTGGGCAGGAATTTTCTAAAATAACTTCCCCTGAAGTATTGTGATAACAGTGTAAATTATTTCTGTCATTATTTATGACCATCATGGGAAGTAACTGGAAAGTGAAATAAAAGAAGTAAACTTACAAGTTAGTGTTTGGCCTGCATAGGGAATGTACACCTTAAACCGATCTCCACAAGGTCCTTTATGTGTTGTTCTGCTTCTGCAATATCAATTTGAACAATTCAAAGATATTTTTAAATAAAAAGAGTACTAGCCATCATCAGGTCCTCGTGCAACATCCATCAATTTTATTTAAGGACAGTAAGGCAATACAAGGACATATAAAGATCCAGGAATTTTTCCTGGGATGGGGCTGGGAGGTCTATACCCAGTGTATTCAACTAAAAAAAACACAGACAAAAAAACTTAACATGTTTAGACAAGCACTCTCATATATGTATTAGTTCTTCTTTTCTTTAATGGGAATGACAAAAACATTTTAACATTCAAAATTGAATTGAGGTCGGCATTTTTGGTATTCTCCACTACATCATGGTTGTCCCAGTCAGAGGACCAAACACATCTTTAATTTGAAGAGTTCCAGTAATAGAAATCGAAAGTATTACCAGGGACCTATATACTAACGGGACAGGCAACTCCTTCAGCACCATGTTTATTTACCCAAAACAGCACACACAACATTGCAAGTTTTTCAAACTACGTTTTTTTCCAGTAAAAAGCGTGTTTTCCGATTAATGTAATCTGTTCTTTTTGTGTATCGGAATGGATATTTAATAAATTTTAAAGCACATGTTATAAAATAATTTAGATATCAAGTAAACAACCACCAAAATCAGCGAATTCTCAGAAATACGGCCGATCAGGGGCACGCACTGATTTTTAAATAAACGTAATTACTACTGAGATAAGGAGTAAAAACAGTGCTAACAACAAATCTTGAATAATATTTTGATAGATAAATTAAGGTTTTATTCTGAAATATTTGATAGCAAAAGAGATATATTTAATTAAAATTGACTTACGAAATCCTGCAACTTACGAGATATCACGAGACTTGCGAGAGTTACCTATCCCATTAGTATATAGGTCCCTGGTATTACAAATCTTGTCATATGACTGGTTTTCTTATTTCTTGACCAATGATATCAAACCTTTCAGTAACAATCTTTAACATGTGCATTGAGGTGTTAACTGCCTACTTTCTGTTTACATTTTATATCAACTTATGAAAGACCTCATCTGATTCATGTTTCTAAATAAGAGAAGCAAGCCCGGAGAATATCGAATGAAATTTGTCATGGGTCCAATGGTTACAAATGGACTCAGGACCCCTGACATTGTGAGGATGGTATTATCTTTGATAATTAAAAAAATTTTTCTGTGATTTAAACAGCACAAGATTTGAAAAGTAAGCAATAGGGCCCACAAGAATCATTACATTTCAAACAGTTGCAAATCATACTCTGCATGTTATGTTCAATTAAGACAGGGGCTGTTTTTCCAGACCAGCCTGCATTGGTGAACGGATATATTTTGCTATCTTAAGGTAGAGTAAATACTGGGTTTCATTAGTTGACATCATGTAATACACTAATGAGATTTTTCAAGGTCATGTCCAAGTGTTATGGAAATCCAGACTGGGAGAGTCGAGGAGAAGGTTGGGAAATCCAGGGTTCTCATTAACACAAGAATCTGCGTCCTAGACTCAGCAAAATTATTTGGGACGCAAGGTTCTTAAAAACGATGTGTCCGCAGACTCATGAGTGGATGCGTCCTTTTCAGCAAGAAAATTTGGGTGCTTTCAAAAACCGGAGATTTTAGATATTAGGATTTGTCCAAGAATTATTTAATCGAAACCTTCCTATAACTATCATAAAGTTTATCCAAGAAACAACTTTTCTTGTACCTATTTCTATTTTTTTTAAACAGGGATTGATTATAAGATATTTCACCCAGTGCAGACCAACAGGATTAGTTACGCCTCATTGCACAGTGACACCTGTGATCGTATACAGTACGTCAACTTAAGGGTACTAATTGATTATGCAACCGTTAATTTTAGCTTTAGAAACACCAAGTTTATTTTTATGGCAATTGATTACGCATGTTTTTTAGAATATCATATTCTATATTATATGGCTTCAATGCATTAGCAGTTTACATACTTGAATATGTTAATATTGCATAAACAAACTGTTAAAATAATAAAGATTTTTTTTTTGTTTGGATGGAAGGATCCTGCAATAATTCAGTTGGGACTCAACATAATATTTTGGGATGCATCAAATTTAGCTGGTACGCAACCTTCTCAGAAATCTTGAGTCCTGGGACTCAAGTTAGCAAAATCCTAGTGAGAACCCTGAATCGCTAGGAAAGGTACTAGGTAGCCATGGGTAGTCACATTTAACAGTTTAAGATCAATACATTATTCAATCTGATTAAAACACCCACCCTGATTTCACATCGTCGATTCTGACTATTCCATTGCAGACACCAAATTTTCCATCTACTATCAACGACTCAACAATTCTGTTGAAATGTGGCGAAATCTGCATTTTTCTCACTCTGTGAGTCTCAATCTCTGAGTCTGTCTCTTCCTCAATATAATAAAAATTGTAACAGTGAAACTCGAAACGGAGATCAAAAGACGTTAACGGGCAGATACTTAATTTTTTGGATAGAAGTGAAAACGTGTTCGAAAAGCTTTCATTTGGCTTCATAAATGTGAATTTTTACTAAATGAATTTGACAGGATTTTTCATTGTTAACTGATACTCTAAAACTACTATCCGGCTTTTTATTGTCTTCTTATCCAATTTGGCATTTAGCTTCCTTAATTTACTTCCAGTTGCTGAAATCAGCGTGTTCACGGTGTTGACTGTTTTAGCAGCAATATAATAGCAAAAATATGACTTTCCTCAATTATTGCAGTATTCCATTATTCAAGCTTAAACCTTCTCGATAATTTTAGATTTTAATTAAGTTGAACAGAAGACATCAAAGTGAACGGAAAAGAAGTCAAGGTTGGGACGATTCTTGAGCTCAACTATTTGTCCAAATATTTAAAGGTATGCTTATATTAAAAAGAGATTTATCTTCTTTATCTTCTTTGTGAGTGTAAAAAGAGATGTGTCTTCTTCCTTGTGTGTGTGTTTGTTGTTGTTTTTTGTTTGTTTTTAACCAAAAAAAGCTTTATTTTACTTTTTGCTATAGGCAAACGCAATATAGATTTATAGGATTCATATTTTTTTTTCAGGTAGACTTTATTTTACCATTCCACAGATTCGCAAGATCTACTTAAGTCTGATGTAAGATTTAGGTAAGTGCAAACACAAGAGTTGACAGATAAGGGTTAGTCTTGGATTTGGGTTAGTCTCGCACCCACTTGAGAGTGTAGGGTAAGTCTTTGCACACCATTCGAAAGAACAATCTTTAGGTAGACTTTACTTTACCGGTCCCCAGATCCGCAAGATCGGCACGCTCATTGCACTATGACGTAAGATTTATGTCACTCAACTGATTAGAGTTTGTTTTGCACATTTTTCGACTGGTTAGGGTTAGTCTTGTACCCACCTGAAAGATTAGGGTTAGTCCTTGCATAAGTTTTTGACTAATTAGGGTTAGTCTCACATCCATCCGAGAGACTAGGATTAGTCCTCACACATGGGTTAGTCTAGCATGGTCTAGCATCTGCATGGGAGATTTGTGTTAGTCCTTGCATACCATCTGAGAGATTAGGGTTAGTGTCTTGTTCTTTTAGATGAATTAAGAAATTCAGTTGCATCTGTATTTTTTGCAAGATCTTAATTCAGCTTCAACGACGTCTTGTTGCAGGCGCTTCGTTCACAATTATTGTTTGTCTCCTTTTCACTGAATGAACAACATTTATTACTTTTTTCAGAGAATGAGATTAAATACTTCGTTTAAAAACGAAGTTTTAAACTAAAATTTTAACCGTAGAATTCGAATTTGGGGTCAAAAAGGCTTAAACTTCATATTTTTTATTTTTTTTCGATCGCTCACGCGATCTCGTATATATTGAAGTCGCCTACGGTGACACTATATTTTAGCGCGTTTTTCTTGGGACCTGTAAAGTAAAGTCCTTCCCAATCTTTTTATTAATCAATAAACCCAATTGAATTAATCATTCAATGATAAACTACAGACCCTATTTTTCAACTTCAACAGCATCACTTTTATTTGTTTACATTACAATGGTCAAACTACAAAGGAAACATAAGTTAACATGCACTTCAGGGAGATTTTTTTATTGTTGATTTTTAGCCGGGCTTTGCTGAAAGCAAAGTCCTGGCTGTAGGCATCGTGATCGACTGCCTTACTATAAATAGCACATGTTCAGAAAAGTAAACAAAAAGCCTAACAGCGTCAAAGCAGACGCTTCCGATAAACAAAATAGTCACATTGAAAGACGATACTTAAACAAATATTTTTTACATCTCAATCTACGGAATTGTTAATTGATCAATATTTTTGTTTGAGAATTAAATTGAAAGAGGAATTAGATATTTACTTTATTAGGGTAATCGTGATATAACAATTTGTGCACATACGCTACTGAATGCATATTGTAAGCGAACTATTTTCAATAAGCGCGGGCTTTTCGACAGGTTGCCTATATTTCATATCGTTTTCGTCGATGTTATGTGAGTGGTTATATTCTCTGTTTTGTCTTTCAGCAAATAAATAGATAAGTAAATTGGAGTTTAAAGAATTAATTAATGTGCGTTATGCCTGAATTAGGTCGCCTGACAATTGTACATGGTGTATCTGGTGTATCTAGTCGGCGATAAAAGTACTGTTTATTTGAAACTTTAAGAATATCTCTAAAAATATGTGCATTTCTTTAACTATGAATTACATAAATTATTAAACCAATATGAATATAATTTTTTTAAATTAAATTCTAATTCAAATATATCTAAAGAAAAATCAGCAAACCATATGGTTCAACATTCTTTTATAAAAAAGTTTGGCATGCAATTGACAGACAAACATTTTTTGTAAAAAATTAATTGTTTTCTTAAAAGTTAAAATTAGTGACCTTAAATGTTTAAATTAGTGACATTAAATAAAACAAATGACTTATATATTCTCCTCACTAGCCATATGTTATTGGTAGAATTAAAAAAAATTGTATGACATTTTTTGTTCGTTTATTGATATAGTATAATTAGTCTGAATTTACGTCCGTGATGCATGTATAAACAGTAAGCTCACTGACAATGTCGTGATATCTGTAATTGTTTTTTTTTAAGATCAGTATAGCATTAAGGTGTCTTGAATGGCAAGAAATTTAATGTAATAATGAATTTTAAAAACATCGGTGGTCATTTATCAGATGTAATTTGGTACGATACCGTTTTAATTCCTGCTGATATTTTCAGGGTTGATCTTGTGAAAACGGCTTAACAGGAGACAATTTATTAAATTTTTCCTTTCAAAATAATTGCAAAAAGATGATGATTTTATGATTATATTAACGGCATAAAATAACAGCGAACACCGACTACTTGCAGCAAACAAGTGCGCCGCCATTACGAATTCGTAAAACAAAGAGACAGTTACGGATACTCGTAATTTTCTGAAAAAAAAAATGTGTAGGAGGTCAGTCGGGTATAACCGGAAACAAACAAATTTTTTTTAGCCTAATGATGTATGTATGTAAATATTCATGAAGATTAATCTTACAGTTGTAATACTGGTAATGCTGTAATGTTTTCAATATATTACTACTCAAATAAAAAAGTTAAAATTTGAATGCGTTTAAAGAAAAGGGTTTGAAAATACGGTATTACTTCGATAACCCTGAATGCAATTAAAATAACTTTCTCCTTTCTAATAAAATAATTTCGAACAAAAATCCTTATGATGGTTAAGATCTTGTGTTTGTTTGTTTGTATGTTGTTTAACGTCCCTCTCGAGAATTTTTTCACTCATATGGAGACACTACCGCTTGCCGGTGGAGAGCTCCAAATTTTGTCCTATACTCGGCACTTACGGCCATTGAGCAGTGAGGGATCTTTTTCGTGCAAGCACCTATTGCGACACGGGACCTCGGTTTATACGGTCTCAACGGAAGGACCGGTCTCCACGTCCCACAGTGGGATTCGAACCCGCGACGTAAGGATTAACTCCTTACTTCGCGACTCTAGAGCAGACGCTCTTACCACTGCGCCACCCGAGCGACTAAGATCTTGTGTAAAGGTGATGTAAATGAAGTTCAAAACTATTTGTTTTCTTTCATAATATGAAATAAACAATGCGATTCCATTTGGTTAATATTTTAATTTAATAGTACTAATTTAAATGACTGGGATAAAGATTTATATTCTGTGAAGCATGGAATAAAAATAAATAAAAATTTAAACTTTAAGATAGAAATTTCATGTGAATATGTTTATGTATAATATATAAATTATTTATACCCGTTTAACAATCAATTTAGCGTCGAAAATTTTTATGCTTACAAATTCAGATCAAATTTTTGGTGAAAAGTCAATGGTATGTTTTGAATGTGAAAATTTTGTTCGAGACTTCTCACCTTGGATTCATCTCGCATGTGCTCCCAAAGCGCTTTACAGTATATTGAGCGTGCGCGTGTATTCCAAAAAAAAGGTCTTAAAACACATGCAAGCTCTCAAGGGTGCTGGGAACTAAAAATGGTTTATGTTAATATATAATTAAAAGAAAACAACATATAAAAATGTTCATTAGTCTTTATCTAAGTACAACACATTATAATTTTTCAGAAAAAGTTGGTTAGTCTTTGCTTCAAAACTTCCTGTTCAGAATGAAGAGCCATCTATGTACGAGCCATAAAGACCTGAATACATCATGATTTTTCAGGCAATGACCATTATGGCCGAATCTGGAAGTAGAACTAGACTCATATTCATGTCATAAAGATTAGATAATTATAATTTTCGTGCAGCTGGTTTCCTAGAGGACCAAAAATAAAGAATATTTCTTTTCTGATTAATACAGGCATGTAGTATCATTATCAGAAAAAAGGAGAATTGTCCAAACCCGAAAATCCTATTCAGTTGGAGAAGGAGTAGGGATGGGCTACAACTTACTTTCACATTTCGAATTTCATTAATTCATTACCAAATTACCGTACTTTTAATATGCTACAATAAAATGATGGTACAATCTAATTAAAATTAGACTATCCATTTTGCTTTTAGTAAATCTGTTCGTCGCTCGTGATAAATACCTGGTTTATATTACGAAAAGTGAGTTGAAAGTTCTAATTTAAATTTGATTGCGAAGAGTCAATCAACCTTTCAATGTACATTGTCCATTGTAAAAGTTTATGTTTGAAAAATGGCGACACCCCTAGCTCCTCCGATACTATATATGTGCCTGTATGAATCAGCAAAACCACTCAAAGTGCACTGTTACCATGCATAACCATTGTGAGCTTAATGTTTAGAAAGGTATAAATGTATTTTCATTAAAAATATCACCAAGTCCTATCCTGGGGTCTTAACGTTGGGTTCTGGACCGTAAATTATTGGTAGATGGGTTATTGTTAATCATAATCATACAAACTCTACCTGTTAAATATCAATGATCAGAAAGAAAGATTTTCAAATATGTACTAATTTAGGATTAGACAATACAATCGAACATATTAAAGCCCGGCTTTCAGTACTTTCAGTACTTTGATTCACTTTGTAAACAACATTATTGATTTTTCTTTTAAAAAACATCGTTAATGTTGTTCAAAAAGTCCCAAAGCTCATATTTTTTAAATTCTTTTATTGCTCACATGATCTCAAATATGTTACTTGTATGTTGATTGCCTTTTGCAATACTGTATTTTCTCCATGTACAAAGTGAGTTGTAGGCATGGATGAAAATTAACAGGGAAATCATCAGGTATTTTGGCAGTAATTTTGAGTTTGCAATGATTTTTTTAACTAATAAATTTATTGATAATTACACAATCAGTGTTTGAAACTTTGATGATTATAAGTTGTAAGTCATCAAACAATTTTCAAAAAACATGACAATGAGGATAATAAAAAAAAGTAAAAAACACATAAAATATAACTTTATTTTATTTCAAATGGTGCTATCAGTTGAAGACAATAAGAAATACCCAGTAATTATCAAATTCTTGGTGAAAAACAGGTTCCATGTTACCATGTGACTTACAACACCACACATGTTAGAAGCAAAATTGTTCATTAAAACATTTAAAGCCTAACAGTAAAACACTAAAACACAGTTACAGTGAATGCACTTATAATGAATACACACTTACTGTGAAGTGATTTTCATTCCCTGTAGTGTTAAAAAATATTACGAACTTATATGATATAATGAATTATGAATATAATGAACCAAAAGTGTTTGTCCCAGACATGTTTTACTGTGTTTAGTATTTTTTTTTTTAAGGAATGGCTAAGGAAGTCCTTATTCAAAGATGCCTCAGTTTTGTAATGAAAACCTTCATAAGACAGGTAAACAAAAGGTTTTACAAGAGGATTATAGCTTTTTAAAAAAAACAACAAAAACTATCAATATTAAGTTACTATTTTAAAAACTTAAATTGTAATGCTTGTATTTTTTTAATTAGAAGATGACAGTGAAAGAAATCCCAAGATTGACTGTCCCTATAAAAATGGCAAGAAACATTGAGAAAGTAAAACTAAAGAAAATCATTCATGAAGAGGGTCTGAGAAAACAAAGGAAAGGTGCACTGCTGATTACCTGTAAAAATAAGAAATATAATTTCCATATGAATGGGAAATTTGATGAGAACAATCCAAGAGAACTGGCTTCACATGGATGGAAGCATTATAAGTCAGCCATGGCCAGGGATTTCTTCACCATCAATGCTCATGCAATGGTACATACAATTCTATATTCAATGTTATAAATTTGAAGTATGATTTATCAAGTAATTGTTTTGATTCATTTTCCCCATGCCAGATAAGTGAATAGTTTCTGCTGGGTATTACATGTATACTACCATAATCTATTTTTTTTTAGAATCCAGCTCTATTAAATGACACAGAACAGTGTGGATTTTCAGATTTGAAGATTGGTGAAGAATTATGCCAGAGATTGAAGGTAGCAGGGATAGAGGTCCCTACAGATGTTCAGGTCAGCAGAAATCATTTTTTTCAAAGGGGAAGGGGGGGGGGGGGTATACAAAACTACTGTACCTGGTATGGTTAATTAGTAAAATGCATCATATGACATGCTATATTTTATATTAAAACATGCCATGTACTTGTTATTTATTTTAGGTTTAACTGCATTGAGTAAAGCAGTATTTTTACATCTTTATGAAATGAAATATGTCATGTTTACATGTATCTTCTGCTGTACAACAAATTTGAAAAATGCAAGTGAATGGGAATAACATGTGTAAATATGAGATTTTGTCCAGTTACTGTGTTATCTTCCAGCTTTGATTGTTCATCTACTTCATAGCCAGATACCCAGTCAACATTAATATGTTGGCCCAACGTTCGGCCAACAAATCTCATTTTGTTGGCCCAATAATGAATGCCAATATTGGCCCAATATCTATGTGTAAAGTGGGCCTTTGTTGGGCAAAATATATGTATCCTGACTGGGTATTCACTTAAGAATTAATCACAGTATATGAAGCAGACCCCCCAAAAAGTTAAATAAACTTGAAATAATCTATTTGGTAAAAAATGTATGCCAAGCTTCCATTGAGGTACATTTGTACATGTAAGTGGTTTTACCTTAGGGATGTCAGTTAGTGGCACATGAATTAACATCTACAATGTAGTAACAAGATCACTAAAGCCTTATTACTTAAGTAGACTTTTGAAATTAAAGGTAAAATGGTAACACAGTAAGTTATTTTTTGTTGACAGAAACAGACAATACAAGAGATACTGCAAGGGAAGAATGTTATGTGTGCTGCTCAGACTGGTAAGGGGGGCTGATTGTATGGACACCTAGGGGAAAAAGAAAGGGGATTCAGATCTCAAATCCATAAAAGTAAACTCACAGAAATAGTTATATTTTTCCACATTAATTGTAAGCACTTTTATTTTTCTTATAAATGTATATCTGCATTAAAATGTTCTATATTAACCAAATTGAAGATAATAATTATCCTGTGTATATTTCATGTACTTACAGGAAGTGGAAAAACTCTTGCCTATTTATTACCCATCATAGAGAATATTTTAAGACAAAAATATTACACTTTGAGAGAGGGACCTGACTGTGAGGATACCAATGCTCCCCGGGCTCTTATACTGGTTCCCTCCAGGGAACTGGCTCAACAGCTAATGGTAAGGAGGTTCTACCAATACAGAGATTGTAACAATTTTGTTTTCAAATGATATAGCCTGTTTTTTGGATAAAAAAAAAAGATTGATTCTGCAAATATGTATATACCTACTCTTGTTTGAAGTTCTTAGAAGACAGGATCCACAGAAGGGATAAATATATATATATATATACATTTGCTATGTTTTTCTACTAAGCCAACTGTGAAATTGATTTGAATGCCATTTTTGTGTGTACTCACGCGTAGAAATATGCACAGAGAAACTCCTGCTAAAGTGACCTCACAAAGAGCTATAGAGACGTTAATAAAAATGTAACTATAAAGGGCAGCGAATAAATCAAACATTTAGTATATTTTTGGTGCTTTTGAACATGTAAAATGTAAATATAAGAAATGTTTTTAAGTTTAGTGTGAATTATTGGTGTAAATCACACAGACTTGCACGTAGGCATATTTTTTATGAAGTGCTAGTGCGCTTCATGAAATATGCCTACGTGACAAGTCTGTGTGATTTACACACCAATAACTCACACAAAACTTAAAAACATTCCTTAAATATACATCATCATGTATAAAGAAAATTACTATTAAAACTATGATGCTATAGTATAACAGTTCTTCAAGTAATTTAATATAAAGTAACGAGATGGTCTAGGATTTACACTAAAAATTGAATATATATGAATCCGTCTACAATTAGGATGTAGCTGCTATGTTTGAGGATTTGCTGGTGTTTAGAGCTTGGACTGGTGGATCTCATACAATGGTGGGTACACAAAATTGATGACAATATAGTAATAATATGATTTTTAAAAAAATATATACTTATTTTTATACTTATTTCTTCTTTTATAAATGTTCATAATGCATATAAATTATCTTTTTAGAGAAAAATAGGACAAATTAGCTATTCATTAAACAACAACAAAAAATATGATTGAATCATGTAAAACAACTTTCTCTTGTACAAGAATGATTTTTGTTTTATAATTTATAGAAGTGTAGTGATGAAGCTGCATTCATTTCCAGAATTAGGAAATAATGAATAAAATAACTGTGGATTTTGATTGATATATCAATTTTTTTATTTATGAATTAATTTTTATGAATGTTTTTTTCCTTTTTTAACAAATACTTGAAGGTGAAAGCTAAATATACGAGACGTGAGCCCATTGATGTACTTATTTCAACCCCCGGAGCGCTTAAGATGTTTCTGACTTTAGGTAGGACTAATTGCTGGAGATGTCAAATAAAATCTACCTGATTATTACTGCGCCTTACCATTTTTCTTATTTGAATTGCCATAAAGCACTTAGAAATTCCATTCACCGTCTTCTGCTCATGAAAATTTGTGAAATGACCTGGGGCCCGTTTTACAAAAGAACTTAGGACTAAGACCAGAAACTTCAGTTGATTGTAAAATTTTGCAAAATTAATTAATGATTCTGTTTAAAATTGCTAGCTTAAAAGTATCTTTCTACATACCTTTTAAAGAGATTAAAACCATTTTCTGTTTAATATAAATTAGAAAGTTATTAACAGAATTAAATTTTGGTCTTAGATGTAAGTTCTTTTGTAAAACAGGCCCCTGATATGCAGAGGTCACTTGTACTGTGCCTCTAATCTTGGGGAGTACTTTTGTGAAGTAACTGTAGAGATTTGATGTTTTTGGTTTCAGGTAAAGTAAGGCCTTCCCAGTTGCAGCATGTTGTATTGGATGAAGCTGACACTTTATTGGATGACAGCTTTTTTCATGATATCAGATTTATTTTTACAAAGTTACATGTAAGATCCTTTTCCAAATCTTTATCTTGTTTTAATATATATATATATATATATATATATATATATATATATATATATATATATATATATATATATATATATATATATATATATATATATATATATATATATATATATATTGTGATACAATATTATTTTTCAAACGGTACATTGGAATTGAAGTTTTTAAACAGTTTTGTAAATTTATTTGTTATAAACAAATTATAATTCATTTTTTTATTGGATTTAATGCAGTGTTCTGTACATGTATGTTTGGTACTCATAGATACATGGAGGAAAAGCCATCCAGAACCAGGGGTCTTCTAGTATCCAGATCAATTTAATTAGTGCAACTATGCCCAGGGATCTACAAAATAACATTGGCTCTATGATATCAGTGAGATGATACATATTTTTGATATTTTCCCCACATGAATTAGAATACTATCATATGTACTGTCATGAGGGTATATTGTTTTATTTTTATCAATTAAATATATTTTTAGATGGATAGTATTACAAAAGTTATGTCAAGATGTCTTCATACTCTCCTGCCACATATAACACAAACATTTATAAGACTGAGGAAATCTGATAAACCAGGTAACTCTTGCCAGTATTTTATATACATGCTATGCACAGTATGATAATGAATTTTTCCCACTCATATACTTGTGCATGTATTACAATAATACATGTACCGGTAATCATTTATATGGCTTGGTATCATGTTAATTATCCTGTTGTAAATTTTGCATTTACCTCCACCCAGTAAATTCAAAATTTACAACATGATATAGGGATGCAGGTCATTGAAGTCACTGAGGAGAATTTTTGCTTTCTTACACTATTATATTTTTTGAGAATCATCGGTAGTAGGCTTGCAATTGTCATATTAAGCTTCTTAAATTTTTCAGCTTATGAAATGTCTGAACTAGTATCAACCATATTTGGTATAGGATAATTGTAGGCAAGGAAACAAAAATTGAATTTCATGGTCTCCACTTCCTTGGAGTCCAGGGATGGGGCCAAAACTGTAAAATTATCAAATAAAAATAAAAAAGTTAAGTACTCTGGGACATCTAGCAGGCAATCTGTTCGGAAGGATAATAAGTTCTAGGGATTACACATTTTGTAACTTTGTAACAGAAAAAAAATTATGGGATCATTTTGCACAAAAAGATAATTTTGCTGAAATTGATTTTATTTATTTGTGCCATACAATTCTGGCAAAGCAACATGAGCAACTAAATGTAAAGATTATCTAAACAATAAAACTCTGTCTCTGTTGTATAATAAGGGTATAAAGGTTGCGATTATTGCTAATGCAGATTATGAAAATAAAACTCTGAAGTGATTGCAACTGTTAGTGGATTTTGTAAAAAAAAAAATTCTGCAAGGATTGCAACTTTTATACTCTGAAAATACAGTTGAACTTCTATAGCAGTCTATATCTTGAATATGATGGATATGTCAAAGTGATTTGGAAGTTCCAACCACTTATTCTTTAAGTATTTTACCCTTAATATCTCAAATTCTCGGATATCTTGCATTTTTTCTTGATCCCATCGAGTTTGGGATGACAAGGTTTGACTGTATATGTGAAAAATTGAAATAACAATCAGTACATTACATGGGTTGACCTTTTGATAACACTTCTTCCATATTTGGAGCTACAGATGGCTTTAAATTCCAGATCTAACTACAGTAAAACTCAGTTATAGGGAAGTCCTGGGACCTGTTAATTTACTAAGTTATATCCAAAATTCGTCATAGAATTCATTTAAGTATACATAGTGAATTGACAATATACATTTTTTTCCTTCAAGTATGACTACTGAATATTTCAGGGAAGTATTAAATACAAACTCATATAAGTAAATTGGATTGCTAAAGTTTTCAGATGATTTGATTTTCAAATTGAAAATACTTTCGAAAAATAATGTCAGTTCCACATTTTTAATTTTGATGTATTTAAGTATTCAGTATAAAAGATGTAAATATCGTTATTTTTTATCTGTATGGGACAGAAGATCAGTTCAGTTTATTCGTAAATTCACTGTATCGAAGTTCATTTTAACTGTAAAATATTTACAATGAATTGCTAAGAAATTTGTTGGGGATCCCCAAAAACTTTGTTATATCTGTTAATTTACTATATCCATGTTCGTACTAAACAAGTTTTCCTATAGTTTAGAAGTCAACTGCCATTATTGCATTAGACAGTTTTTAGCAGAAATCGAGTGACATGTAAGCACATCATGAAAATTATTGTACAGTCATGTCATTAAGGTCATATCCCCTATGAAGACAATAAAAAACCCTCCAAAATTGATTATACATGTATTTATATCAAATCCACTAATATACTTCTGATAATAAAGAAAGTTACAGCCCTATCACATAAGTTTACCAAGTATACTGAACAGACATTTGGCAGTCTATTACATGATACATGCTCATTTGTTCATTTGATTCACATTCTGTTGTAGGTGAACTTCTGAAAATAGCTAGATATAACCTGGAAAATAAGGTTCCCTCCATGATCTTCTGTAATCACAGTAGTACCAGTTACTTTGTCATGAAATTCCTGGAGGAAAACAATATCCCAAGTACAATACTGAATGGAGAGATTAATGCACAGGTACATGTTCTTCTGAATGTATTGTATGATTTGATTTGAACATATTTTATTGTAATAATACATACAAAAGGATTGGATACAAGTTCTTTCAACTTAATAAATCCTCTCCTTATTATACAAACAATGAATACAATATATGATTGTCATAATAAATAAATTGAGATAATTTACGAAAATTTATGTTGTACATGTAATATATGTGAAAATTATAAAGACACATACTCTGAGTAATCTACTAGAGTTCTAATGTTACATATACACTGATTACAATGTTTATTGAACAAGAAGCTTTCATATTTGATAAAACATTTAAAATTTTCATTCTGCATATACATATTGAAATCAAAGACACTGTTTTGAATTAGAATCTATCTGATTCTCGAATAAATTTCTGGACACTACAGAAAATTTTAATATTTACATCGGTAGACAAAGATTCGTTTCCGCACAATAAAAAATGAGTATCTATCATATTTTGCTGGTTAAGTTGAAGAATAGTGTTTATTAAGTCATTTCTTGGATGTTCATATTTCTTGCATACAAAGAAAAAATGATAAATGTCTTCAGTTTGTATTGTATTATGGCCTGCATGAAGTGCAGGAGCCCTATTGGAATCGCATATTGTCTGTCTGTCCGTCTAGCTGTCAGGCAACCCTTTTGTTGTGATGCAATAACTCAGTTTTAATGAAACGTTTTCAAATTTGTATATATGTACTTAATTAGAAGAGCAAGACACCTATAGATTTTAGGTTTATATCACTGTGTTTCTATCTATACTTATAATTAAATTTATGTCTATATACATGACACTTTTGTTGTGATGCAATAACTCAAAACAGTTCTCAATGTAACATTTTGAAATTTTATACAGATATACTTTACATAAAGAGGAAGATTCTTATGACTTTAAAGGTCATATCACTTTGTCTGCCTGTCTGTATGTATGGCTGAATATACATCTATTGTGAAACAATAACTCAATCAGTATTCATCATATCTATTTCAAGTTTTATACAGAAAGAATTGGCTATTAGAATAAGACACCTGTTCATTTTGAGGTCTGTCTGTCTGTCCTTTTATCCAACTGTCTGTCTGTCAAAACTTTTATTGTGATGCTATAACCAAGACAGTTTTCAACCTAACGTTTTTTTTTTTTTCAAATTTTATACTTGAATACTTTACAGTAAGAAACACACCAGTAAATTTTATAGCTTAGTACAGTTTTCACTTCCTTTGAAAGCTCTTAGCAGGGCCCTCTCTGAATGTGTCAGTTTTCTAGTTATATTAAAATTTGTAATGATGAATGGAAAAAAGATGATATTAAGATTCTCTCAGTTTAAAAAAAAGAAGTTGAAGAAAATGCATACATGTACTTCAAACAAGCAAAAATTAGTACACTTAAAATTTAGTGCATTTTTCCTTATTAACTGTTTAGGGTAATCATTTACCTGTACATGTATTAGTGCATTAGGAACCAAGTTTCTATGTGTATTTGTTTTAATCATATGTTAACCTGTACTTGAAATAGTGGACAAGACTCAGCAAAAAAGAAGCTAGAATAAGTACATTTACAATACTGTGGTGTGCAAAAGAACAGTTCATAGGAAAGTATTACTGTAAATACTCTACTCTATGCAGGGTTTGACACTAAGGCACGTCCGACCGACCCAGTCTAGTAAATGTGTGGTCCGGTCGTGTTAAATGTTCATGAACTAGACCAACTGGTCGTGTGGATGAAATTAATGTTAACCTTCATTTCAGTCTTTCAAATAAATGCTCTAAAAACTTTTTAAAGAAATTTTCTTAATCTTCCGATTGCAAACACAGACATTGCTCTGAAAAAGAAAACTTCCCTGCATGACACAATCGCTATTTTTGATCCTGGCTGTAATAGACAAGTCGCGATCGAAACTAGCTTCATTCAGTATCATTTGGTATGAATAGTCATCCAATAATATAGTTTTTAATTTATTTACATGTATATTTATGGTAATAATTTTATTTAAGTTCCTTTAATTAATGTTCTTTAAAGCTTATAATATTCTCTCATTGACTCATTGGGCTGCTCCCTATGGGCTCAATGGGCTGCTACCTATGGAACAGTCTGTCAAAATGTATACCTGAAAGCGTGCAAGAGATACACTGTAGTATGGATCAAAACTTTTTTTTCATTATAATAGCAGGTTATAAAAAGAAAATTTTCAAGTTTGGTCAGGGCTAGTAATTTTATGGTCAGGGCTAGTAAAAATTATGGAAAGTAGCCCGACTGGTCCAGTACTCATAAAAGTTAATGTCAAACCCTGCTATGTCATTTTTTTGGGGAGTTAAAATTTGGTCCAAAACTCTTTATCCAACTTACAGGCGAGTTATAAAAAGATTGGTATTTTAGCGGGTCAATCCCTCTAATTTAAGCTTAAAAAATACAACCAACGTATATGTGAGTATATATGGTAGGAATGTGCAATACAAAGCTGTAGAAAAGGTCAAGTATATAGGATAATGTAATACTGTGGAAACCTGACACTTAAAAGAAAGATGTTATGTTCTTGAATATTTAAATATTTTCTCCCATAGTTCAGAGAAGGAAAGTTTGAAGAATTTCAAAAAGAGAAGTCCAATATAATTGTGTGTACAGATGTGGCTTCAAGAGGCCTGGACACCATTAGGGTAAGTTTTATTGAAAGGACAAATACAGAGAACAATTTATTGTTCTTGTATTCACTTAAAACTGGAAGCTCAAAATTAAATTGAGTTGTGTAAATGTTTTTGGAAAATTCCAACTTCCAGAAGTTAAAAAAGTCCCTGGAATCATAGTAGACTGATCTGCTGGATTAAAATGTGTACTTCCTATTTCAAAGTACAATGTAATCATGCAGACTTAGACAGTCTAAAGGAATTATATATCAACTTACATATTACATTTTCAAATCCCTTTGGCCTTTGGGTTTTTACTCTCTCTGGTATATAAAACAATTTAAAACATTTTACCCACTAAAAATAAGTGTGCATATTTTGTATATGCAATACATGAATTATTTTTAGCTAACCTGAAGTGAAGGCTCTATAAACTTAAATTTTAAGCAAATTTACCACAAAACATCCTTGGGTGAAGGGAATTCAAGTTTGTACAAATGAAGGGCCAGGCCCTCTTTCAAGGGAGATAATTAAGAATTAGTGAAAATTAAATGGCATCTTTCAAAAAACTACTGGGCATGAAAAGTTGCAACTTTATATGTGAAAGCTTCATTACATAGTGTAGATTTAAATTTGTTCAAATCTGACTCCCATGGTTAGGGTAGGACCACAACAGGGGATAAAAGTTATACACAGGAACATAATGGAAATATCTTTAAAAATCTTCTTCTCAAGAACAAAACTTTACTAAAAGTAAAGTTATACATAGGAATATATAGAAAAATATCTTAAAAAGTCATCTTCCGATGACCAGCAATGCCATGATCAGTAATATTAATATAAAAGTATCCTCATATAATGTAGATTCAAGTTTGTTCAAATCATGACCCCTGGGGGGTAGGGTGGGGCCACAACAAGGATTAAAGTTTTACATTGGAAGACATGGAAAAAAATCCTCTTTTCAAGAACAGCAAAGCCTTGATTAGTAATATATACAGAAGCATCTTCAGGTAATGTAGATTCAAATTTGTTCAAGTCATGGCCCCTGGGGTTAGGACGGACCACATAAGGAATTTAAAGTTTCATATTAGAGTATATCAAAGTTTCATATAGAATATATAGGAAAATATCTTTAGAAATCTTCTCAAGAACAGCAGAGCCATGTTTAGTCATATTAATATGGAAGCAAGTTTGTTCAAATTATCAGTTAGGATTAGAGTGGGACCACTTAATACATATTTAAACTTTTTAGTACTGAACTGATTTTATGCTTCATTCTTACTAAAGCGCACATGTGAGGTATGTGGTCCATAGGCCTCTTGTTTTTGTTTTATGCATTTTAATTGTTTGGAGGAACTAATTCATTCATCCATCAACCTTTTTAATCAAAGAAATTTACATTTTGTTTTGGACAGACCAGGCAGGTAGTTAACTATGATTTCCCTGATTTTGTATCTGACTACATTCATCGAAGTGGACGGGTTGGTAGAATTGGGTCACAGGGTCACGGAACAGTTACCAGTTTCATCTCCGAGAAGTGGGATGTGGATCTGCTCTGGAAAATAGAGGTATAAATGTCATTTATTTTCTGTTGATTAATATGTGTTTATCTTTGTTTTACATGTTGTATGTAGTATCTTGTATTAATATGTAGTCTGTGTTTATAAATTGGTACTTCTGACAAGATATGCCATCCCAAAAACTGATTTGGCAAAGTTTGCTACAGTAACCCAGACATTCAACTTGTAACCTTGAAAATCAATACCAAGCTCTCTCTTATGCTTGGGACTCTATTTTGAACACATTATTCCTGAAAGAAATAATCCAGAAACCAAAAATGCAATATACATATTTTTGGTAGAAATTCTTTTTCTTCTTTTTCCTGCTCTGGGTTATCTGTATGTATATCTGTATGTTTTTATATACATATGTATGTGAAGAGTACTGATAATAAACTGTGAAGTTTGATATATAAATGCTTATTAGTTCACTGCAGGAGACTACAGGTTTCCTTTCCATCTGTCTGCATGTCCTGTCTGTGAGTCAGTCTGTACCATTTGGGTTGTTGAATTTTTTTTTTGAAGCTTGCAGTTATTGAGGGGATATGTGAGTCTACCTTTATGAGTAACTAATCAGGTTTGCATATAATTCTACTTCTGTCCAATGATTTTTGATGAAATTACAACCTTTGGACTTGGAACATTTAGTATATTTACAGGTCTTTTACACCTTTTTTTCTAGACCATTGCAGCTATTGAGCTGATTTTGATACTGTGAGGCTACCTTGATAATCCACAGACTAAGTTTGTATTTTGTTCTGCTTTGATAAATTTTGATGGAGTTACAGTAGAAAATTAAGTGTATCTTATTTAGGGCTATTCCAGGAAAAATTGTGGGGGGGGGGGGGGGGGGGTTGGAAGGCACTTTTATTTTTACCCCACCACCCATACATTTTTAATTACCTTCTACCCCACCCCCAATCAATTTAAAATTGCTTTTGATACAACCACCCATCTAAATTAAAAAAAAAAAAATTGTGTCACACATATATATGCAATAAAATTTTATGTACTTTTTTCAGGTATTGTAATTTATCTGACTTCGAATGAGTGTTGGGTTTTGACATCTATCCAACCAGGGCCCGTTTTACAAAAGAACTTATGACTAAGATCAAAATGTTATTATGCAAATAAATTTCTTTTTTGCATTACTTTAAAAATATTTTAAATCTTTCTGAAAAAAAATAAGATAGTTTTATGCCAACAATTTTTAACAGAAATAAGTTTTGTAAGATTTTATGAACAACTAAAGTTTTCCCCGTGTTCCTGCTACAGCTTAAAAAAAATATGTTCCTTTAGGCCTATGATACACACCACTGAAAGCCTTTATTATAGTGATTTGTATATCTGTTCTGATGCATGACTTTGTAGTCTGTAAAGCTTAGGTAAAGCTTTTACAAGTATGTGTACACATGTACTAGTAGAAATGACATTCCTACAATTAATTAAAATTAATATTGTAAATTATAGCCTAGCTATCCTTAACAATTGTTGTTCACCTTGTTCATAACAAAATGATTCCTGCTTTTTTCTTTTTTTTTTGGGGGGGGGGGGGGGACTAAACTTCTGTAGGCAGTGTCTTTGATTAAAAAAATATATTTAATGAATTCTAAATCCCATCTAACAACTTAGACCATTGGTGCATACAACTTCGACAAGTAAACACGTTAAGGACTGGCATGTTTTTGACATAATATATTTCATATTGTTTTCAAACTCATATCTCATCTTCCTTTTACTCTGTATGTGGTATAAAGTAAAATATTTGACTTGCAAACTCCGTAGTCATGCTCTAAAACGTTCATTATCCGATACGTTTTTTCTCTACTTTCGGTTTAAAATAAAACGATCTTTCTGATTGTTTCTAATATCATTTAATTTACCAATGTAATCATGTTTGATTAAACTGGCGAAAAGAAACTAGACCAGGGAGTCCAAAGCACAACTAATCCGTTTTCCAATCCCCCACTGTCATTGCAGTCACAGTTGCACATGCTTTATAGCTATCTGCCCTTGTTTCCGTTTTGTTCGATTCTACTTTCACTTTCGATGTTAACACACTTTACAGCTGTTTAGGACGAAAATATCAGTATTTACCGACTTATACAAATGAGAGGAAAGAAGTACTTTGCACTTGATTATTTGTGAGGGTAAATACAACCACCCATCTAAAAATATATCGAGTGAGGACAACCACCCATACAAATTTAATTGCTCCAGACCCACTACCCATACAAAAATATATGAAGTGCCGTCCAACCCTCCGGTACATTTTTTCCTGGAATAGCCCTTACAGGCTTTTCAGACTACTTTAGCTCACCTGATCCAAAAGCTCAAGTGAGCTTTCTTGACTAAAGAGAGTCTGGCATCTGTTTGTCATGTGTCGTGTGTAAACTTTTCACATTTTCGACTTCTGCTCAAGAACCACTGGGCCAATTTCAACCAAACATGCCACAAAGCATCCTTGGGTGAAGGGGGTTGAAGTTTGTTCAAAGGAAGGGACACACCCTCTTTCAAGGGGAGATAATTAAGAATTAGTGAAAAATAATGGCATTTTTAAAAAATCTTCTTAATAACCACTGGACCAGAAAAGATGGAACTTGTGTGAAAGCTTCATAAAAAGTGTAGATTCGAGTTAAAACCATGACCCTTAGGGCCACAAAGGGCAATCAGTTTTACATAGGAATATATGAGAAAAAGCTTTAAAAAGCTTCTTCTCAAGAACTTCAAAGCCACGGTAAGTCATATGTATTTGGAAGCATCCTCAGGTACTGTAGATTCATGTTTGCTCAAATCGGAACCTCAAGGGGTAGGGTAGGGCCACAATGGGCACAATTTGACATCAGGATAGGTAAAACCTTTAAAAAAAAACTTTTTTTTCCCAAAGAACAGCAAAGTTATGATTATTCATATTTATATGAAAACATTCCCAGGTAGTGCGGATGTGCATGTAATCACCGTTAAAATTGTACATCAAGGTAGATTCAAGTTCATTCAAATCATAGCCTCTGGGGTTGGGATGGGGACATACTTGGCGATCAAAGTTTTACTTAATATATAGCAATAACCTTTTCTTAAGAACAGCAGATTAAGCCATGAGTGGTTATATTAACAGAGAAGCATCCTCAGGTAGTTTAGACTCCAGCTTTTTCAAATCATGACCCCCAGGGGTAGGGCGGGGCCACTATAGAAGATTAAACAGAGCTCATTTGGGATTGGATTTTGGTCTCTAAAATGGCATGATTCAAAGGCATGGCTTCTATGCTTGAAAAGGTATATTATACAATTATTGCTGGTTTTTGAGGTCAATACGATGATTTAGACACCTGAGGAGTACAATATTCACCGAGCCCGAAGGGCGAAAAAACAGCAATAATTGTTTTATTATATGATTCAATGATTAAATGACACGCACTCATTAAGCAATCCGTGCCATCTTACTTGTTCACATATACTGAAGTACTAGCCGAATATCAGAGAAACGGAGTTAAAAAAAAACCAGTTGTATTATTTTGAAATTTTTAATTCTAGTTTAGGTGCAATGTAGAAAAATAAATGTCAGGCACATATATAGGATTAATTTTGAAAAAGGGGGCATTAAAAAGGAAAAAAAATTGACAACATACCTGAAAACAAATCTTTGACTAGCCCCCCCCCCCCCCCAAAAGGAAAAGAATTCTCCCAAATCAAAATTTTATTTGGTGGGATGTAAAGGTACATAAACTTTTTGAGGGGAGGGGGGCTTACAATGAAATTTTTTATCCTTAAAATTTAAATTAAAACTTAACATTCTCAAAAGGTGGGGAGAGGGGCAGGACTCCTGCAACCCCCCCCCCCCCCCGACCCCTCACCCAAGAATCTATGTGCCTTAATGTTATGTTCATATGAGTGAATGTCATATGCAAGTGAAATAACTTTCCAAAACTATTTGCATCAATTTGGAATTTCCCTATCTATTTTTAGTCCAATGTAGAATAAATAATTCCTTATATTGACCTGGAAGATCACGTGCAGGTCAATATAACTTAGTATTTTTCTAACATTGTTGGATCTCAGCCAATCAGAGAGATGGGAATTATTCAATCATATAATAATTAGTTTTATTGCAATAAATTCAAACTAGTTAAGATCCCTCTATACACTGCACACTAAAAGTTCTGATTCTGTGATATATTTATATGCAGATAGAGTAAACTGCCCTTTGGTCTAGAATAAAATAAATTAAAATATAGAGTGTAATAAAATAAAAAAAAATATATACATTGTATTACTTTATTTGTAAACAAATCAAGCATTCAAAATATTTTGATAGGGTAAGATAAATAGATTGAACATCTCATTTGCAGGTATTTTGCCCACTTTTAAAAGTAGTGATTACTGTTCATCAGTACTTTATTGTCTTTGAATATTTTTTCTGGGGATGAATACCTCATACCCTATGTTGATAATATAACAGATAAGCTCAGTATTTACACCTTTTCATACTATAATTTTCTCAATGTCCAAAAAAAAACTTCCTTTAGTGTATTGAAGGTCCTTAAAGTAGGATATCCATATTTGTCCTTAAGCTAGGGTATCCATATTTGTCCTTAAGGTAGGATATCCATATTTGTCCTTAAGGTAGGATATCCATATTTGTACTTAAGCTAGGATATCCATATTTGTCCTTAAGCTAGGGTATCCATATTTGTCCTTAAGCTAGGATATCCATTTTGTCATTAAGCTAGGATATCCATATTTGTCCTTAAGCTAGGATATCCATATTTGTTCTTAAGCTAGGATATCCATATTTGTCCTTAAGCTAGCATATCCATATTTGTTCTTAAGCTAGGATATCCATATTTGTTCTTAAGCTAGGGTATCCATATTTGTCTTATGCTAGGATATCCATATTTGTTTTTAAGCTAGGATATCCATATTTGTCCTTAAGCTAGGATATCCATATTTGTTCTTAAGTTAGGATATCCAAATTTTTCCTAAGCTAGGGTATCCATATTTGTCCTTAAGGTAGGATATCCATATTTGTCCTTATGCTAGGATATCCATATTTAGCCTTAAGCTAGGATATCCATATTTGTCCTTAAGCTAGGATATCCATATTTGTTCTTAAGCTAGGATATCCATATTTGTTCTTAAGCTAGGGTATCCATATTTGTCTTATGCTAGGATATCCATATTTGTTTTTAAGCTAGGATATCCATATTTGTCCTTAAGCTAGGATATCCATATTTGTTCTTAAGTTAGGATATCCAAATTTTTCCTAAGCTAGGGTATCCATATTTGTCCTTAAGGTAGGATATCCATATTTGTCCTTATGCTAGGATATCCATATTTAGCCTTAAGCTAGGATATCCGTATTTGTTTTTAAGCTAGGGTATCCATATTTGTTCTTAAGCTAGGATATCCATATTTGTTCTAAAGCTAGGGTATCCATATTTGTCCTTTAGCTAGGATATCAATATTAGTTCTTAAGCTAGGGTATCCATATTTATCCTTAAGCTAGAGTATCCATATTTGTCCTTAAGCTAGGGTATCCATATTTGTCCTTAAGCTAGGATATCAATATTTGTCCTTAAGCTAGGATAACCATAATTTTGTTCTTAAGCAAGGGTATCCATATTTGTTTTTAAGCTAGAGTATCCATATTTGTTCTTAGCCGGGAAATCCATATTTGAATTCAATTCCAAGTATTAAACACTAATCTATATTCCATAATGAACGGTTTCTCTAAATTAATATGTAATTATATGACGGGTACACTCATTTCCAATTAAAAAAAATGGTTTCATTTACTAGTAAAAACATAACTAAGTTACCCTCTTTAATTTGTACAGGCATGAACGTATATACCCTGCTCACCAGTAAATGAATCAGTACCTGTAGCATATTTTGCTGGTGTTTGGAGGCCCTAGTACACATTCATATTTACTTGAGTTTTATATGTACACACAGAAAAAAAATCATTTAAATGCATTGGTGATCACATGAATTATTTCTGAATATTGATAAAAGCAATAATTATAACAAACCCATGTCTGATAAATAACTTTGATAGCACAGAACTACTAGTACTTCATATAATATTTACAGAATGATTACAATTGGATGCTTTGTAACATAATCTTTACATGATATGCTATGTTGTAAGAAAACTGACACTTGTTTTCTATCTAGATACATCTCAAATTTCAATGTTGATTGCATTTAAAATTTCCTTTAACATAAATCAATTCTTGCCCAATATTAATTTTTAATTAATTAAATATTTCATGGTAGAGGATCTTTAGTTTGACATTATATATATGTTTTATTTATATGCTAAGGAGGATTCTTGGGTGTGTTTTGAGATAGTGCATTCTTTAAGAAGTTAGTCTCCGTCAAGTGTCTGTGTGATCTTTCCTTTTCACAATTAAGTGTATATTTTTTTAAGAAGTCTAGTGGTATATAGTTAGAAATTTTCTGAAGGCCATTTTTAAAATAATGTTGGTTTGCCCTCTCCCTATTCGGGCTAAAAAAAATGCATCGGTACATGTAGGTAGGTCGAAAATGTTTTGTGAGAAATTTTTAACATCAGTTGAATTTTCAAAATCTGTTAAAACTGTAGGTATTTCTGAAATTAAAATAGTTGTTGATGGGATGAGAAAATTCTGGAATGAAAAAAAAAATGTCTTGGAGGTTTTAGAAAAGATTTGAGTCGGGCCATTTTAAGCTAGTTCGTGTAGAGAGGATAAACTAACAGGTTCTTAAATATATTTTTTTTTAATTTAATTTAATGTCCAGTGGTTTCATCATGATGCGCATGCAAGAGAAATTAAACCAGGAGCATTAAACTAAGAAAGGTATCTTGTTTTAAATAGCGATGCAGTGAAAATAAAAATGACCTTAATTCCTCTTTTATATAAGTATATTAAATACACAAATAATTTACATCTTTTCACTTCCGTAGATGACTTGAATTAGATAAATATATCGCTTTTTATTGCACTTTTCTGTGCACATAGTAATACCTGTAATCTTTGATGAGTTTGCCATGATGCCATATATATATATATATATATATATATATATATATATATATATATATATATATATATATATATATGAATTTGTATTTACATCCACTGAATATTTTCTCCATTATTTCTTAAGAAAACCATTTTCATTTATCAGTCAGTAAACACCGCTAAGCATACACTGTATCACCTGTATTGTTGAAATGTCGTATTTTAACCCGTAGTATAATAATTAGTATTTATTAAAGAAACAAGTGTCTGTGCCCCGAATACCTAAACTGAAATATGCCTGTTCTCGACTCCCTCTGAAATCTTGCAGCACAAACATACACAAATTGTTCACTTAATTTGCTTGAAGGTAGTAATTAAGACAAATTATACTGAATGATTTAAATTGTAGAAGTCCGATAATTTAGATTTCATTCCTTTTGCGGGTCTTGTAGTGGTCCAACTGGAGAATCTGAAATTTAATAAAGGTACAATAGTCAGAGAAAAATCAGTAACAATAAAGAATACATATCATAGCACTTTTTTCTCCTTTCGAAAAACTTAAAAATTCAAAAACATGCTGCATTATTACTTCCTGGAACAAGGCGACTGCGCGAATCACAACAATCAAATTAAATTGAAACATAAGAAGAAAACTAGAAATATATCCATTTTCAATAAGATTCTAGAAACATGGAATCTCCTATACGTAGATATTCGTGTCAATATAGTTATCTGATTTCAAATAAACGGCACAGGATACCTCCACCCCGTACTATCCTCTCGAACTTTTTGTTGAATCTTTCATAATAAAAAATCACATCTTGTCAAAACTTTAAAACTTGTTTGTTTAAACTTTTCGTAAAAATCTTAGCATAACTCCATACGTTATACTCATAATGTACAAATAAAAATAAGAACTTCATTTTTTTTTTAGACAGCGGTAAGAAGGGGAGAAACTCTACACAACGTGAATGCGAACATAAAACGAAAATTAAAAGGATTAGAAGACTCGTGGTGATCATTTATTGTGAAATTTACATTTGAAAACTTCAATTCTTGTGAAAAATGTTCTGTCCATGATATTGACAAAACATTTTGCCTATTTTATGGAGAATTATGTATAAGGAAATTTAAAGAAGGTCTAATGCTTTTGTGTTCTTGTTTCCTAATACGTCTGAACTTCTTGGAGTAATGCTGTACGATCCTGCTAAGCTGTTATCATCTGCTGGTGACATCACTGTATTTGTCGTGTCCTGCTATTCGTCAAATACTTTCACACTTAAACCAAGCAAACATCCCAGCGCGGTGCCAAAATCGCAGCGTTAAATCGAAGAAAATTTCCGTATCCAACCAATTCCAGAGTAAATACGTCAAGACAATACGCTGTGAAAGTGGAAGTCCATTGTAATCTACTCGACAGATGAACGTCGGGTAACCTATCACTGACTTTTTGATCTGTCATATTTTTAAGTGGACCAATTCAAAGACAAATATGCCGCTGCTCGATGTATCGATATTCTATTTACGTTGTGACACTGACGTATCGAGTTTTCCTGCATAATAAGTGCGAGTTTTTGTTTTGATAGTCTTTGAATTCTATAACCACGAGCCAAATATGATGTCATATTAAATGTGGACTTTTGTTGCATGAAATGACAGATATGATCGCTTTGGTGATTTCCGATGCTAAAAGAATACGGCGGTGTATAACAATGCATTCTCCCTGATTGCCACCGGAAATCATCAACGTAGTTATGATACTGCAAATATGTACATTTAACGTTCGATCGGAATTTTCCGGAAGTAATCGACAGCGCGAACACGGCCCGAATGTGAGTGATCGATAAGTAACGCGGCATACCTTTAGAACACCCGACCCGGTTCGCCAAATCGGACGGATGCCGGGAATCCGAGATTGATCTTGAATTGAGGCACTTTTAATAGACAGTCGTTAATTAGTGACGAATCGCCTCAGTGATCAGTGAAGAATTTTATTGGATTTTTGTTCTTCTCGATTCCGAGACATTGTACTTTTACAGGTAGTGAGTAATAGGTAGCTTGCAATTCCGTAAGACGACCCGTCCCTCAATGGTACCGTGCACAGCATACAAGTACCACTCGTTACGCCAGTGGCGATAACAAGCAAAAACATAACTAATTGAACAGATAGTATTAATAGTTTCTTTTCAAGGAAAACATTTTCCGCGTTACAAATGATGTTTTGCAGAAAAAGGAAGTACACAAATGCTGCCGAGAAATATTAAATACATGTTATAAGAGTTCTAAAGACAGACTTCTACCCCAATAAAAAGCATAAGCTGGGAGGAAAACCTTTCAATGCCATTTGTATGTACTAGTATTAAACATTTAACTTTACAGTTTCAGAAGAATGTTATATCATTGCCTATACGTCTGTTTTGAAATGTATGTTCAGTGGTCTGTCCCTGCAATGTTGTGTGGTGACTGTGGTCCATGATTTTGTAATGGAGAATCACTGGAAGCTTATACTTGGTACAAAGATTGTTTGTGACCTGAGGGTATGTGATATCCTTGACCCAAGATCATTTCTGCAAGTTCAAGGCCACTGGCAGACAAGGTGTTAGATTTTTATCAAGTTCATAGCGTCTTTATGGACAAACATTTTAAGTTCATACTTCATAGTAAGATTGCTTCCGACCTCAAGTTCACTTTATCGAAAATTGTTTAATTCCTGTCCTGACCATATCTTGTAATGGAGAACTTAAGATTTTGATACTTATCTCAAATATTGCATATGATCTGAGGTTATATATTGATCATGACCCAAGGTCATTCCAGCAAGTTCAATGACACTGGCAAAAAAATCTTTTGTCCTGTGTATAACAAATACATGTACTATTTAAGACACGAGAATGTGTTATAAGCTTGACGCAAGCTCATTCTGGCAAACCCAAGGAATAGGTATATATTTGTCAGGTCTACAACTTTACGGAAAAAATATTGGAAGTTCATACCTCATACAAAGATTACTTACAACCTGAAGGTGTGTATGACCTTGATCCAATGCCATATTATTTAGTCCAAGGTTACTTATGGAAAAATATTTAATTCCTATCCTGACCATATCTTGTAATGGAGAACATTAGAGGCTCATACTAATTATAAATATTGCATATGATTTGAGGATATGTATTGATCATGATCCAAGGTCATTCCAGCAAAGTCAAGGTCACTTACAAAAAAAGTGTTTTTTTTCCTGTCTATAACTCTCAAATGGAGGCTAATTGGAAGATGATACATGACACAAAGATTGCTTCTGACGTAAGGGTGCGTCATGATCTAAACTAAGGTCATTTTTGGGAAGTTCAAGGTCACTGGCAGAAAAAGAATTAAATTCGTGTCCGATTCATAAATTTCTAATGATTAACATTGGAAGTTCATAATTCATAGTTAGCGCAGTTTGGTACGTCGTGGGTTTGAATCCGCTGAGGTGCGGAGACCACTTCTTCGGATGAATCCGTATAAACGGAGGTTCCATGTAGCAGTAGGTGCTGGTAGTACATGTGTACTCCACCGGCATGTGGTAACGTCTCAATATGAGTGAAAATATTCTCGAAGGGTCGTAATACAAACGATTAAACAAACATACTTCACACAAATATAACTTACGTCTATAAGATGTGTCATGTCCTTGACCCAAGGTCATTCTGGCAAGTTCAAGATCATTTGCAGAAAAAAGTATAAAATTTTTGTTGGAAGTTGAAACTTCAAACAAACATAATTTCTTACCTTAAAGTATTCCATTACCTTGACCAAAGGTAATTATGTCAAGTTCAAGGTCACCAGCAGAAAAAAAATAGTTAAAATTCATGTCCATAATTTTCTAATGGAGACAGATTAGAGGTACATATTTCACTCAAAGATTTAATTTTGACCAGAGGGTGTGTCATTTTTTATTAATCAAGGTCAGAAGCTTCACTTAGCTGATGTTATAAATTATATAGAAACGTTTAAATTTTGATAACACAATCATGCAGTATTGGTTGATACATATTGGTGACATTAAAATTGATACAAGTTTTGGAATTACTGCATTATTGATTATAATGGTTAATGTTGTGGATTATCCAGATTAGAGGAATTAGCTGGTGTCTGTTAGACGGAATAATGCAGCAACTTTATGTACTTTAAACTCGGAATTTAGTTTCATTTGGTGGTCAACTATGAATGTGGGAAAACGCCAAATTATTGGAAAACAATTATCAGACTCAATTTTGATATCAATGTAATTTTTGTTTCACTGACGTGTAATGTTGTAAAATAGCTTTTATATAAGAGGAGTGGCCCGGGGATATCTCGCTGTGAATATGATTCACCCATTTATTTCGCTAAAAATGGAAAGTCTTCACGGTTATGACTTTGTATCTATCAACTTTTGAAAATCGGCAAAATTAACACAAAATAAATTTAAATTGGTACTTCATTTTTCTTTTATGTTAATTTTTTCTTTTACAATTTACACCATCTGCCAGGCTGATGGATTCCGGAGTGCTTTACGGGACAGGTTAGACGATGTGGTCATAATGAAGATACGCCGAAATTGTGTTGTACTCGTATCCTTTGCTTCCAGCTTGATAACATCTCCTTTTGAGATCTTGGAAACGTTGAAATGGAAAAAAAAAACCATGTTGAAATACTTTGAAATTATATGATGTGCAACATTGTACAGGTGTATGTTATAAAGGATGACTGCACTTAAGGACATGCGGAATTTGCGACAAAATAAAGTTTCAAAACAAGCATTTTTCTTTGCATTGCAAGAATAGTCAACATCTAATCTACAACTTTATGTAATTACGTTTAATAAAAGTGTGTATTTACGAAGTTCGAATCTGTTTTCAAAGGCAGGGGTCATCACAATTTCTTGAATCTCCGCTCGATAATGAGGACGCCCACTTTTTTACTGACTTTATACATAGTCAGCGCATGTTTGTCTATTGTTCTACGTTTAACAGTAGTTGTATATTTGCATAAATAATAATGTGTCAAAAGGAGATTAATAGACAAACATGCGCTCATGGTTAAAAAGAGAAAAAAACTGCTTTTTCTTAAATTCGCTCTCTGTGTTGTAACCAAGGATTGTGACATGTTGAATATTATAATTCACCACGTGATTTCTTACCTCAGGTAACTTTGTGAATACTAAATTCCGTCACGTGACTTGTAAGGTAGCATGTTTTGTGCTAACTAGGACACTGTGTTCGAACACGTTAAGTCATCTGGCATTGATATAAAATCTGCTTTAATTACATTGACGTGCTCATATTGTTAATTTCGTTTTGAAACCTTTGTCAGAAGTGTATTCGTGCCATACAGAATGGAGAGGGAGATTGGAAAGAGTGATCACCTTCGCTTTTCCAAACATGTCATTGTTATTTATCAAGTCTAATTTTAGACCCATTCTTACAATGTTAGCTCCACCTCTCATGCATATCTAATGTTCAATCAAGGGCAGGTAAGTGTAAATTCACTATATTTGGAAAGCAGTAAGGACAAAAAACATTGAATCATTTTATTGTATCACAGTCTAAAATCATTTTAAGATTTAAATGTGGTTCCAAATTGACAGTATTCTTTCATGAACATACAAAAGTGAGATAAGGTTCAGATATAAAAGCAACAGAAGCAACCGAAAAAGACCCAAAAAACAGGCTTTAAGTGCAGTCATCCTTTATTCCATTATAGTGAGGGAGATATGAGGATCTATTCATCCAAGAAAAATTATATTCCTCACTATCATGCAATAAATTCTTTATTATACCGAAACAATACCAGGCTAAAATATCAAACTGTTATTTTATTTTATTTTTTTTACAACACACAAGTTTAAAAGAAAACAAACTAAAATTCATATTTAATTTTGAACACATTTTTTTATCATCACAGGTAATTAAAAACAAAAAAAAAAATATTTACCGTGAGTAATAAATATCACAGATACAGATAACTGTTTAATGATAAAAAAAAAATATATGAAAAGACGACAAGAAAATCCATGAAGTTTTATTGCCCTCTCACGTGGCTGTCTAGAGCCAATCAGATAACGCGTTGTATGGAATAATCATAATGAGGTATAATAAAGTTTGAGACATAAGAAATTTAAATGATAACAAAAAGCGTATCCACTGTGAGACGCAAAGACCAGCACGGAAAGGGATTTTTAAAATGATTTTTTAAAGTTATTTTTGTGTAGTTTCCTAATGCTGTTCAAACTTGATCCCACAAGTCACTTATTGGGGGAAGAGGGAATAAGGATGTATTATTCCATGATTTTTTCGCCTTTTGTGACCCACTTCCAGTTTGAATATTACGCTTTCCTACCACTTCCATTTAAGCTGACTCTGTCTTATGCCTATTTTTACGAAGAATTTCTCTAAGAGTCTTATTCGCGACAGGGGAAATCGGGTATTGTTACGCTCCCTCCACCACTTCATTCTTGGAGAGGGAATGAAATCATTTGCGTGTCACACGGATGTGAGCGAAGTCTGTCTTTATCTGAGCTGTAGAGAGCGCGCCGCATTGAGGACCTCGCACCATCTGTAGAGTATTATAGTATAATGGAATCAGTCCGGCTAAATATGGGGCTAATACGATAAACTCTTCAGCACTAACAAATTTATCCAATTTGGAAAAATTGCAGACGCAACTATTTTATCTGTAGTTTTAGAAATTATAATCTACATCAATGTCGTGAACACCCTATACAGAGATACAGTCTAGTACTAGTATGTTAGCCTAATGTATGTCACACATCATAAGATAAATGTAAGAAAAAGAGATTTTTAATACAAATACAGTGGAGCTTGTCTTTGGCTTGCGACATCAGCGAAGAAGAAAAAGAATTCTACAATTCACGGGATACAAATTCCTTGCATGCAGATCTTTTGAAACGCACATTTTGGGATATACACCTTTAGCGCAAAATAATCTATAGAAAAATATGCTAAGTATATTATTACATAATATGTAATACATATACTTCTTACATTGGTTCCCAAGGTTGGACATGAGCATCTCATGGCATTTGGATTTTAAGGAAACTAATGCAGACTAGAGACTTAGAGAAATATAAGAGAAGTTAAATAAAAGTCATAAATAAATGCTTCATTTAAAGAAAAAGAAAAAAAATGCAAAGCTATATAATTCTGATTTTTAATCACGGCGTTAAACTTTTCACAAATGCAAATAACTTTTTAAATGGCGACAATAAAATCTTAGTGCGCCCAAAATCCCATTATATCTTTTATAGTTTTTTTCCATAATTTATTTTGGCTACGCAAA